AAAATCAAAATGCCTTTAATTGTAAACACAACAAATGATAGCAGATGTGGGTAGAATGAGAAATAAAAAAAGTATGAGACGCACATTGGATCCACGCTGGGCAATTTTCTAACAAGTACTGCTCCACCTTCTCCTGCTATTGTTGGCACCATCTGTTCGCCTTTGCTCCAGTGTAAGTATGTCAACTTGCCCTGAAATAAGTTCTTCCAGACGATATCCCCTACTTGTGTCTCTGTGATTTGACCCACTTTATAGCTCTGCATCACAATAAAAAGACATTACCATACAGTTTCATTGCCTCTGCATCAAACATCAAGGTTTCTATCTTGATCACAATTGGACCTAAACCATTCATTGTAAGATAAACAACATTGAAATATACTGGAGATTTTCAGTATTTTATTCTGAAACAGAGTATACAAATTCTCTTTACCTGTATCAACAGTGAATCTCATAATTAACATTCTGAGGTTTGTAACACATCGAATGACATACACCGATATTGCCACTGCATTCCTACATATGTTACAGTCCAAAAAGCATAATAAGCAAAGTAACATCTAGAGTCCAGGTCATCAAGAGAGCTACCATTACGACACCTCTAAGTATTAAAGTCCCTTTTTTTACGGAGAGGTCAACCAATGTTCCTTCAAATAGACTGAGTAAAGATCCTAACTCGAGAACGTCCCAGGTGAGGGGGCTAAACAAGGCCCCGGACTCCGGAAAACATACAAAGACCATAGACTATATTGCCGCTTAAAAGATGTGCATCGATCTGCCATCAGACTCTTTCTAGATCCCCACCAAGGCAACATTGTACAGTCGACTTGCATAGGTTATTGAGGATTTCTGCACCTTGAAGAAAAAGTAACTTTTCCTACATGAACAGAAAATCATTCATCATTGAGTTGTCATGAATCAGTGACAAGACAGATAAATATGTCAACTGGCAGGCGTTGAAAGACCATTATCCATGTCTGCGGCATATGGGTATTAGACATTAGTTTTCTGGAGTCAAAGCTGAACCAGTTATTGACGTCCATCCAAACATGAGCAAAATGACTAAACCATACGCCAAATCCAGAGGATTCCTGTGTACCTCTAGTAATTTTTGTTTCCTAAACCCTAAGGGAAAAAAGTGAAGTTCAGTATCCATAACAAGTAGCACAGTTTCCAGGCATGTGCTGATCTACAGAAGATAACGCCTTGGGAGACATCATGTCTTCTCAACCTAATATGAGGTCATACAATCAAAAGAAAAAGGAAGTTCAAATTTGACTACAGCCTAAAAAAAATATGACCAGGGGTTGTGAACTAGAAAATAGCTTCAGATGAAATTCCAAAAAGGTCATAGAGTCAAAAAAGTACCCGAAATTTTCAAGGACAAAATGAACACAGAATCGAGAGGTATCTTTTTCTAGTATACATTTTGCTTCCTCTTTTCTTATTTCTATAACGAACTTGTTATAGCTTAAAAATAAGAACCAAAACAAGGAGTAGTAGATTTTGTTTATTTCATAGAATAGTTGAAGAAATTCAACATCTGACAGAGACTGGTATAGAATCATAGAAGTCCAGCGTCTTGAAAACAATTCAAATAATATTTCATTTCCTTGCAAAAAATTTATTCTCTCGACGTCAAATGACCAAATGCAACAAGTCTGAAAGTCAGAAGAAAATAAACGACTTTTTCATTCCTTGTGGGATAATCCATACAATGCAATGAATTAAACAAAAGAGGAAGATATGACAGTCGAACAAAAAAGTTATAAAGCTCCACGAGAATCCCAGTCATTTATATGAGTCAGATCGTAAATTCTAGTCTAAACCATATTGACACCCTAGAAGAAACTATCGTAGGAACCTTAACACGGAGGACTGAAGCCAAGAAGCGATCGACGTCGAAAAGAATACACGACTAGGGAAAGTCCTGGGATGTCAAAAATGACGAAATAAAATTCATGAAGATTTTCTGAAACGTTTGAACATTTACAGTGAAGACTGACGTGAGCACCTGTCACAGGCTATGTTCCTGCTTTTCGTGACGTCCCTAAATGGGGAAGATATGGAAAAAAGAGCTTAAATGAATTAGAGAGCAAAGATGAATTACACATGTTGAGTGTAAATATGACAAAGATGAATGGCACTGCAAGACTCTTCTTTGGGTAAAAAATGATAGCATCCCATTGGTAAACCTAGTGAGTACTCGCCCACTGGTTCCAAAGTCTTCCATCTCTCTGTCCCTGCCTTCTTGGTCAGAAACATGACAATATAATCTGAGCACAGAGAAACGGGGATGGAATGGTCACAGGACAGGGACGACAAAGGGAGAACCTCACGTTAAAAGACCGAGAGAAGATAAATGATCCCCGCATTAACAAACAGAACCCGCCGCTGGCAACATAAGCCTCCGTATGTATATGCCCAAATCAAATGCGCAGAATCGCAATGGCTAAATAAAAAAAAGCGAGCGGATGAAACCATGAAACGAAGCAGAGGCGTCGGTGACTGCCATTGAATACCTTCCACCCAATGGACAACGAGTAAGCAAACTTGTGCGCGACGTATCGGCACCACGTCCCGACGGATACCATCGCAAACTGCAGCACGGCGGCGGCAGCGGCAGAAACTGCGTCCTCCTCCGCTCTTTCCCGCTCTCGACCACCTGCTTAATACTGACGAATGGCAAACACCAGCGGGAATCCCGTCCCGAACGTTGATTTCTCGGAATAGGAGGCCTCAGGAACCCTAATTAGGATCCAGAGCACACCATGAAGAAATATTTCATCTAATCTCCACTCCCAGCTGCGATGCCTTCCATCTTCTGCGATCATGGATCTCCGATTGTTTCTGAGCTCGAGTCTCGCGGGCGAGTTGATAAGGGAGTTATGAAACTAGGACTTTTTTACAATAATCCATCGTCTATATCACGTATTATTTTAGCACCCACATTTTTGAATATTTCATTTTAACCCGTTTCAGGGCTTAGTTGAGAATATAATTATGTGGAGGAAGTATTAGTAATACCGCCCCCACCCTTCAAAAGAGGAATTTTCTGGTAGAGAGGACAGAGAGAGAGAGAGAGAGAGGTGTCTGGGAAAGGAGGCGAGCTTCCGGCTAGGGTTACGCTCGGAAGGGAAGGAAGGAAGGGCGAGATGGTGTGCATCCGTCAGGCGACGATGGACGACCTGCTGGCGATGCAGGCCTGCAACCTGATGTGCCTGCCGGAGAACTACCAGATGAAGTACTACTTCTATCACATCCTGTCGTGGCCGCAGCTTCTCTACGTCGCGGAGGACTATGGCGGCAAGATCGTCGGATACGTTCTCGCGAAGATGGAGGAGGACTCGACCGAGCCCTGCCACGGTCACATCACCTCGCTCGCCGTCCTCCGCACCCACCGCAAACTCGGCCTGGCCACGAAGCTCATGACCGCCGCGCAGAACGCCATGGAAAGCGTCCACGGCGCAGAGTACGTCTCCCTTCACGTCCGCAGGTCCAATCGCGCCGCTCTAAATCTCTACACCTCCACCCTCGGGTACAAGAACCACGATATTGAGGCCAAGTACTACGCCGATGGGGAGGACGCTTATGACATGCGCAAGTATCTAGGTTGCCGCCACGAGCCTCACAACCATCAGCACCCCCACCAACACCACCACCACCACCATCATCATCACCATCACCATGATCACCCCTGCGGAGGACACGGCTCTTGTCATCATGCAAAGAGTAGCGTGAGCGGGGAGGCTGCCGCGGCCGCCGGCGGTGACAGTTCCGGGGCTTGTTCCTCGGCAGAAACTTGAGACCATCTACCCCAAAGCAGTGGGAATAATCATCCATCCCGGTGGAACTGTGTGTGGTGTTCGGGTGTTTTGCCTTGTTTTCTTGTAGAAATTCTGCGGCGGCGCCCGTCGCTTGACTGCTTTAAATCTTATCGCGGCATTGGGTCTCCGGAAGGCATCAAGGTACATTCAGTTGACTTCTCGCACCACTCGTACTCGATAGTTGACATTTTCTTCACGCATTTCAAATGGGTCTTTGCTGTAGATGTAGTTCAGAATGATATATAGTCAACTCTGCCTGCGTCACAGCTACCTGCCCGTGGCTGGCTGAGTCGATAAAATTCTCTGGATTTCATTAAAATCAGTGGTTCTGCCTGTGTTCGAATGATTCATTTCAAGTCCTAGCATGGGGCTCCATATGAACTTAGGACTGATAGCTACGGGCCTCTGAACATGCTTGCAACTCGAGAAAACCTTCTTGTTCCTGCAAATATCAGGATTCTTCCTCTGAAACACTTACCTACCCAGTTAGGATAAAAACTTGAGGTAGTCTGATTCCATACCCGGTGTGATTAATCTGACTGAGTGGCTCAAATTTGAGAAATGACCCATATGATGTTTCACCCATCGGATCAAAGTTCATGGACCTTGAAATGATGATGATGATAATCCGAATCCTGTTGAAATGTGGTGACTGAGAGGACCGGAAAGATGTTCTATGCATGGATTTAATGTCCCTGGGTGCAGTCATCTTCGCTCTTCTCATTTTTGCAGACCCAATCCCATGTAGCTGATGTGTAGATCCTGTCATGATGGCGATCTTCTCTCCGATGACTGATGGAGTTGTTCTAGGAAAGAGTTCTCAGTTTCTTCAGGAATCCCTGATTTTATGAATCTTGAGGATTGAGACCGCTGTATGAATCTTGAGTAACACAAAAGGGTGGGAAAAAACGAAGAGGGGTTAGTGAAAATTAGTTGATCATGAGAAGGATTTAGACGCAATCCTCCTGCTTGGCGTTATAATCATATATGCAATTAATTCATTAATTAATCAGATTAATAAGCGTTGTAAGAGCTTTAAGTCGCCATAAATGGAAGTGACGAGGGACATGTATGTTAGGAAGAGGATGTTTTAACTGGTAAATAATGAATAGAAAAGGTCCAAATGAATGGCAGCAGCCTCCAGGGGGGAGGGCAATAAATGTAATAAATATTTTTATCAAGGGTTAAAAGCGTAGTGAAGTTAGTCGTCTTCAGAGAAGTGGGGTGTTTCTCCCTCTTCCTCCCTATGGCTGAGCGACCTGGGGATATTTGGTCAAAGGAGATGGAGTACCTACCTGGTTCAGTCCTTGGAAAGGCGGACGATCAGGCCGGTGGGGGACTCAACAGTCTTCAGTACGCCGGAGCCGATGAGATCCCGGAGGTGGAAGCGCATGTCCAGCAGAGAGAGACGCAGTCGCTTCTTCTCCAGCGCCGCCAGCATCATCTCCCTGTGCTTCCTCTTCCTGAGGAGGGAGACCAGCTCCTTCCTTCCCTGAGGAACTCCGTCAAACAAGTAAGAGAGAGAGAGAGAGAGAGAGAGAGAGAGAGAGAGAGTAGAGAAAGTGGGTATCATCGTCGATAGAAATTCATCAGCAAAGGCAATTGCATGAACGACCAAAGTTTGACCATTTATGGTGCCATCTAGACAGAGGAGTTATGCTCGTTTTGATAATTGTCAACAGAAGGTCAACGACGAAATGGAAACTGCGCTCGAAGAAAAATATCTGAAGTATCTGAAAAAGTGCACGTACCTGAGACAGGCCCTTCAGGAGCAGGCCAATGTTGGGGATTGAAAACCAGTACATGCTTGGGTCAACCAGTTGGCGGGTCTACATACAGCGAGACAGGAGGATTTCAGACAATAAAATCCAAAAATAGTAACTGGGCCTTAAACTAGAAAAGAAAGTCAACGTGGACAGACGTGAGGAAGAGAAATTAAACGTTATATTAGCAATAGATGGTGCCGACAAAAAAAAATTAAAAAAAAAACAAAAATCTGATCCCAAAGTCGGGCCTTGTTGCATCAAAATATGACCCTAAACTAGTTAATTTCTTCTTTAATATCACCCGAAGGTCTTCGGACCATATGTTATTAATGAAAATGCCGAGCCAAGTCTGTGATTCTACTCACAAGGAAGCCAGCATTGATCAGAAGGGAGACGTGCTCTTCTTTCACCTTGCCGCCAAATGACAGAAGTGAGCACTGCAAGGCATCGAGATCGACCAAATCATCAAACCCTTTGTGTAGAAAGATATCTCTAATGACCAGAAACTATAAAAAAGAGAAATCCAAGTATTACAGAATATGACAAGTCGCAGAGAATTCACACGATATTTAACCATTTACAATATTCATAAGCAGTAAGTCCCCTTCCACCCATCTGGGGAGATAAAACTGCGAATAAAATGGCTAATCTACCATCAAAGGTACATCCCCAAAACATATCTGAGGAACTCACCAGTTCATTATGATCTATTCCAACATCCAACTTGGTTCCGGTGACATATGTCTTAAACCACTCAAAAACCTGAATGAGATCTTCGTTCTTGGTCCCCAACCTTTTCATGGCGACCCCTATCTAACACACATGATATTTAGTTAGCATACAAAAAAACACATCACTGGGAGAAAAGAGTGAGCCCGTACAATAAACCTTATATCTAAATATCAAGACGGAAAACGACTTTCAGTGTATTTTTGCCAACAAAGAAGTAAAGGTGAAATGTTACAATCCCATCTGAAGGGGAAAATGTAGAAGTTGAGACTGGTATGAAGTATGGCCAAGAAAAATTGACCTGATTGTTGTAGTCATCCATGAACATTACAGCGTGATCATCCTGTCCAGTGTTTAGTTTGAATATCCGCAGAACTTTCTCCTTCTTCAGAGACTGCAGAATAAACCGGTCTCCACATCTGTAAGGGACTATATACCAGTGTTCTGATTTCATGAATGGACTCTTTAAATGATTTTCCATCATGTACAAATACAGACCAAAAATATAAAAACCCAGTGTCCGGGGATCTATTAACACATTCTTGGCGGTTTTAATAGCCAGCCACATCCGCCAACTAAGTCGGAATTTGGGAGTCCAACTTCCACAGGGAGATTCCAGCCTGATTTCATTACGGCATACTGATTCACGTCTTTTGTTCAAAGGTGGAGGGCAAAAATGCTTTTTGTGCGACTACAAGCTTAGCACATAAGGCCACCATTCTAATGATGAACGTAACATCAACACTTTCTTTCAACAGCTGTCGCATGTTTGATCTCAATGTCAGAAAGAAAACGGTAAGGGATGAAAGAAATCATGGAATGTTGTATTTTACTTGGAAATTTCTAGGCCAGATGTATGAGGAAAAGGATGCAGAACATAAACATTGAAAAAAATATAAATAAAGTTTAGCCTCTCTTTTTCCTTAGATCCCTTATTTCAATCCGATAGTATGATGTATCGCCATGGATGCATTTTACATACTATAAACAATAAATAAGTAGAATAGATAGAACATAATATAGATTAAGTCACATCCCATTCAAAAAATTAACAGTGTCTTTGAAGTTAGGTGTTTATAAAAGAGCCATGACCATGGGGATATAGATAGCTACGAAAAATTAGAAAATTACTACTTGGTCTGAGATTCCGACAAAGTGAGCACCTCCAACTCTCTGTCCACTTGCGTCCTGTCTTTTATGCTACTGTATAGCTGTGATCGCAAAATAAAAGGTTCCACTGATACCTGATAAATACATCGATGAATCAGATAGAAAATCATCCCCAGAAATCTGGAGGCAACTTCCTATAAAAAAAATCATTGTAGTAGACGGTGTGTATACTCCTGACATGAATATTTAACAGAAGATAGAAAAACGAAATCAGCCAAATACCTTATTGATTTTCGGGAACTGCGCCCGCATCATCTGCAGAGCCATCAGGGTGTCGCTGAACGTAAGGCTATCCCCTGCACTGGTCAGAACGGCACTGCGCTGAAATATTCTTCCCAAATGATGTGAACGAACCACCGTGAATATACATTCCGGAAGAACTTGATGCCACTTGGTGAGACCTCTACTCGGTTAGAAAGCATCGAAGTCAACGTGGACTGGCTAAATGGAGAAAGAAAATAAATACCTAATGTCAGACTATCATTTGAGCTTCCCTCCCCCAATTGAATCTCTCCTGCATCCCGGAAGCGTTTCCTCCCCGATAATCCAGACGACTCCGCCATCAATTCCGCCCCCAGAAGCGACCTATCGGTGTCACGATCCCACCACGGACAGCCTCCGTTCCTCCTTATAACGACACCGCGACGAGGACCGCAGAGGTTCCACGGCCGGAGGAGGAGGAAGAGCTCTGCCGAAGAAGAAGAAGAAGAAGAAGAAGAAGAAGAAGCAGAAGAAGAAGAAGAAGAAGAAGCAGAAGAAGAAGGGAAGGCTAAAGAGGGTCAGGGATTGGGAAAGGCCTTCTAAAGGCCCACTAACCCAGTTAAACCCGGTATCAGCCCATGTATTATTGGGCCCGTGATAATGTTAATGGGCCTTTATCAAGAATGGCCCATAGTCTCTGTAACGATCGGTGAAGATTGCGGGGGGTTCGTCCCCTTCCCTCGGCGCAACTTGGAAACCCTAGTTTTCGGATCGGAGGCTGATCGCTGGCGAGGATTCATCGTCTAGGAGGAGCTTGAAGCGGGGATTGATGTCGAAGGATCCGGCGTCGGCATCGAGCTCCTCAGCGGCAGCGTCCCAGCACGCGTCCTACAGCGCAGCGCAGTACTTTCCGGTGCCGTTCCACCTGCAGAAGGCCGATCACCCGGCGACTTCCCAACCCCAGGCCCTGTCGCAGCAGTATCCGAAGCCCTATATCCCACCGCCACAGGGGCCGCTGCCGCCAGTCAAGGTCCCGGCGGCAGCACCCGTCTACGGTGCCGCTTATCCTGCCGCGACGCCGGCAGCACCTGGAGTATATGCTCTGCCTCAGTATCAGCAGGTGAGACGTCTCGCATTTTATTTCTCTATTCTGCTCTTGGTGTTTCAGTTGTCATTGTGCTACGTGAATGACTAAGTGAAAGAGATCAAAAGGTCCTTTCACGGAGAAATTGAACTTATTGTCTTCAGTTACATCGTAGAAATTATAATTTGAAGAGACACTTAGATTTTAGGACATATTTCTGATATAGAAGCTTTAGGAGGGATTCATTGATCAAGATAACGAGAGTCGTCCTCCTGGTACCGGTGATACGATAAATAGATGCGCTTCTTCGGGTTATCTAATTACCATGATGAACAACTTTGATTTTCTTTTTCCTAAAAAATTGATCGGTCACTGTGATGGCATCATGCAACACATCTCTCAGTGAATTGTATGAAAATTTCTATTCAGTGAGTGTTCTGCTTTGCGTGCACACTTATTGCTAATTCTTCAGACATTTGTAAGATTTCTGTTGGCGTAGATGGCCAAAAATTCGGTGTTGTCTATTCACCATCGATAGTTCTTAATTCAAGAACATCATTAACCCTACTTATTCGATACAGAAGTTCCCTTGTAGAAGGCAAGGACAATCCAAAATTGAGCTTCAACAACAAGTATTACAGAGGTTTGTGCTGAAGCATCGCCACATTCATCTGGTGAAAATGAAATCAATTGAAAACTCCATGTAAGTTACCATCAGTACGTTGCTGATTAAAATCAAGTGGTAGTTCGATTTCCTTTTAAGAGTTCATGTGCAAAAAAGAGTCTGTTGGTTGGGAATAATGTGTTTACAGTTCATTGGTCCTTTGGAAACAATCGCAGTGTATAAGATGGCAGAGATTTTTGTTGAATGAGAGCTTGAGAAAGAGATCTTGGACAGTGGATTGGAAGGAACTGCTTTTGTCATTTATTTCAGATGCAGACCAACTTAGCCTGGTCGATTGGTTGTGCTGCGCAAAATAATCTTCTTCCCAATTTGGGACTAATTATGAAATAGCAAGCCTAGGTCACTCATTTCTGACATGAAAGATTTTAAATTTTAATGCGTTCCCAAGAGCTCTTTTTATATAAAAGAGTGCGGACAGCCGCAATATTAGTCCATTTTCCTTTGAAGATATATCTTTAGCTTTTCTTTTTGTTTTCTACTAGTCGAGCAGTTGAGGAGTCCAACCCATTTGTGTGAGCCCGGCTTGTGACTGAATAAATTATCTTGTAGCTGCTCGAACGGGATGTCACAATATTGGTGAGGAGTATATAGTTTTACCTTACAATTTTATAAAGTAGGATCGCTGGAAGCTCGCAAATGTTTGATTTTAAGACTGTAATTACAATTATTTCGGTTGGGAGCACGTGTAAGTGAACCTCCATTGTGATTTCCTCTGGAGTCATGTTATTCTGTCTAGTAAATATAAACCTGCAAACCCTATGTTCTGCTTGCACTTCTTCTGGCTATTTCTAGGCTCAAGAGTATCACGATTGAGCTCACAAGTTGCCACCGCGTCTCATGGTTTTCTGTATGCGTCCATTATTAGCTCCGAGTTTGTGATTTGTGTAGTGGTTCATCCTTCAAGAAGGTAAAACTTTCTTAAACAGTTGGCCATTTGATCCAACAGGCACAACAGTTGTTTCAACGGGATGCGCAGACCATCACACCAGAAGCTCTTGAGAGCGTGAAAGCGGCTTTGGCAAGCAGTGAGGTTGACCACAAGACTGAAACGAAGAAGAAGGCCATACCTCGCAAAGCAGCCGGTCAAACTTGGGATGACCCGACATTAACAGAGTGGCCAGAGAGTACGTCCTCCAAGGGATTTTAATCCCCTCAACTTTCCTTAATTTCTGTGAAATAGACGAGCTCACTTTCTTGTCACACCTTCCTGCTCAACGCAGATGACTTCCGTTTATTCTGTGGGGATCTCGGCAACGAAGTCAACGACGACGTCCTCTCAAAGGCATTCTCGAGATTCCCCTCTTTCAATATGGCAAAGGTTAGCTCCTTCTTCCTCTCACGCTTCTTCTTCTTCTTCCCTCATGTGATGAAAGAAATCGGGCAGGAAACCTGACGATCTACGTCCCGATGGGTTTCCTGTGATCCGCGATCCCTTCTTTCACTGTTATCAGTACATTTTCTGTTCTCCTCCCTGGAGCAGCAGAGCTTCAAACCCTGCGTTGACCTTCTCCTTACTCCAGGTGGTCAGAGACAAGAGGACCGGCAAAACCCGGGGCTATGGATTTGTCAGCTTCGGCAACCCGGCCGACCTCGCAGCAGCGCTAAAAGAAATGAACGGTATGCATATATGTCTCCTGGAGGGTTCCACGATGTTCCAGCAGAGCGAATTGGTCGCCGATGAACTGATCCACTGTCCATTGGCCGTCGATCTATTTCAGGCAAGTATGTGGGTAATCGCCCGATTAAGCTCCGGAAGAGCACCTGGAAGGAAAGGACGGATGTTGAAGCCCTGGAGAGGCAGAAGGTAACCCAGATTCTCCTTCTTCCTAAAACATGCTTCTTTTCGGCATGTTACTAGGCGTTGACTAGTTATTTTCATACCCATTTCGGAATAGAACTCGCTTCTTTTTAGGGTATGATTTACCCTAAACCGGTAAATCTTAATCTTAATGCTTCTTTGTACCAGTATGATAACCCCATCAGTCTTAACACCCCGTGAAGGCACCCAAGATTTTTCTTCCTAGAATTTCCTTCTTTCTTTTTTTTTTTAGCTAATCACTCGGAGGCGATCGAGATTTTTCAACCAAAAAAAAAAAAAAAAGCTGCTTTCTAGCTAGCTTATTATTCGCCAGTCGCCCAATGATGTTAATATTCTTCTTCTTCCCTTTGGTCAGTTATCGGTACCTCGATTTTTATTTTTATTTTTATTTTTATTTTTATTTTTATTTTTATTTTTATTTTTATTTTTATTTTGTTTTCCTTCGGAAGGCATGCTTCTTTCTAGCACATCATCCAACATTAGCCCGTCGATTCTGACATCCATCGAAGTGTAATCTAGGTTTTTTATTTATTTATTTATTTTAATTTTTCATCTGAAAATATGCTTCGTCAATTTATTCTTTAACATCGGTCGCCTATACTACCCCTCTTAGAACCACACCTATAAGAAGCAGAAGCAGGCGAAGAGGGGGATCCTGCACAAGTGAGACGGCTCCTCGTCCGCTCCGATCTCGTCTTCCCGCGGCCGCACCCCAAGGGCCCACCTCGACTTCATCAGTTCTTGGAGAGCGCTGGGTCAATGCTTCTAGGGTTCGGCGTTGACCCGGCCTTTGCCCCTCGATGTGTGTGTAGCCTGGAAACCTTGTTTTCGAAGAATATTATACACCGCGGGTTGGTAGATTCTTGAATTGGAATGGAATTTCGTCACTCTTCATTGTCAGTGGCCCGCACCGACCCTGAAGGTAGTAGGGTAACGAGGTAGAGAGAGAGAGAGAGAGAGAGAGAGTAGGTCAAGGGAGGGTTGGGACCAGTCCGAGATGGAGTCCAGGCACATGCTTACTCATCACGCAGCTGGTGGAGAGCTCGGAGAAATAAATTCGGAAAGAAAAGTGGATCCCTCCGATGCGTGCGTTGACTAAAGCCCCTGATTTTCTCTCTCTACGTTCACTGCAGAGATCTGTGATTCGGAGGTAGGAGAGTGGCGGATCCGCGGGGAAGAGTACAGCGGGCACGCAAATTAAATAATAGCTCTCTTATTTACTCCATGGATCTTAATGGGGTGACAGAGACATGAGCCGTTGACCAATGGGAGGAAGAAGACAGAGAGGTAGTAAGAAGATTCCCCTTTCCGAGATCCCTCCGATGCGTTGACAAAAGCACCGGAATCTCTCTCCACATTCACTCAGATCTGTTATCGGAAGGTACGAGAAGGTAAGAGAGCAGGCACGCAGATTAAAAAAAATAGGCACTCTTATTTACTCCAGGGGGGAGGGGGAGGGAGACCTTAATGGCATTGACGGAGACATAACCCGTTGACCAATGGGAGGAGGAAGACAAAGAGATAGTAAGACGATGCCCGCTTCGGACATCCGCAGGGAAACCAAAAACGGAAGTGAAAGGGAGCGTTGACCCGGAGAAGTGGGGAGCTAAGCGGAGACCCGGGACTTCTGGACGAGGAGGATGAGCTCGTCGTCGGCCAGGTCGTGGTCAGCGTCGGCGCCGACGGCGGCGACGGTCTCCCAGCGCAGCGCCGCCAGGTACTTGTTGACGAACTCCAGCGCGGGCTTCTTGTCCCTGAAGAGGGCGAACCCCGTGGGCCGGAGGATCCTGTCCATCTCCAGCAGCAGATCCTCGGGGCTGCACCCCCTCTTCTCCACCTCCGATACCACCTCCCACGCGTGCAGCAGGTCGTAAGTCCGAGGGTACGTCGAGTACGCCTCGCACCTGCCCCCCCAAGAAAGAAGGAAAGAAAGAAAGAAGAGAGAAAGTAAGTAAGAGAGAGAGAGAGAGAGAGAGAGAGAGACGGGGGAGGGGGGGGGAGCTGACCAGTCGTGGACGCTGCCGATGAGGCCGCGGTCGTAGACGACCTTGAGGTGGTGCTGCTCGTCCTCAGGGACGACGTTCATGACCCAGACGTCTCGGCGGCGAAGAGCGGCGGCGAAGGAGCCGAGATGGGCTCGCATGTCCATGATGTTCCTCAGGGTGTTGGTGCTGATCTTGGGGCTCAGCAGGTCCCAATACTTGTCCACCCTCTTCTGCCAGACTGCCTGCGGCACCATTCCATCCACCAAAGGAAGAACACCGGACTCAATTCTTCTTTCTGTTTTTCCCAAAAAATTTAAAAAAAAAATGCACAATTTTTGGATTCTAGAGAGAGAAGAGATCTAAGTTGACTCACCGTGTCCTTCTCGAATGTTTCACTGGAGATGTCGAGACTGGCGAGACGAGGGGGAGGAGAGGTCAACCTTGCCGGCCATGGGGCCAGTCCACTGCCCTTGTCCCTCTGGGTCTCTGGTAGCGAAAATGATGATGATGATGGTGGTGGTCAACGACAGATTTGCAATTAGAAATTAGCATTAAAAATAGTGAAGATTTGTGTAGAAAAACAACTACCCATAATTAGCATAATAATTAGTGAGTATTATAAACTCACCGGCAGGGTAGGGGGTGATGCAAGCCTGCATAGGGACTCCCCACACGGAGTCGGGATCGTCATCGGACTTGCACATAGGCGGCTGCGTGCCCGGTTCTCTGTTCATGTAGCAATCATTGGTCAAGGGTTTGACCCAGATTACAGTTTGATTCCTCTTGGCCGCGATTTTCCAGCACATCCGTTCGACGAGGGCGCTCATCTCCCTCCAGATTCTAAGATCTTCTTCATCAGTAGCATATGCTTCGGGGGATGAGTAGGCAAAGTACCCTCCCGGCCTCAGCAGCCTGTCCAGCTCGAGCAGGAGGATCCCGTCTCTCTGCAGCCAATCAATCCTGCAACGAGAACAGTGGGCAAGCTCAAAGGACCTGCTAGGGTAAGGCAATCTCTTTGTGCCCAGCACTCCGAGATATGCTGGGATTCCCCTCTCGAGGGCGAACTGGATCTGGTTCTGGTGCACATCGTTGGGTGCCAGAGACATTGCAAGGATGTCAGAGGAGAGGAGGTATCCTCCAAAACTTGCTACACCACAGCCAACATCGAGAATGGTCCTGACTCTTCCTTCGTTGTTCAGATTATCGCCAGTGAAGTTGAGCATCTGTCGATCCAGTTCAAGCGAGATTATAAGAATTACTCTGGAAATTTTATCTACTAACTTCTCTAGGAAATGCAGACTTTAGAAAATAAATATATAAACAAATCTAAGACGTTATAAAAAGGAAAATATCTGGAAGGTGACGAGGAATGCACCACATTCAGAAAGGAGCAGGTGACAAATAAATTATTTAAGACGAGAGAGAGAGCGGAAATATAAAAATTATTTTCAATAAGAAGAAGAGAATTCCCCCGTCATTACTCTCTTAAAGAGCAGAGGCAAAACTTACGTTAGCGAGTGATGCAATATACTTGTCAGCTCCGTAGTGGAAGTGAGTCCCTCCCCCAGGGAATTCAATTTTGTCTCCTTTCACAACCATCCAGTTCTGATCAGACTTCTCATGTGCAAGGTGGGTGTGAGGTATATTTGCTTGCCAGACTTCGTCACGACTTTTCGGCCATTTAATTGGGACCTGTCAAAAATGTATTACCCATTGAGCAACATCGTAAACAATAAATGTCATGTAAGAAAATTGAATTTTTTTTTAAAAAGTGAGAAGCAGCATAACAGTACGACCTTGTATCCATGTGGTGGGGGTATCAAGCAATTAAACCTCCTCTCAGGAAGAGGGCAATGCCTCTCATAATGCTCCATCAGAGATAAATCAAGTTTCAACCGCATTTGAGTTATGTGATTTCTATCTAGACAGGGAATCAACTCGGAGTGACGATCATCACAGACCTGCAAAAAGCAGAAGCATACCCCATTAGTAAACGAAACTAATCATGAAACAAGAAAGAAAAAGTTGACCAACCGAATACTCACTGGAAAGCTCTTGGGGATGAAGTTGCTCTGACTCTCATCTTGCCCAAATAGAGGCAATTCTTCTTGTTTGCTGAGATGGTCATTATCTTCATCACTACCCCACCCAAATGCCCTGACAGACTTGGTACCATATTCGAAAGAAGAAGCCCCACTGTTTTCACGGTTTCTAAAGAACCCATTGTTGTACAGAAGGAATATAGTAAATCCCCCAACAACCAACAAGGAAGTCACCAACCGCTTTTTCTGGTTCCCATCACCTTTTCCCTTCACCTTGTCCATGATAGATTCAACACGTTCCCTTCTATTGAATTACTTCGAAAATAAGAAGATCCCAAAACCCAGAATAAGAATCTATCACTGACTCCCTATATTCCTCATAGCAATGCCGCTTCAATTAGAACATTATCCTGCGATGAAAGATCGAAAGAAACCCGTTTATTCCCAGCTAAAAACATGAACAGTTCATATGGTACCTGATCCCTCATAGGATACTAAAACCATGCGCTAATTTCCAATAGAATAAATAACGTTTGTTTGCTCACTCAAAAAAGATTCTACGTTCAATTAATTTAATAAGACAAAGCAGATGTCAGCAAACGATATATTGGCAAGTGTAAGACATCATGTACCGTCGTCGTAGAAAAAGAACGATAGGTAAAACGAGCTTCAATAAATACCAGTTGAACCAATAATGGCATCGCCAACCGGTTTCTTTATCTAAAGCCACTACAAAGGTTAAAACAGATGAAGCCAGAAAGCGAACGACACTAAAACAAATAAGTACGCGTGTGAGAAGGATCATATTAAATGTCTGACGCTCCGCCACCAAAAGAAGATGAATAAAAGAGGAAAGTCCGGTAGAAGCGACCACTGGCCAAATCAGGAACGGTAATTCCGAAAGTATCCACCAAAACAAAACAAAAAAGCGACTTGTATTGTCTTTGTAACGCCTGAGTATCGACTCAACGAATGCACCTTTCCCATCCGAAATCAAAAAGAGAAGACAGTACTTTGTCCATCATAAGAATCATTGTTTCAGTCAAACAGACTACATCTGAGACGGAGTTCCGACGGCAAGGCCTCCCAGGAATGCGATTCTCAACGTATGGAAGATCCAACCAAATTAGATAGAGAAAGAGAGACTCCTCTCCGCCGCGCGTAGACTCCCGAGCCAGACAACTCATAGAGTTGCATCGGTACGGATCTGAGCTAATGAGCTCGACAGGGGGGTGGCAGCCTCCCCTCGGACTCGATCCGCCCGGGCCGACGACAGAAGCTGGCGCCCACCGAACGGGGACGCAGAAAACGCGGGAGAGACAAACACATTACAGATTTGCAAAGCTGTCGGCAAAGGAAACTCTACCAGAAGCGGCACCAGATCTTCGAGGGCGCCGTCGGGAATGAACCACAAGATTTCGGCGGCGATCGAGACAGGAGACGGAGAATGAGACGGGACGGGAGTGGGGGGGAAGTAATCGCAGATCTGAGTTAAAATAGGAGAAAAGAATGGTGACAAACTCAGATAGAGAGAGAAAGAGGGAGAAAGAGAGAGGATAGGCGCTTAACAAAATTAAATAAAAGTCAGTACTGGTGAATATTTTAAATATGTATGGGTTTATCAGTCATTTTCCTGCAAGAGCGGAACACCGACAACACTGCACCTGGGACTCTGTCGGCACGCTCCCCCTCCCCCCCTCACACATATTTCAAGAAGTTACTAGATTCTATATAAATCTGCCACATGATTCCCGCAAACGCCGCCCATCGATTTTCATCGTACGTTGCATCGCGTTTAGATCATCTTTCAGATCATAAATGCTTAGAGGATACAGCAAAAATGCTGTTAATGGGCCTACAAGTTCCACCCGTCGGCCCATTTACTCCGAAAGTCTGAATCTGAGCCCAAAAAGACTGGGTCGTTGTCCATACCCGGGCCGACCGATTGATGACGCAAATCATAAACCAGAGCACGAGCTATCGGAAAATAAATTAAAATAAATATTTAAAAAATCACATAAATTATTGGATTGGGGTGTGTTCATGGAAGGGCCCATGAGCCGACGTGGACGGACCTGCCCACCTGGATAATTCAGGGTTTTTTCCCGCTATTTTTGAGCCTGCAACTGTGAGAAGTACCCGTCCTCGTCAGCATGTGTATGGTTTGTAGGTGGTCAGTGAGATGGGATTATTGTCGGTGACCAAAGCAATCGTGTCATGTCAACACTGCGCTGTCAAGTCAGCGGCCCTCGAGGGACCTCACCCGGCTGTTATGCCCCAACTGGAAGCTTTTGAATAGTTAACGGAATAGTCATGCGCCATGTCGACTCCCGCGTGCCACATCAGCAGAGGCTCCAATGTGCCGCCCCTCATCAGCATGATGGATCGCCTCTCCTACGTGTCTCCAGTATGAAACTCGTAGTATATAATGCAAAAAGAATCGTGCCATCATCAGCATGGAGGATCCTCTCTTATCCGCCACGTTGGACAAGTGTAAGTAATAAATATACAAAGTTTCCTGCTCTGAATAAGTGGGCCCGGGCCATCTTGCTGATGTGGCAGCTCCATGTTGCCACGGATCGACCGCTGAAATACAAACAAGCAACAACCGAGTTTTTTTTTCCTTTTTGCTCTTTTTTTAATGCGGAAGAAAAAAAGAAAAAAGAAGAAAAAAAAGAAAAAAGAAGAAAAAAAAGAAAAAAGAGATGGGAAAGGTGACTAAAGAGAAGAACAAGATTTATTTTTTATTTTAAAAAAAAAACTAAACTATTATGGAAGGGTGAAATAGGGGGAAGAAACATTATGCTGCTGGCATGAAATACCTAAACTATTTTTCAATGACCCTCTTGATAATTCTACCCAGACAGCTGACTTCCAGCTAGCTGACGATGCCTGACAGCGTGACCGCAGCGAAGACGAAGAAGAGGAGCCCTCCAACGTAGGCGATGACCTGCAAAAGAGCAAGGCAGAAGCAAAAATGACCTCTTTTTGAGGGTCGCTGGGTGGGGGGTGGGTGCAGATATCAAAACCTGTTCTTGCCACGTGGCCCCAACCCAGAGCCCCATTTCACTCTTCAGGCCCGGTACTGGATCTAGGCCATGCAGGGGACACTAGTCTGCAAGCCACCTCATGTTTATATTCCTTTTTTTTTTTTTTCCATTTTTGTCAGACGGGGGTGTTGTCTTATTCTGTATCTAATTCCAAATTCCTCCATTTTTCCCTTTATTTTTTTTTCCATTTTTGGCAGATGCAGCAGCTTTATCGGGTCTGGCATTTCCCTTCTTTTTTTTTCTTTTTTTTTTTTTAATTTCATCAAGTAGCATTTCTGACACATTCAAGACTACATATAATGAAAGTAAGAGCTAACCTTCTCGGAGAAAAATGTGCCTAATAAGGATCCCCCCACAACTGCAAGCTGCAAGAGCGAAATAAATATAAATGCCAAATAAATTACACTAATCATCAAATAAGTTCATTTAAAGCTTTAAATAATATTTAAAGCTTAGTCTCACCAAGGTTGCAGCGGCATGGCCGGCCAGGGCGCCCCCCACGACACCAAGCGGCGAAGAAGCTGCAGCAAGTGCTGCACAGAGCAAAAAAGAAGCAAAAAAAATGAGAGTTATAAAAACATAGAATGTTGTGATTGATAGAACATTCCCGAGCATTTAACAGCAGTATGTTCAATAAAAATAAAAAAAATAAAAAAAAATGTTCAATAAAAATAAAAATAAAATGAACGAAAAAATACCTATGGTGGAAAAAAATGATTTATCGCCCCATTCGGCGACAAAAACCAGGGCAAAAGTACTGATCACGGTGCTAGCTGCAGCCACAATTCCTGCACCACTCCCTGATACATCGGCGATCGCAAGCTCCGCCTGGTTGAAAATCAGGAACCAATCACAACAGTCAAGAAAATGAAGTGCTGAGGTTATAAAAAAAAGCCTAAAAGCTCCAAAAATAATGAAGAGCCTTCTTCACATATTATGTTCTTAAGTGGAAGATGCTGGACGGGTAAAAGAAGTTGTCATTTGATTTCGTATAGGCAACGTCTATGAACCATGTGCAACTGTTCTTGATAAATTAACTCATCAACGAAACCATCTGAGATTAAAAATAAAAATAAAAGTAGGTGTTGCCCCTCATACAGATTTATTTTAAAAATAAATTCAGCATGCGAACTCACCTCCTCCTTTTCCCCTTGAGCCTTTGAACCATCACTTGAAGAAGCATCGATTAGAGTGGAAACCCCAAAATAAACCTGGCATGTCTAACGATTAGAACCCCACCCATCGAGCATTTCACTGGAGTAAGATGTGCTACAACGAATATCTGAAGGTTGTAAACGGAAAAAAAAAAAAAAAGAAATTTGCTAAGCTTTGCTTTACAAGCTTTAGTTTAGCATATTATGGGTCAGAAGTGTTACCAGTAGGCAGACTGCTGCAATATCATCAACGGGCAAATCTGTTTCACCAAACCTACCACAGGGTTTTCACATCACGTTAAAGGTACGTCTTAGATAGCTTCCTATATATTATCTGGGAGGATAATGTAGCATGAGACAGCCATCAGTGAGATACCATCCCCATGGGAGAACAAAACCACTACCTGAACGGTAGGATGTCATCCACATAATGAAATGTACGTCCAAGAATGACGGATATGATGGTCATCACCCTGCAGAAGAAAATGATTACTGGCATTATCAGCACGGTTGAGCTCTCAAAGAAAAAAGAAAAAAAAAAACTGATCTCATTTTAAAAAATTAGCCAGCATATAACTCATTTGGTCATCCTGTCCGATGACATTTAGTCAGTACAGATGATTGAATTAATCTTGTTATGGTCTGGAAGAAAGTAGAACTAGAATTTCTTATAAATTTTATAAAATTAAAGAGAATCACAAGCATGAGAAGTATCATCACTTCTGGAATAGTGGAAGACCGAGGACATTGGACAAGAATTTTTTCGCCTGCTACACGCAAGGAATAATAGACCATGGGAAAGAAAACCATCAAATAGCTATCAATGCCTTTTATGTATAATTGCTTGCTCACATCTTCATGTATGCAATGTCATCAGAAAGTCATATACTTTCTTCTAGACAGCAGCACCACAAAATTAAGAACCCCACCCACACCCCACACCCCCAAAAAAACACAAAATTAAGATACAAGTCTGCAAACACCAAGGTCCTCTGTTGAACATCAAGTCTACATCGACGAAGTTGAAGAAAACACATACCTATGAATAATTAATCGAGTAATAAGTTGAAAACCAGTAAAGAACATGCCAAAAAACTCATGAAGATACTTACCCAAGTGCACCAAACGTGCCCAGAAAGACAACAAGGGCAGAATTTCGGGCAGCCAAAAGAGCCTGCTCAAAGTAAGGGTTGACAACATTAAAATTTTGACACGATTAATAATATTTTTTTAGTATATTATTTTGAGGATTTTACTTGATCTTTCGTACGAAAAAAGAAAATATTTCCAAAGAACAAAAGCTGTAACATCTCATGAGATTGACATATGAGGGCGGATTCTTCTTGCATGTTAAACTGCAAAATATTTTTTTCCTAGTAAACTAAATAATGAGGTACATATTGCACAGCAGGATATGCACAACTAGAGGCCAATGATATCAGGCGGGGTAGGAATTATAGGCCTTCCTCTCCATATAGTTATATGCTCATATGGAGACTTTGGAAAGAGAACTCCAACTCAAAATTCAACAATATGTATCTGTCTCATAACTAAACATTGCATAGGACTATATATAAAGGATTTGATTCAATTCATAATTTTCAAATTAATTCAACACAGGATAATCATGCATCTATTTAGAGAGTTAGGCAAAGATTATGAAAGGAAAATAGATAACAGAAGCCATTCAAAATATTTACTTTCGTATACTGAGCGCATGTTTTAACATGGTAAAAACGAAATTTTATTAAAAGACATTCAGGAGTGGATCCTTACAGCAATAAAGAATGTTTTGTCTCCCAGTTCAGAGAAAAATATCAACAAGAATGCCTGCAAAAGGAAAATTTTCATGGTTGAATTTCATAACTAAAAAGAAGTAGATTCAATTATCCATGATTCTCCTAGTGGACTGACGAGATAAAAATGATGGCATGTTTCATTGATATTATAGATGTATCCCATCGGTGTTCTAGAGGCACTGTGCTCTATCTCTTGTATTATGGCACATGTAGATGCGGAGCAGGAGGTGCAGCAGGTTCCTAGATGTTGTAGAGTTTCAACTTAGTAACCGTCTTAACTAGATTTGCACGAAGCCTGCTGTTGTGACATTAAGATATGGGTCTTCTTAGGTCCTAAACATGATCCATGATTCTGACTACATGTTCCAGGATAAGGATTTTCTCATCATTGATTGATGCAAACTGAGGTAGCACTTTGTAATCGAGGGCATACAGAATCCCGGGATTTGAGTCTAACAATTTAACTGAGATATAAGGGAGTTCAGAAAATGCACTTACATGATTGTAAGGTCTGCATGAGTTAGGGCGACCACAATAAATAAAATAAAATAAAATAAAATAAAACAACTTTAGATTAGTAACAGGAAGGTTTCCTAACTGAAGTAAAACCTGTACCAATATCACCCAAATCTCCTATGAACGAAGCGGGCTGCAATCCACTAGCGATTTCTGTGATTGCAGTCGCATGCTGACAGCCCTGAAAAGTCAGTAGTCCAGAGAGCACTGCAAACTTTAGCCCATTGAAGATATCAAATTTTGGATTAGTAACACGCCCAAGAGAAGCTCTTTTTGGAATCATATTAATCAGGACGTCCTCCTCCTCCATTAGATATGAAATGCTTTCTATTTCGATCAAATCTGAACCCATCTTATTGCTCCCTTTATGATCAGAATGGAAGTCCTACAATCAGATCATGAAGACAATGTATTAGTACAGGTCCTAAAATCGTGGGATATTATAAAAGCAAGTAGATTAAAAAACAGAGAATGAAGGACGGGAAATCGGCAACCAATAAAACTAGAAAAAGAAAATCAACGCAATCACATAAAAAATGCGAAAATATAACATAAAATATACAATTGCGATATGAAGAAAATGTTTTCACCGATGTAAACTTTCAGCCAGCTTCGTACTGACCAAACATTGTCAAGCAGTTATTCACACCATCTGAAAATATAGTAAAAGCTACGAGGACAGACATACAACCACAGATAAGGCATCAAACTCCAAATCTTTCAAAAGGCAACCGATTAATAGTCCCCAGTTAAATTCGGAATGACGCCTAAACAGAGTACTTCAGACTTAGCAAGGTAGGAGACAGGAGACATGTAACCAGTGCTGATAGGAGACAGGAGACACGTAAGTTAAGCAGTTGGCTTCTTCTCACAGAACCTTGAATCTATGATGCATAAAATTACACCAGCCCTATAATGAATGCAATTGGTGGAATTTTTCCCATCTATTCTATCGTTTTCAGGGAAAGAGGATGGCGCCAGCCCTATAATGAAGTCTTCAGCGTGTTGAGAAAATCCACATTGAAGTGCCCTCTGACAATTCATCTCTTGAAACATCTTCCAAGGCTACTCTAATTCCACAGCACCACCAGGCTACCAGTCACTTGGAAAGCACCAGGTAGAGGTTCACGGCCGATGCTCCCAACCATCTAAAACACGAGAGCTGGGACGTGTTCATGGATAGCAGAAAATAGACTACAGTCGCGCGCATTTCTTCCTTTGGCCTCCGGGTGTACCAAGATAAACGAATTTTTTTCCCTGACATTTTCCTTTACTGCTTCCCAGTGAATTTCGTTGTACTTTCCTTTACAACGGAAACATCCGTCGCCATGTAAAACTATCAAGAAATCAAACATATCAATTTTTTTACATCGATAATCCCCCACATTCTTCCTTGAATAAACAACACCGTCTCCTGTACACGGAATGTGCCCAGAAAATGACGAAATCCATGTATGTCTTGTAAGTGAATAAAAAAAGTGCACCGAGCCTTGTAATTCACTCTGAATTCGAGGCTCCCAGCGTACCTTTTCGTAATTCCCGGCGTAGCGGCAGACGGACCGCGACTTGGGCGCGAGGGAGCCGAGAAGGGGCACCGAGGAGGAAGATGAAGCAGCGGAGGACGACAATGAGCAGGGACGGAGGAGGAGATGGCGGCGCCATCGGGGATGGCGGGTGGAGAGGGCTGGGAGGGCCAGCGCGGTAGGCACCGACGCCATACTCCCCGCCGGATGGGGTTGCAGGCTGTGGGAACGAGGAGGCCAAACCAGGAGGGAGGAGTTCGTGTGGACGTGAAGAACGAACGTCCGCGGAGGCAAGATAAATGGCCGTTGAGCTGGGATCACCTGTGGACCAATAGACCGCCCCCGCCCCTGCGCCACACTAGAACCGGCCGGCCCGCTTGATTCGTCCTCCAAAAGTGGTCCATTGGTCCATAAGTGAGGCCTAGAACCACTCCTTCAATCTATCTGCAAGTTTGGTCCATAAGTGAGGCCTAGAACCACTCCTTCAATCTATCTGCAAGTTTGGTCCATAAGTGAGGCCTAGAACCACTCCTTCAATCTATCTGCAAGTTTTTGAGGTCCAAAAGTGGCCCGGGCTCATAGAGAAGCCCTAAGTGGTAGTCATCTCAAGGAGGATGTGCCTTGCTCACACACCACTCAAGTGAGGCCACATAATGGGCTCGGCCACTTTGAAAAACCACAATGTGGGCCGTCAAGCTCTCTTCCATGTCACTCCTGGGTCAAGTCCAAAATTAGTTTTAAGTGTGGAGGAAAAACCTTAAATATATCCAATTGGGGAAACTTTTGAGGTCAAACTTTCATAACATGGGTGTCTTTATGGAAACAAATTTTTGGTGGGTGCTCAATTTCTTCTCGATCCTCATTCGATTTCATTTTTTTTCTATGATTTATGGAAACCTTTCTCTATTTAATGTATTCTTCAAAGTTAATAAAGTCAAAACTGATGCCATTCCTACTAGTGATTTGTAAATATTAAATATGTAGCTATTTTTTCCTTATTATTATAGCATGATCTCTCTTTGTCAATTTGGATAAGTGTGAGATTTTTCTCTTGATGCAGAATGGTGTTACTCACTACTGTATGATCTAAGAGTAAATCCTTATATACTCTCATATTACTTTATGTCATCACAAATACTCAGTAAAGTAAGATATTTGAATGTTAGAGTTGCACCACAGTGTAAATGTTAAGTACTACTACAATATTTTAGGGCACAATCTTTGTATAGTAAAATGTCGAGTTACTAATATATATTGAGTTGCTAAGCTCGATACACTTTGTTAATTCACATTGTGACTTCTTACAGGTTGAAATATTAAGCTTGTTTAATTATTTTATTTCTCATCAAGAACATGATATGCAAAAATATCTACCTTGGTATACTGAAGCATAAACTTGATGCTTTAAAATATAAGCATTGATTTATCACACCATTATGTGACATAAAATAGCAAACTTAGCACACCAAGTCACATAAAAAGGAATATATGATTCAACATATGTCTATTTCTATCAGATATGCATAGGTTGGGGGGGGGGGGGATTATTCCTATGTGGTAGCTTCCATGTCAATCAGCTACCACACAATAAGTTTACCTTCCTTGGCAATTCATCAAATATACAAAATCACTGTGAAATTCATAGATAATGTAAACTATTTTACTAATCATACACAAACATTATACACTACATGTGAAATTATGATGGAATCGTAATTTTAAGGTGGACAAGATGGAGGAATAGTAAGGACACAAGAGAAAGGGATTTTATTGAGAAAGTCAATCCTCATGTTATCGTCGAGAAATTTCCACAACTCTTCACACCCCTTCCCTTTAGGCTCTGGGCTCATTTTATAGAGCATCTTGGGTTGAAAATTGCTTGATTGGTTGAGTGACTTCCTCCTAAATGTGACTAGTTGAATGACAATTGACCTACTTCATTGGTGTGTTACCTGTCTAACCTTTTCGGGAATGTTTGGAGTTCATGAGGATCATATCAAACTACTATTGGAAGCACTACAAGTTCTACATGCAAACTTCAATGTACTAAGACATGCAAAGTTCTTAATCATAACCCAAGAGAACCTTCACAAGAATTCCTTGAAAACTTTTGCATCAAATTGTTATGATGTGTTCTCCACTACTAAGGTTCAAAGCTATCCTCTTCATCAATCATGTTTCGATTCGTGTTCTCCTTGCCCGTGGTGTGTCACATCATGCTAATAGGAGCACATGCATAAGGGCTCATAACTAATAATGAGGTTAATGGTGAAAAAGGCCCACTCCCCTAATAATAGTCAACAAGGTTTGACTTTGTTGTGAGTGAGGGTATAACTCGAAGAGGGTGAGAAAGGGAGAAACAGTGTAGTCATGAGAGATTTTAGTAGGTTTATTATACGGAGTAGTGTTTTTTAAGATAATTTAAGTGGGATATTTGTTTGGTTCATTAAATTTTTTCATCAATATTAGATATTGTAGCATACATCGAAGAAAATCCAAAGGATATCTCATATCTTTATCGTTAACATCGAGGTTTCTAAAGTTATATTTTTTTAAAAATATTTTTTTAATAACTTAATAATAAATATATTAATTAATAAGAGATCCCTCAATTATACTTTTAACTAGATATTTCATCAAACAAAAAGATAATAATAATTGGTAAATTAAAATTTTTTTACAGAAAAAATGTAATATTTTTGTATAAAAAAATGGAGGTGAAAAATATGTATTATATTCTTCTTGCGAAGAAATTAAATGTACTAATCTTTGGCAATAAGCCGGCTCATCTGGCGGTTTATTTCCGTCGAGCCAACGGACCGGCCATAAAGTTTAGACCGGATGCACCGAGTCGAGCCAACGGTCCGTTGTCAACCCGGGTCCGGCGACCGAACCGCCGCCACCCCGACCCGCCAGCGCGTCTTTTTCCCAAGCAGTAAGCGGGGTAGCATCTATATATCGAAAAGACGCGAACGAAAATTAGGGTTTTACACGCTCGCTCGTTGCGCCGGCCGCCCTCGTAGTCAGCCCCGCCGGCAAGAGAGGAAAATCGTCGGACTGCCACGATCTGATAAGGTTTGATACTATTTCTGTGCGTTGTTTTAGTCTTCTGCCCTATCGCTCCGGTTTCGATCTCGTTGTGACGCTCAGAGAGGCCCGTAGTTTTGGGTGCTGTCTCCACTTGGGACTCGTAGATGCGTTTTCATCGCTTCAAGTCGTACTATCTTCGTCGAAATCTTTGCCGGAAGAGTGCCTGCGACTCGGTAGAGTTTCTATTCGCTAGTTTACATGGTACTCCTGTCGAATTGGTCGTCCCTATCCAGCTTCTTTGATTTATCCCTCTGAAAATTCTGTTTCGATTACGTCCCGATGATTTCCTTTCTCAACAAAGCGTATTCTTCCCTGTTTGGCTGACGCATAATTTTGTAGCTGCGGTTCTACAGTTTTCCCTGACACTGACTGTCCGCAGAGCGGGCGCTTGCGGAGATTGTGATCCCCTTCCTGTAGTTTCTTATTACGAGCGAGAAGCTTGCGCTTGCTTTATTGATATCAAAGCTTTGGAACACCGTGCTCACGGTCCCTAAATCACGGGTCCTTCGCACCAGAGCGCAGTCTCTAATTTACCTTCATTCGCCCATTATCCACCGAAGACTTATGATATACACAATCATCAACCACATTCATCTCGAAACCGAATGAGATGATAACTTGATGAATTTTGTGATACCATTGACGGGAAGTTTGCTTGATCCCATAGATGGATTTCTTTAAAACGTTTGTTGCAGTGTATATTTTTCTTCCTGGGCTGCATGAATCAGAATCATCATGAACATTAGCCTGCATTAAATGGATTAATCGGCTGAGATCGAGATCTCGTCGGATGTTCTACTACACATGTGTTAAGCCTCATCTCTGGTTAAGATCATTCAAAGTCGCCCCTTTCCTGTTAATTGCAGAAAAGCTGGTACTGGTTGCTCCGCTTCTTACGCTCTGATCTTTAATCTATAGAAAACAGTTCTTCATTGTAAGAAGAATATTCATGCCTAATGTACATGACTCCACATACCTTTCCTCAGTCGTACCTCTTGTTCTCTGTAGTGCCTGCCATTGATTCAGACTAGAGTCCAGCGTTTTGTTTCCCGTTGACCGAACATCTCAGCTACCTCTGGAATGCTCACGACAATAAACATGATAAAATCGGTTCATGTTTATTCATTAAAGTTGTGGATTAAAAGAAACTCATACTTTTTTGCCGACAACATTCCTAAATCCTCCTTGAGCATGCTGGCTCGTATCTCATTCTCTGCTCGAGTGGGTGCTGCCAATCTAAGGAACGATCAAACCGAATAAACAATTATTTCTATCCGTATTCTTGGATCTGCTCAGAAAGTAGTTCTTCATCATCATTAACCTCCAACATGCTAGGAGACACTCATGTCGCCTCAGATATTCCATCAATTTTATTTTTTTAATTTTTTTTTAGCATCCTTCAACAGCCCATTAAACTCTTTTATAATCTGCATTTTACCGCGGCATTAAATGGAAGAATCGGATGTTCTGATGCGCGCAGGATGGATTCCCAAGTGAAGCTCGCGGTGGTGGTAAAGGTGATGGGGCGCACCGGGTCGAGGGGGCAGGTCACCCAGGTGAGGGTGAAGTTCCTGGACGACCAGAACCGCCTCATCATGAGGAACGTGAAGGGCCCCGTCAGAGAGGGCGATATCCTCACCCTGCTCGAGTCCGAGAGGGAAGCCAGGAGATTGCGTTGACCCCCGCAGAAGTCTCCTCCGTCGTCTTCTTTCTGGTCTTCGTGGTTGACCGTTTTTGGAGAACCAAAGTCGTCTCTTTTAGTCGTCTGTGATGTTCGGATTTCAATTTTTTTCTTTCTTCTAGGTATTGTGTGGCCGATCTCACTGGCCGTCGATTCTCGCCGAGTGCTGTTGCTTAGATGGTCCGGATCTGTCAGGATGAATGACTCGTTTGTTTTTAGTAAAGTTTACTTTAAATCCCATCTTCCTACGAGCATTATGTTTTTCCCCTTCACTTTGGGTAATTTAATGCTATACGCTTCGTATATTTGCACTTATACCCTTCCCTGCCATCAATTTTAGCAACGTTCCTGAAAAGCCCTCTATCCAAAGTATTATAAGGGGGGAAAGTTTGTATGCGTCTGATCCTTTGTTAAGACTAACGCTTTTATGAGAGGCTTAAGTAAATTTAGTCACGCATCCTTCTTTTTTCATTGTAGTTATACCCTTTTATTTTGAGCAATGGGAGAGATCTTGCCCGAGTCGGATCGTTTTCCTCGGGTCATCTTATCCTGCCGATGGCCACCCGCCGGGTTGAAGAGTTGTCGACGTAAGTGCGTTTCGGCACGCACATCCACCGTCCGCCCATCTCCCATACAGCAATCCCATATATGCCCCCAAATATTCTCAATTTTCCGGTGTCGCCTCTTTCGATCGTACGTACCTTTATGCGATTATCTCTCCCTCTCTCCCACTCTTTCTCTCTCTCTCTTCTCTCTCTCTCTCTCTCTCTCTCTGTAACATCATCTTCATCCCCTTCCCTCGCCGTCGCCGGCGTCCTCTTCGACGCCGAGAAATCCTCCGCCGCTCAGAAGGATAGGGTAGTCCAATGGCGGTCGCCTTGTCCGAGCTCCTCCGTCCTCTCGGGCTCCCTCGCCGCCGCCGGAGAATCTCCCCGCCGCCGTGTTCCGCCCGCGGAGCCCTTCACTCCTGCGCCGGCGCCGGTGGGAAGCGCAACCTTAGGAGAGGAGATCGCTCTGGTTTTAGGGTTTCTCTGCGGACCAGAGCATCGCCGCCGTCGCCGACGCCGGTTTCCCCCGATCTGAAGGAGACTCGCTTCGGGAGGGTGCTCAGCCGGTCCTGCAAGGCAGGCAAGTACGACGAGGCGCTCTACTTCCTGGAATACCTGGTGAGCAGGGGCGGCAAGCCTGAGGTGGTCCTCTGCACGAAGCTCATCAAGGGCTTCTTCAACCTCCGCAACGTCGGCAAGGCGGTGCGGGTGATGAGCCTCCTGGAGGCTCACGGGGAGCCCGACGTCTACTCCTACAACGCGCTCATCAGCGGATTCTGCAAGGCGGACCTCATCGACTCCGCCGTCGAGGCCCTCGACCGGATGCGGCGGCGCCGCCTCTCGCCGGACGTCGTCACGTACAACATCATCATCGGCAGCCTCTGCAGCAAGGGGAAGCTCGACCTCGCCCGCGAGGTCCTCTTGCGGCTCCGGGAGGAGGACGAGGAGGAGGGGGAGGAGGAGGACGACCACCACCACCACCGCCGTCGCCGCCCGACGGTGGTCACCTACACCATCCTCATCGAGGCGACGATCAGGGAGGCCGGCGTTGACCCCGCCATGGAGCTCCTCGAGGAGATGGCCGCCGAGGGGCTGAAGCCAGACGGCCACACCTATAATGTGATCATCCGGGGGATCTGCAAGGAAGGGCTAGTCGACAGAGCTCGAGACTTCGTGCGCAGTCTCCCCGATCGGGGCTTCGAGCCCGATGCCGTCTCCTACAACATCCTGCTCAGGGGGATGCTGAACCAGAAGCGGTGGGGCAACGCAGAGGAGCTGCTGAGGGAGATGACGATCTCCAGGGGCCTGAAGCCGAATGTGGTCACCTACAGCATCCTCATCAACGCTCTCTGCCAGGAGGGCATGGCCGACCGAGCTCTCGAGGCTCTGAAGGAGATGATGCGACAAGGCCTGAAACCGGACACCTACAGCTACGACCCACTGATCGCTGCCTTCTGCAGGGAAGGGAGGCTGAGCGCCGCCATTGATTTCATGGAGTTCATGGTGGCCAACGGCTGCCTCCCGGACATCATCAACTTCAACACCGTCCTGTCGGCGCTCTGCAAGAAGGGGAGTCCGGACCAGGCGGCGGCGATCTTGGAGAAGCTCAGGGAGACGGGTTGCTGCTCCCCCAACGCGAGCTCCTACAACGTCGTCATCGGCGGCCTCTGGAGCGGCGGCGACAGAGCGGGGGCCCTTGCCATGGTGACGGGGATGATGGAGAACGGGGTGGAGCCCGACGAGGTCACCTTCAATGTCCTCATCTCCTGCCTGTGCAGGGACGGGATGGCGGAGGAGGCGGCGGGGTTCATGAGGGAGATGAAGAACAGCGGCGGCTTCAAGCCCACCTCCATCACCTACAACACCGTGCTGTTAGGGTTCTGCAAGGCGCACAGGATCGACATGGCGATCGACATTTTTGCAGAGATGGTGGAGGCGGGTTGCCGGCCGAACGAGTCCACCTACGTGATTCTGGTCGAGGGCATCGCCTACGCCGGCCGGAGAGCGGAAGCCATGGAGTTGGCGAGCGAGCTCGCTGCCAGGAAGGTCATTACAGATGAATCCCTCAAGCGATTTAGCAGGACCATCCATGGCGGGCAGGCGGCGGCGGCTGCGGTTCCTCCTCCTCCTCCTCTGGGTGATGGGAAGTAGCGTCTGATCTCCCACTGCGCCGCCGCCGTCGCCGGACTGCAGGCCCTCTTCGTCTGATCCATCCACCAGACTGGGTGAGGAGAAGGAAGCAGGTATGAAATCATGGAGGTGGAGATGTCGAGATCTCCGGAAGAAACAACGGGGCCCCTCCGCCTTTCCTTTCCATATACGATCAGAGTCGGACAAGAAAAAAAGAAAAAAAAGCGAGTTTCAGAGAGAGAGAGAAAAAAGGATTCGCAGAGCTGTTCCTTCCGCCCTGCAACCAGCTGAAGCGAGTTCTTGAGAGGGTGGTCCATGCTTGCTCGGATTCTGAGTAGACCGTTGATTAGAAGGGGCTAGTAGATCACCCGTGCAAGGCTTTGACCGGTGCCATGTTGACCTTTCAGTGAGAGAATATAATCATCCTTCATGGGGCATTCTTAGTCCTCCTGGTAATCGGGTGGGGAATCTTCACGGCTCTGGCTAACTCCGAATCGTAACGAGGAGGGAAGTCTCCTCTGTAGGGTTGGTCAAACATTTGGTTATTCAGATTCTTTAAGGGGGGGAGGGGAGGGCGATAAATGGGGTCAAACGGCGTTGTGGGTCCCACATTGGGTGAGACTTCCGATGTCGTATGCCCTTTCGGCGGGCAGCGCTGCGGTGACCTAGCTCCCCTCTTCTCCTCTTCTACTACGCCGCCGCCGCCGCCGCCGCCGCCGTCGTTGAGGTCTTCTGCCGTCGTCTTCAGTGGGAGGGAGAGGGAGAGGGAGATGGATCCGTCGGTGCTGCTGATGCTGTCCAACCTCCTGCACCTCCACAACCACCTGGATCCCCTCCTGTCCGACTCCGCCACCCCCTCCTCAGCGAACCTCGCCGCCGCCGCTTCCTCCTCGCCATCGTCTCTCTACTGCTCCTCCTCCCCGGCCCCTCTCCTCTTCCTTGCCATTGCCTCCGTCCTCTCCTACGCCTCCTCCGCCGCCGGGGACCACGGCGGAAGCAACCGGCGCCGGCGCCGGCGCCGCCGATCCTCCACCTCCCCGGGCGGCTCCTCCTCCTCGTCCCCTCCGCCGGCGAACCCCCCCGCTCCGACGGCGGCGCCGTCCTCCTCCGACGCCCCTCCGGGGCTGTCGGCCTTCCAGTCCCTCTCCTCCGACCGGATCTGGTCCATGGATCCCGCCGCCCGCGACGTGCGGTGGCGCTCCCACTACGGCCTCTCCTATCCGGTCTTCGCCACCCTGGTGGAGCACCTCGAGCCCCACCTGCGCGGAGGCGCCCTCCCCATCCCCGCCGACTACGCCGTCTCCGTCGCCCTCACCCGCCTCTCCCGGGGCCTCTCCCCTCGCTCCCTGGCCCGTCACCACCAGCTCCCCCCAACCCTAATCTCCAAGGTCACCAACGCTGTTACTCGCCTCCTCTCCACCAAGCTCTACCCTGACTACGTCCGCATCCCCTCCGGCCACCGCCTCCTCCAGACCATCCAGTCCTTCCGCGACCTCACCTCCCTCCCCAACCTCTGCGGCGCCCTCGACGGCTCCCCCATCAAGCTCCGCCGCCGCCCCCCTTCCCCTCCTTCCCCTCACAGCGGCGGTGGTGATTCCGCCGCCGCCGCCGGCGGAGATGACGACGACGCCTACCAGTGCCGACACGGGTACCCCGCCGTGCTCCTCCAGGTGGTCGCCGACGCGAGGAAGATCTTCTGGGACGTCTGCGTCAAGGCCCCCGGGTCCTCCGACGACGCCTCCCACTTCCGGGACAGCCTCCTCTACCGCCGCCTCACCGCCGGCGAGATCCTGCGCGACGCCGCAGCCGTCCCCGTCCGGGGGCACCAACTGCGGCCCTACGTCGTCGGCGACTGGGCCTACCCTCTGATGTCCTTCCTCCTCACCCCCTTCACCTCCGACGGGAACGGCTCGCCAGCACAGAACGCCTTCGACGCCGCCGTCATGAAGGGCCGCGCTGCCTCCGTGGAGGCGGCGCTGGGTCTGCTCAAGGGCCGGTGGCGCATCCTCAGGGACCTCAACGTGGGCATCGACCACGCTGCGCAAACCGTGGTCGCCTGCTGCGTGCTCCACAACATGTGCCAGATCGCCGGAGAACCAGAGGACGAGGACGTCTACATGTGGAGGGACCCCAAGGAGAGCGCACCGGCGGCGAGGGCTCTGGACAGCGAGAGGGCGCTCTTCTACTCCGGCGAGAGCCTCAGGCAGGCCATCGCCGACGACCTCTACGAGAGGCAGCAGAGGCTCTCCGGTGGCGCCCCCGCCCCCGCCCCTGCTTCGAGGTAGGTGACGACAACCCACGAGGATTCTTTTGGCAGAAGAAGAGAATCTCGCCATGTACAAAGGCTTCTGAATCCATCCTCTACCAACTGATCATATCCCGGACGCTCCTGTTACCCTAGTTCATCGAGTATTAATCTCTCTCTCTCTCTCTCTCTCTCTCTATCAATCGATATTGTTCTTCTCGTATTTCCCCCTTTTAGATGATCCCCGCCGCCCTCTTCGCCCAGCTCTGCTCAGAATGCATGTTCTTCCTGGATTCTCCCGACGGGATGCTCCGACTTCAGACGAGATTTTTTAGCACAGAAATGGGGAGAAGTCTGAGAAGAGGAAGAAGAAGCAGAAGAAGAAGCTCAGAAAACCCCGGTGAGATGAGATCAATCCGGCTTGGACAAAGTCGAAGGTTTTGACCTCATCCTCTCCCATTTTCTTGGAAATATAGAGCTACATGTCGCCTATCGCTCACCTGGGTAGAATCATCCTTCCCAGACCTTTCTTTGCGGAATTCATGCCCCCCGAGCATGATAAGCCTGCTGATTCTCTGAGATTCTGCAAGTCTTCAGCTGCTCTGACGGCATTGGATTCCTCGGATGAACAAACAGTGGCAATTTTGAATCCCTTCTCCTGCTTTTTTGGAGGGATTCATCATCTTACTATCGGCTTCGGGGAAAATTTCTTCTAGGTTGGCTGATAGGGGTAGAGAGAGAGAGAGAGAGAGAGAGAGAGAGCTACTACACGTTGAGGGTAATTCGAATGAAGATTTCTATTATTCGGATATTTTTCTAATTTTTGTCATTTTTAGGGTAGCGCTTAATCGAGTTATTCGCAGAACCCTATAAGTAAAATAGTTATTTTTAAATGTACCCAATATCGGGCGTCGTACACTGTGACTCCGAGGTGATCGTATACGAAGGGTACCAACATTCCAAGTATAATAAAGTATTGAACTCTTAACGAAGCCCCGGCGGGGAGGTGGGGAAAAATTACTATTAGGTCCCTAAAAATGATTTTTTTGTCTATTGGCCCTCAGAGAAGGGTGGGGGAGATGGTTCGTGGTAGGGGAGCGTCCCGCCGAGTTTCGTCTTAACCGAAACGGACCCGAGTCCGGCCCGTTGACCGCCCGCCGCAACCAGCCGTCTCGCGGGGGTGGCTCCTAAAATCGCAGCCGCCGCCATCCTTCCTGGCTGCGGCACAAAAGTCCTCTTCCTCCTCCTACTTGCAGTGGGGCTCCCCTGGTTCGTCCCCCCCCCCTCCCCCTCCTTTCTCCTCCGCCGCCGCCTCGCTTGCCGGCCGCCGGAGGGGCGGAGATCATCGTCGCCGCCGCTCCAGAGGGAGTGCCGCTCGCCTGCTGGCTGACCTCCGCAAAGAAGGTTTTCCCCCTCCACCTCTCCGGCTTGCTTCTCCGTTCGCGGGTTTTGAATCTCGTGATTCGTCACTCCTAGGGATTTTCCCGCAGATCACAGTGTTGTTGCCTCCCCCACGCACTCGCCCCCAAGTATTATTCGATACCTCAATGCGGGGGTTCGTTGGGTGTATTCGGCGGCGAGTAGTTTCAGAGTGCCGTCGTTAACGTGCTCGGAGATGGTCGGCAACTCGTCCGCCGCCGTCGGTAGTCATTGCCATGTCTCGAATACCGTGTATCCTGCCATCAACTCGGAAAAATCCATCCCACGCATAATTTTCCTTGTATTCTTCCGTCTGGGGTATTTCTCGTTATCTTTTTCGACCTGGGGGTATGCTTCGCAAAATCTTGTGATTCACTATTTATTCGTCTATCGTCCTCGATTTTTCAACATCCGTTCCCCGAGCCCTGGTAGGGTTAGAATTTCTACCCAGGATGAATGCTCTGCGATCTTCAAAGTCGTTATCGTGGCCGAGCGCTACTTGTCTGATTCACGCGACATTCTTCCGTGGGTTTGTCAACTCATTCTCTCATTTATTTATTGGATTTGTTCAGTTGAATGTGGGTGAAGTGCCCTAAGAGAGGCCTGGATTTGGCCACTTGGTTCCGTGCATTGGATTTTTTCTCAACAACATTCTGACTCTAAATCAGTTTCCTTCTGCGTTTGCCAGTATGCATCCTGCCGTTACAGTAATTATTCACGCTGGAGTTCCTTTTTTTAAGATTTCATGACGTTATTTTTTTTTTCTTTACTTTCTACAGCATGAAGGACAGAACTGATTATGAGCATAACTGTTAACTGAGAGAGATCATTTAGTTGTAAGAGATCATTTTTCTAACCTATTTTTTTACGTCACTGTAATTTCTAAATCCTTAGCTTATATCTTACGAAGAACAGAAAGGAGTGGGGAAAGCTTGTTTGATTTTTTCTTTTTAAGTTAGCTCATCTTTGTAATGCTCTAGCAGCAGCCATGTATTTATTCTATTCATGTGATGATGCTAGGCACGCGTGAGAAAAGGGTGAGAGGACTTCAACGGGTTGGTGATCCTGGTCTTCGCATGGTTTAGCTTCATATCTGACCGAAATCTACATTACAATTATTTCATGGTAGTGGTCCGAACTATAGGTTTAATGAAATTCTAGTGTATTTACATACATTTCGCATTTCTGATGATATTTTTTCCCTCCCCTTGTAGATGAAAATGCTGTAAACCTGTCTTGGGCTTTGATGGAATGGAATCAGAGACGAAGAAATTTGGGAGAGGTATCTTCTTCTTCTTCTTCTTCTTCTTCTTCTTCTTCTTATTATTATTATTATTATTATTAAAATATTTATAAATTTCCCTTACTGATGCCCATAAATGGGTCCAAAGTTGTTCCTCAGTACTTATCAAATGGCTTGCTGAATTTCTGTTCAGGAAAGAGTCTCCTATTTATAAATATTTTGTGGAGAGCTCTCATCACATCTCCCACTACGGCGATTGAACAGTCGAAAACTCTCACTGCCATGTGTTGTATGGTATTATTGACTAGATCATGCTCTGGAAGGAGGTTCTTGAATAAAAGAGTAAATTGAGGATGAAATAATTCCTTGTATGGGATGGGTTTGATTGGAGCTCCCCTCCCCCTTAAAAGCGAGCTTGAAGACATAATAATGTGCTCTGGGATAGATACTGAAATGAAGGGTGAGTAGTGATCATTGTTAGTTCCTTCAGGAATGGAATGGTAAGGGTATTGAAGGTTGGCTTGAGAATTTTTGAGGTTGGGGTATGAGGCCTCAGGCCCACATCTGCGCAAGAAAGGGAACTCTTCATACACTGAGAGTTAAGAAATGCATGAGAAATCATCACAAAATAGCTCTGAGATCTCCATTTATTATTTTTTTTATTCAAAAATTTTCAACCCCGCTGGGAGCATTCCCTTGGGGGCATTCCATCCCTTGGAGTTCGTGAAGTGCCCTTTGGAGGCCACTACTAGACAGACAGACACGCTGGTGTCATGGGTACTGCTCACGTTGATCTGAATGATTTATCCTGCAATCCATGGTATTTAATGATGCAAGATTTGAACTAAGAAAGTGTAGGAATGAGAGGAACGGTCAGAATTTTAGGCCCCGAGCTTGTTTGGTGGAGGGGAACGTGGTCAGGTCCGTTTTTGTATTGTGAAAGGTTTAATTTTTTCTTGGCTATGGAGATTGCTAGGATCTTGGGCATGGCCATGGAGATGCCGCATGGAGAGCTTTATTGCTTTAATCATATGCTTCAGCAATTTACACCCTCTTTGTTATTATTCAACGCACAGGGAGAGTTCATGTCCTGCTCAAGGGAAAAAGAAAAAAACCTAGCTCGCCGTACTATGTTATCTTCCATATTCTCTTGCAAGCTTTTTCATAATTCACTGATGTCAACATGTATTCTCCCAAATTTCACATGCTTTCTTTCTAGCCTGCAAACCTGAAGATTGATCGACGGATTCTATTATCGGCCATGGCCTCTTGCAAGCTTTTTAATAATTCACTATATATATATACATATATATATATATATATATATTATCCGAAATTGGGCATGGTTGCTTGCAAAGAAACCCAACGATCGATTAAAGGGATGATATTAGATGGTCTATGATCTCTTGCCCCGAGACATATCACTAGGAGGGCGGGCGCCTTATTCTTATCCGGTGTGGTTTTTCAGGGCCGAGGGAGCTCAACGGCGCGGTGGATCTCATAGACCACTACAAGCTGCTGGCTCAGCATGATTTCTTCTGCCGGAGGACTCTCCCGGTGCCCATCTCGGAGACCCATTACCTCCACAACGTGGCCGGCGACACGGAGATCAGGAGGGGACCTGGGATGGAGCTGGACCAGCTCTTCGAGACCGACTCATCCGCCTTGAGGGAGACCGCCGCCGCCGCCGCCATCCGCCCCTTTGACCTCGACACTCTCCGGCGAGCCTTCCCCCTCCGTGAGGCAGCCCCCATCGAACTCCCACCGGTAAGAGCCCTCTCTATCTCTTTCTAGATTCTAACTTCTCTCTCTAAATTATCTCTCTGTGGCGTCGTTCTCACCGGTCTGTGGTGAACTGTTGGGCAGGCGGAGAGGGGGGCGCCGACGGTCAGCGGGAAGGCGAAGGGAGAGCCCAGGGAGAAGGGGAGGAAGCATAAGAAGCACAGGGACAAGGATCGAAGCAAGGACAAGGAGCACAAGAAGCACAAGCACCGCCACAAGGACCGGAGTAGCAAGGACAGAGACCACCGCGACAAAGACAGGGAGAAGAAGCGAGATAAGACCGCTCACCACCACGACTCCAAGAAAGAAAAGGTCCGTCAGTGTCTGTTTCTCTCTCTCTCTAGACTCTCTGCTCTCTCTCTCTCTCTCTCTCTCTCTCTCTCTCTCTATAGATATATGTTTCTCCCTTTGTGGGTTCTCACGCGGGAGTAATTCCACGGCCTCCTCTGCAGAAGCGGAAACACGACGGCGGCGATGACGTCTCGGACGGCCGAGAACACAAGAGGAGCAAGGTATGAGGTCTCTCTGTTTCATCGTCTACAGGGTGGGGCCCACGGTCAACGGTTTTTGAAGGCCCAGATCGCCTTTTTTTTTTTCTTTTTTTGATGGGGTGTAATACCGCGTAATCGGAGTTGTCGGATGTTGCAGGCCCTTTCAGAGGCGGCGGCGACGGCGCCGGCGCCGTCGGGCAGGCAGAACCCGCAGTAGACCCGCTCCCGATTGGGCCACTTCCCTGGATTAATTTTCAGGCCGCTGCTCTCGGAGCCGTGTGGACGGCGGTACTGCTCATATCCTTCATTCTTTCTAACGTAGGATGGCGCCTGCTCAAGGCCTCTCTGGTTAGCCCTGTAAATTATCTCACCAGTAGGCTTCGTGGACCGGCGAGAGAGAGAGAGAGAGATAGATAGAGGGTAGGTGGCCACGTGGCCCGCCGTAGAGTGCAAATGTTGCTTTTATTAGTAAATTAGAAACCGCGATTCCGGGGATCCAGGAGCTGGCGACGGCAGTGCCGACCCCGACGCCGTTATTTTGACGGGGCTCGGAGCTCAGGACGCTCTCAGGTCATCAAGGTCAACGCTGGCCTGCATGATTAGAGAGAGAGAGAGAGAGAGAGAGAGAGAGAGAGAGAGAGAGAGAGAGAGAGAGTGAAGAAGAGAACAGGCGGAGTCTGAATGTCAACGGTCAGGGGTGGAGAGAGGGGCTTACCAAGAACCTGTGGTTCTCTTCGAGGAGGGGGTGGAAGGTACCGCAGAAGGCCTCCATGTCCTCTTTGATGTCCCCATTTCCGGCGATCACGTCCATGAATTTCTTCCTGTCCGGCGCCAGCTTCATCGCCACCTGCATTTCAAAGATCACCCATTGTCAATACGCTGTTAATATCCTTGACCCTTTTCTTAGGGCCTTAGATTGAAAGTCAACGCCGAAGGAAGCCCACAAGCAGTCTGTCTTAATGGGCTCTGGACAAGCTCGACCCAGTTTGACCCCTTTCCTTAGGGCCCGAACTTGAAAGTCACCACCCATGAGAAGAAAAGTTGACCCAAAAGTTGACCCTGGTCTCACATGACACACACTCTCTCTCTCTCGCTCTCAGGGTCAACGGCTATCTGGGCTGGGCCTTTCTCTAGGCCTAGGCCCAGGCCAGGCCCACTGAAAGCAAAAATCAGCAGTAGGGATAGATAGCCGACCGTGAAGGCGGAGCTGGCGATCCAGCCGTGGAACTTCTTCAGAGTCTTGCCGTAGGAGTCCGTGCAGGCCTGGGCCATGGTCCAGTCCGGGTGCTGAAGCAGGTCGCGGAATAACTCCACCAAGAAGTCCATCGCCCTAAACCAACCAGAAATTTCTAAAAAAATAATTAATACGTAAGTAACTAAGTAAATAAATAAATAGAAACGCACCTGGTCAACCAGAGGAGGCCATTAGTGCAGCTTGATGAGCCCTTGGCGGTTTTAGCCTGAATCTCTTCCTGGACCATGCTGTACAGAAGCTCGTACTTGCCTGGATTTGAGACGTACTTCGTCTCCAATCTCTACGAAGAGACCCAAATCACACTAAGTCTGTTATTTTCTGGGGCAGAATGCTATGAATCTGGCGGAATAATCCTCTCAATGGCCTGATCTATGGGAAGCTAAGCAGAGGGTCTGTTTTTTTTTTTTTCTCTCTCATTAAATAATTTTTTTCAAAGGGAAAAATATAAATTCTGGAGATAATCTACCGTGATGTTTCCACCGATGTCGGATTTCACGAGAGCCATGGCAGTCCCAAACTTGTCTGTCAGCAAAAACATGTGATAAAGTGTCAGAAAATGAAAGTCAATTCTTTTTCTTCTACTGTGATTCTCATCATATAGCCGAAGGATGATTATTTCAACGTTACTATTTCACATTAAGCCAATACATATATCAGATAAAATGTCCAAGAGTGAATTGAAAATGTTCTTCATACTGAATATCGCTGGGTATTAAAAATCAGAGATTAACAGCTGTAATACTGATTGTGTGGCTATAAGGAGAAAAATCTTAAATTTTTATGACAATGTAATGGGCCCAGTAGTGAGTGTTTTACGTGGAGGAGCTCACTTAGGAAGATCTCTCTCTCTCTCTCTCTCTCTCTCTCTCTCTCTCTCTCTCTAAGTTTGGGGTAGGCTACTTTTCAAATTAACCTCGGTGCAGGACATTAGCCTTCCTGGTTTTTGGAATATGGAGAACACATCCTTGTAGAAGTCAATAATACTATGGCCGTTCTGTTTGTCGGTATACTTGTCACCTGTCTCAGTTTTAACTTTGCTATCCCGAGGGTCTTTCTGGCTGACCAGGATCCTTAAAGGAATAATAACATTATTAGGAAGATAAATTGGCTTGTTTATGTATACGAAGACAAAGAAGAATGATTTTTTAAAGAGACCTTCGATATGCTTCAAGAATATTTTTAAAGAGAAAATAAAGTAAAAATGACACCAAACGTAGACTGAGGAAAATGGGAAGATAAATGTTCATCCATATTCCATTATGAATCTGATTCCCTTCATAGACAGCATGAGAATATAGAATAAAGTGGCGATAGATTAAGAAGCTGGTTTCTCTGCAAGAACAGGAACGCTGTTGCACAAAAATCATACGTTTTCCTCTCACCAAGAAGTTCATATACCACTAATATTTCTCTAAAATGTCCAAATCTCCAAGAGCCTTGTGGATAATGATACAGAACTCTTTATAGCCCATTCACTACAAGCCACTTTGCCTCTAACATAATATCTAAATTCAATATCTGCCCTTCAGGTTGGTTCCTCCAGGCCACAAGAAAAAAATATTCTCCATCGCTCGACCTCAAAGCAGCCCACAAAAACGAAAAATATCAAGATCCAAATGGGCAACCTTTGAGCTCGTTAATGCTGTCCCACCTGGTACCGTCCTTTCATCAACTCCCAACTTACTTCCCTGAGGATATCGCTGGCATCCAGAATGTCCAGGCTTAAGAAATTGTATATCATTTTAAAAATTTTATGGTTTTACAGGTTTATACTGGTCAACCTTTGTTCAGTGGGCGAAATTGTATTCTTCAAAAGTCTGGAAAAAAGCACGGGATGCTTCTCGTAAGATGTGACGACTGGATGGGCAAAAGAGGTGCTCTGTCCTTAAATTGGATCTGCTTCTCTATTTTTTATCTCTTAGCTACAAAGTTTGACGATTCATCCCTAGGGAAAAATAAAACTAGGACCGATTTTATATTAAAACAAGGCATGCACAAAGGCCTTACGTTATTGAACCATGTTTATCAGGATTGCCCCTCATAACATAATGCCCTCCCTCCCCGAAAAATGCAGTGAAATGATGTGTAACGTAAACATGGGCCTTCCTATTATCTTGAGCAAGACACACAACCTATTGATATTAAATACATTTATTGCATGAGTACAAGTGCCCGGCACAATGATAGCCATTTATGGAGACAAGTCCAAGAGAGACCCTACCATGAAAAAGCATTTAAGATTCACTTAAGGTAATTCATCCCCACATTTCAGAACTATTTTTACACACGAGAGACACTACACTGTGGGACAGCAGCATGGGGCACACTTGGATATTTCTTACCCCCCAATACTCCTAAATACCATAACATACGTGAATGCATTTTTGCCCATAGCATCATCAAACAGCACCATAAGTCATAACCTACCAGGCATTATGTAGTAAAGCACGTTTGATGAAATTCTTCTCTTTCTTTTTGAGCCGCCATATTAGTACCCACCTCATCACCCATATTTTTGAACTGGATGATTGTTTGGAACGATTGGATTAATAAATTTTATCTTAAAACTTTGACAATTAAAGAAACATTTTTCTATTAAATTTTTTTTTTTCACTTTCCTGTTGACATTTGTCCCAAAACCATTCCTCACTGTGACTCACCTGATGTACTGCAAAATGCTTGTTAAAACAAAAAAAACGTATGACGTGACTATAGACCTGATCTAGAGGATGGAGATGACACTGACTATTTCTGATTAACATACTTTGACAGTGGAACACTCCTAGGATGAGTAATTTTCAATGTGATAGCTCATCATAAGGGTTCATGCGACGGACGAGAATGAAAGTGCGTATTAAAAACTCGAAAATATTCAGTATTTAGCTGAATCAGGGTATTGTCTCTCCGAAATGTCAGAAAGACACAAACTAGTGTACATCTGCCTACACATGGGTAAAGGAAACAAGTGAGTGATTATATGTAAGAAAAGTGAGAACAAATGTTACCTAAAACAGGAAGGATGAGCTTGCACACGTCCAAGAAAGGCTTGGTAAGCATCTCACCATTTTCTGATTTAACATGCTTCATGCCCTCCAAAGAGGGTGCGAACACGGTACCTTCCATCCCTAGATCAAGAGCCTTCCACCTAGAATCAAAGACTGTTAGAGCGTACATTCCGAATTCCCCAAAACTACAACATCAAACCGTTCTCAAAAGAAGATCGAAAGCACAGACACAAACTAGAAATTATGTAAATCGTAACACGACCCATTTTATATTAATTAACCAGGGACAATGGTTTTTGGAACGATCAACTGATGAAGCTTTAGAGATATACGAAATACGAAGAATAGATAAAACTAAAATGCAAGATCTGGTCAGTTCCCCTACCGTGTGGCTCCCCAATTTTCAGATCTCATGGTCTCACACAGATGGCTTTTAAAAAGCAGAAAGGGAACTTCAGAAAGGACATTAATTAAATAAACATTAAAAAAAGAATAAACAAATTTGCGAACCTACCGATGCCAATGATACCAAACGAAATGAGCAAGCAACAAAGAATTCATCCTGATTGACTTCCGAAAACGACACAGGGAGGCGAGAACAATGAGAAAGCAAAACACGCGCCCGCACACATCTACAGATCACAGGAAGGCCTCGATGAAGAAGAATCCTACCTCCCGAGGCTCCTCTTCTTAGTTCCTCGCACTTGAACACAATCAGAACGCAGATGAGATCGTCCCCGGCGATCAGAACACAATCAGCAAAGGCGAACGAGCAGGAGACAAAAACTGAATCAGATAACCGGAAGGGACCCGAGGCGCTCGAGAAACCAGGAAACCGTCCCCGGCGATCGCGCTCTCCCTCCTATTTATAAGACGAGCATCAGCAGCAAGAGATCGAACCAGGGAGAGGGAGAGAGAGAATCAGGAACCACGCATTCCCCGCTGTGCGAATCAGATGCCACGGTTTCTTTTTCAAAAGTACGCACACCAAAAATAAATAATTATCGAATAGTCAAAAAACCATTTTTAACAATACATATACCCTTATCACATAATGGGTGAAACCGATTCGGCCCAAACGAGCCCATAAATGAGTACACGCCAGAGATTTGGGCTTTTCTGGGCCAGAAAATAATTCTAAAAAAATTAACATATAAATTAATATAAGTTATATAATAAATTATTGCGCGCTCGTCTTCCTCGAGAATAATTCCTGAACAGGGAGGGATCAGGGAAAAGAAGCAGCAGGCGAAGGAAGAACGGCTCTCCCAGGTGCATTATTTCCATCTCAGATCAAAGTGATCCATCTTCTGGAAGAGAGAACAGGGAGATGGGACGGAGGCTAGGGGAGCTTAGGAGGAGCAGGGTATTTGACGGCGTTCTTGACGATTTTCTTGGTGGCGGCTTCTCCGAGATCAATGCCGCAGACGTCCGCCAATCGGATGAGATACAGGAGCACGTCGGAGAGCTCCTCCCCCAGGTGCTCCTTCTCCGACTCGTCCCAGTTGGACAGCCCTCTCGCCACCTCCCCCCTCCACTGGAAGATCTCTGAGAGCTCCCCCACCTCGCCCACCTGCAGGAGAAACCAGGAGGTTCGTTTCCAGTGTGCCCACCAAATGTTTGAGAAAATGCGTGGATGGTTTTGAATTCCGCTCCAACCATGGCGAGGAGGAGATTTCTAGGGCTGTGGTACTTCTCCCAGTCCCTGGCCTTGGCGAACTCGTCGAGCTTCCTCGAGAGGTACTTCAGGCTCACCTCCATCTCCGTCTCGCCGGGAGGTCCTCCTCCCTCAGGCCGCGCCATGCCTGCTCCTGCAGCTCCTCGGCATGGGGCGGCGAAGGAGGAGGGCGACGGCTTTAATAGAGGGGAATGGCCGCCTGTCTGAGCGAATCAAAAGGGTATCCTGAGAATTAAAGCCGGAGGAGTGGCCTCAGTGGGCGCGGCGTTAGGGTTTTTAATGCAGGAGATTCTGCCCCGCCGACCGTGAAGATCATGGCGGAGGGCGCAAGGGACGGATTAGACGAGTAAAGAGTACCGTCGCGGAGCTCACGTGGGTCGGCCCTTTTCAGGGGCCTCCAACCAAATTCCCAGAGCTTTCCTGTTTGTTCGCCGGAGGGGAAGAAGACGACGGCGGTCTCCAGGCGGCGCCGCCAGGGCCACCATGTCGCTGTGTAGCAGAAAGCTTCTTCTTCCTTTTGGGAAATGGTGACGCCCCACTGGCCGTAGGTGGTCTGCCCCAAGACGGAAGCGGCGGCACCCGGTGCTGATCGTCAATCCGACACGAAGAATAAAGAGAGACCTGTCCCCCTTCTCTCTCTCTCTATCCCCACTCTCTATCTATCTCTCCCTCTCTCTCTCTCTCTCTCTCTCTCTCTCTCTCTCTCTCTCTCGTACGACTGCACTTGTGTGATGCATGCATAAATACTCAGATTCTGAGCTCAGCCTCCACGATGCATAACAAATATGCAACATTTAATTAATTTTTACGAGTATATATTTATAGCCTATAACGTTTGACCACGATGTTTTTTCTCGTTATATATATATCTACATAATAATTACTGTGATTTAATCAGAGCCGTGCGAAATCTACTGATTTCCTGATTGTGCATCTTCGCGGAAATGGTTTCTTTTAGTGATAGGTACATCTATTATACACATTTTTCTAATAAGGCGCATAATCATGCTTATTGTCGGATACTCCAAGATCTCTTAGGAATATGCCCGCGTGACGAGGGGACTCAAAATGAAACCTGGCAGGGTTTTCATGTTTCAAGGAAACAAAATTAGGGATTTATTGATAACTGGCCCAGAGAACCTAGTCTTTTTTTATCCAGCCTAATAGGGACTTATATATAATTTATATGGCATATAGGGGTTTGCATCGAAAAAACCTTCTTTTGGTAAGCTGGAGTCAGAGATATGTATACCGGCCCATATAGGCGGCCCAGTAACAAAGCTCATTTGATAAATCGCAAATAATTCAATCCATTAAGGTTATTTTAGGAATATGACATGTCAAGAGGCTGCCCTAGGTTAAAGCCGCCTCGTCGTCCACCTCGTTTCTCTTCTCTCTCCATCTTCTCCATCCCCCCCGCTTGATCCTCCTGCGACTACGCCCGCGATGGTGGGTCTCCATCTCCAGTTATCCTGTTTTTTTTTTTCTCTTACATTTTTTTCTTCCATCTGTACGCTTGATCGGTGGTTTTGATGTTCTTCTGCCCTGAGTTCTTCTTCCTCTGGATTTTCCAAAGGTTTTCAAGCGGTACGTAGAGATCGGGCGCGTGGCCCTCGTCAACTACGGCAAGGACTACGGGAGGCTCGTTGTCATCGTTGATGTCGTCGACCAGAATCGGGTAAGGTCTTCTACGAATCGCCCTCCCACTGTATGCCTTCTCGCCTGATTTTCTCGTTAAACCCTGTAATGTTGATGAGCGAGAGATACTTTGTCTTCTCATGTTGCAAATGATTTGGTTTGGTTTGGTTTGGTTTGGTTTGCTTCGGAATGCTTCACAGCAACGGGGGATGGTCAAACTTGATGACTCTCTACGCTGGCTTTTCAAATCTTGCCGTCGATTTCTCCTCGCCTATGACTTATGATCGTTGTGCTTCTTACGAGAACTCTCGCATTACATGCCTGTCAACTGCATTATTCTCCCTCTAGCACGTGGAAAGAATTGACAGCTCTCTAGCTTTTTATGTTATATTTTTACACGGGCGCTCAATCGTTTGGGATCCATTTTTTTTTCCTCTTTTTTAGCTGACAATATTCATTGACGTGACCCTGAATCTATGTCAGCAGCTGTGCTTAAATATTATTGAGGATTACGGTTCTCTTTTACTCATTGGTTTACTTTACTGGCTTAAAACATTCAGTTCATCATGAAAACCAGAACACGAAAATCGCCGAAGGCGACTGTTGATCTATCTCATCATTTCCTTTTCACCAAATAGATTCTTCCTGTAGTTTTAAGCAAGTTTCTTAGACTCGCGCTCTCCCAGAATCCCTTTGTTTTTTTTTCTCGTATCATCTGAAATGGTCAACTATATCCACGTTTCAGTATAGATTGTATTTTTCTTTTGAAATGTTGACCTGGCTGTATGGCGTCTGCAATTTCTTCTGGGGTGGCTCTTCATTTCATTCCATCTAGAACTTGAATCGACTCCATCTTTAACACGTAATATTTCTGTAAGGCGTGAGCGCAGATCCGCTTTTAGTGGATGCTGGGTGCCCTTCACAACCAGAAGCCGCATTATTAAAATGCGGCCTTTTTATCTACATTATGCCTCGCCTGTGTGGTCTTTTGATGTATTATTAAACGTGGATTTAAATGCAATAGGTACTCATGAAGATATTTTCCAGCTATGAGCAAGTGTTTGATATCAGAAGATAATTTTATTATTTTCCGCATGAAATCATTGCAGCTGAGGACTAAATTGGCTTTGCATGAGAGATTGGTAGTTATAGTGTACAATGGGCGATACCTCGCTTGCTATGACTCCGTTGACTTGGTTTTATTCCTTATAGTTGCCATTTATATTTCTAGAGCATGATATCTTCCAATCCATACTCGAATGGGCCTGCAATGAAATGCTAATCAGATTAGAAATTAATTTTTGGAACGCATTTGAAACTATTAACTTGTTAATTGTTCCCTGCATGTTACCACCGTTTTTAGTGGAATCATCAAGGTGAAATTATTTGGATTTGCTGAAGCTGACACTACTCTGAAGTAGATATCTAAGATAGAAAACGTGTCCTTGTACAGGTTCTTGTTGACTATCCAGACATCGTCCGAGGGCAAATGAACCTCAAGAGGCTTCAGCTGACCGACTTGAAGATCGAAATTCCCAGAGTGCCAAAGAAGAAGACTCTGGCTGCTGCTCTGGAAGAGGCTGGTGGGTCCACTGTTTCCAGGAATCTTGGAGGGGGGATGGGGGGTTGGATCTCCTAGCTTTAATCCCTTCATTCCTCATCTCTAACGTGCTGATGTGGCAGATATTAAGAACAAGTGGGAAAACAGCTCTTGGGGCAGGAAGCTGATCGTGCAGAAGCGGAGGGCCGCCCTCAATGATTTCGACAGGTTCAAGGTTATGCTGGCCAGGATCAAGGTTCGTGTCTCAGCTCAGCTTTTATCACTCAATATTGAATAAAATCTCGATTAAGATCTGGGCTCTGAAGCATTCTCCGGAACCACGTTGACTTTGGGCCTGGGCCGGCCCATCGCACCGCTCATTAAGACAACCTCTGACCACTACATTGTGCATTCTCTCCTCCCTTGCAGAGAGCTGCTGTTGTGAGGCAGGAGCTTGCGAAGCTAAAGAAGACGGCCACCTAAGACAAGACAAGACCGATGAGGAAATTTATCAATTTTGTCATGAACCCTGTTGTTGTTTCGCTTCTCCTGGTCAACCCTTTTCTGCATGATCCATTTTTTTCTTATTTGCTTCATGTTTGGTTTGATTTCCTGTTGACAAATATCGTGAGATTTCAGTTCCATACTCTTTCTTTCTTTCTTATTTGCTTATTTCTCCACGTTTGGTCTGGTCTGATTTCTTCTAGCCGCGTGGAAAGTGGTCAGACACATTTTAGATAATTTTCTGCAGAAGCTTACCTTTTCTAGACTTTAATGATAATTAAATAATTTTAAAAGTTTATACGAAAAATATGCCTTTTGTGGAAGAAGTTGACTATTTCACTGTCGGTCAGCGTTTGAAATTTGTGAAATAATGGATTAGAACATGTTGACGTTCTATATCTCGTCGAGGGTTCAATGTTTTTGGGGATGATTCGTAAAGCGTTGACTTTTTGGTGAGTAATGAGCAGTCACGAGACCGCCCCAACTAATTTTTAAAAGTCATGTATCGCCGTGAATGGTGAACGATGGGTGAGATAGGGGATGGATCTCAAATTGACAGGCCGCGATCTACGGCCAGTATCGCCGGCGAAAAGTCCAATCGCCGCCGACTCCCCCCCCCCCATGCACCATGCACGCCCGCCATAGAGAGAGAGAGAGAGAGAGAGAGAGATAAAACGAGAGGACTGACGAAGAGGCGAAAGATCTGCTCTCTTTAGAGACGAGAATGCTCTCGAGAGAGAACTTGGAGGGTCTACGGAGAAGGATCGCCACGCAGGTGGAGGACGTCCATGGCGTTCTTCAGAAGCTGAAGGTCAGAGCTCATCGGAGATGCCCTCTTCCTTCCTTCCTTCCTTCCTTCCTTCCTTCCTTCTCCGTCGTTTGGAAGGGTTTAATCTCCTGTGTTTCTTTCTTCCTTCGTTGATCATCTCCAGGCGATCGAGATACGGGAGATCACCAGAAGGGCCATTAATGGCGGAAAGAAAAAGGTCCCGTGGAGGCAGCGGAGGATGAAGAAGGAGAAGATCCCCGTGAAGAGTGGCGTCGTCTCCCATGGGCACCATGTTGTGGAGAGGAGTCCCCATCAGTGCGTGGTGGTTCAGAAGGGGCGAGCAGACCTCTCGGAGCTCTGGTTCTTCGCCGCCTCCGACCAGCACCAGGAAGACGGAGCCCTGAAGCTCCTCCAGGCACACCTCTTCGAGCAGGAGCTCGCTGGGGTGAGATGGCTGGCGGCGTTTACTTTTTCGGAAGAAAACACCCGATCTGTGATATGATCATTGACTTTTCGAAACCCATTTGCCTCCCTGAAGATTGGCGGAGCCAGAGAAATCAAGGAGGCGATGCGGGAGGTACATGCGGCGGCGGCGCCGCCGGGAGGCTTGGCGACGGCGGTTCTGTTGGAGGGAGAGGTGCTGGTGGCGGGGGGCTCCGGCGGGTACCGCGCCGTCGTGTCTCGGGGGGGGACGGCCGTCCAGATCGGCGGCCGCCGCCGGAAAAGGCTCCTCATCGGCGTACCAGGTGGGAGAGAGAAACTTCCGCCGTCGTCTCATTTCTTCACGGGCTGCAAACAGGCGCCCTTTTGGGATCGTCACGAGATATCACAGTAGCCGTGGGCGACTGAATGAATGAAATCTGTGTGCAGAGAAGCTCTGCCGGGCCGGCGCCGGCGCCGGCGACTGCGACGACGAGAAGGGAAGGTCTCCGGTGGCTCAGGCGGAGAGGATGACGTCGGAGACGGAGATGATGATCATAGCGAGTGGCGGCGTCTGGGAGGTGAAGATGGGGGAGTGGCGGCTCTGGGTTTCTCCCTCTCCGGAGGGAAGGTGAGAGTTTTGACCTAAATTATGGGATTGGTTGCAGGTGATGGGGAATCAGGAAGCTGTGGATCTGATAAGCCACGTGGAGGACGCCCAGGAGGCGGCGAGGCGCTTGGCCGACGAAGCTCTGGCCAGGATGACGAAATCTCCCGTCGCATGCATCGTCGTTCGCTTTGAGTAGCATTCATCCCTCGAAAGGCAACTTCCTTTTCCCTCTCTCCTCCCCTTCTTTCTGGACATACATAAATACATATCTATATTTCTGCGTCAGTTTATCTCTCTAGCACTGTTCATTCACCTCTCTCTCTCTAGAGTAGATAAGCGTATGCCGGCATTGAGAGAAGGAGGCATGCATGCTCTTCCATGCTATCCTCTTCGGTCAACGCGCCGATATTCTTGCGGTGCTCCGGAGTAAACGACGGGCGATTAACCGCCGGCTCAGGAGGCTGACGACGTCTGCCCGAGCACCCTCTTCTTCTTCCCCACCCCTCCGACCTCCTCCGCGTTCTGGATCCCAAGTCGAACCCTGTAAACGGCCCCGAAAGCAGCAAAGACAGAGATCCAAGCTCAGAACAGTAATTTTCCACCGTGTTTCAGTCTTCGCTGCTCGTCGTCGAGCTCGAAGGCGGTGAGCCTTCGCTCCTTCCGGTTCCCTCGATTGAAGCCTGCAGTTAGGGTTTCAGAGATCGATTTGCCCCCCCCACCGGCTAGGGCTGTAACGGGACCCCACGGATCCCTGCTGGTCGCTTCTTCTGCTAGGGTAACCTGGGTCGCTAGAGAGAGAGAGAGAGATGGATGAGAGAGAGGGTGTGCCTACGTTTCAAACTGGGTAACGTCAGAAGATGCTCGCCGTGTAAGTTTATCTGTGCGTGCGTGAGCATGCACGGCAACGCTGGTGGCCCTGGAAACCCTAATTCTGCTCCCCTTATCTTCTTCTTCCTTGATCTACGAAGACGAGAATGGGGAAAGGAGGGGGGCTTTGCAGCCTGCTGCTGGGTCCTTCAACGGCCATTCTATATTAGGGGGATCTGCCCAGTGCCAAGCTCAAGAACAGATCAACCGAAGAAGCCCTTTTCTCTCTCTCTCTCTCTCTCTATGTATATATATAGGGCATGAATGGGTACGTAGAGGAGGGGTCTCTCTGAGTAAATTGTCAACCTGGCACCGAGTACAAAATCCAATCCAACAAAGGACCATGAGAGAGAGGGAGGGAGAGAGAGAGCATCTGGTCTATACATTTGTCCGTCAAGTAAAGTTAAGGGAGAAAAAGCCCAGCCAACGTACAGTAAAACGGGTTTTCCTTTCTCTCTCAGCAAGGCGACAGAACTACACAACTATTTTGACTCGGCAGGAAGAATTAAAGGAAGGGGGGGGAGGGGGGAGGTAACTAAGTAAGAACCCTAATCCTGCTCTCCTCGGGTTTCCTGTGGATGAAAGAACACCGAGAGAAACTCCAAACCACATTGTGGGAAGACAAAACCCGATCAACAGGTCCTGTGGGCCGAATCAAGGCGGAACCCATATTTCACACTGATGACGAACCCCTCAGCCTGCCGCATTTCCTCTCTCTTCCTTCTTCTTCTTTTTTCCTCAAAAGGAATTCCCTGGAAAATGTGAAAACTGGGATCAGAATCTGAGATGGGAGAGACGAACTACACCTAATGAGCTTGTCCCTGTCGATGTTTCCAGTGAAGATGATTAAGGCCTTAAATAAACAAGTGCAAGCCCTAATACTTTCCTAAGCTCTCTCTCTCTCTCTCTCTCTCTCTCTCTCTCTCTCTCTCTCTCTCTCTCTGTCCGCGTGTCTGTGTGTGTCTCTCTCGCTCTACGGTTCTACCCATAAGGAGCCTTAGCCTCCAGATGCTGAAACGAAGGAAATCTATCAACAATGGAGTAAGAATCTGAGATGGAAGGAGATTCACGGGTAGGCTGTTTAATTTAAAACTGTCTAGACGGAATAATTTAAAACTGTGAGTATAAAATTATCAGAAAAGTATTCAAGTCTTAAGTTTTAAGCTAATTCTCTCTCTCTCTCTCTCTACACTGTTGCACCCAAGACGGCCCAGCAAAAGATTCCAATTATTCCAACTAAATTATTTCCGGAATTCTGAGAAACTCCAAAGCATCAAGAGCAGAAAACAGGATATCTAAACTCATCATGAGTGAGTGTGCCGTCGAGAATATGAGAAGCTCTGCAGATATCATGTGGAGAGACAATTATGGCTTGTGAGGAGTCTTATATGCGGAGGGTCAAACAGCAGTGTGAGATGAAACTCTGAATAAAAAAATCGATGCTGGCAAGTCAACTGGCTCAAGCATACGAGATTCTATAAAAACAGATAAACACAGAGCATGCGATCCAAATCTTGCATCAAATGATGGTTCTAAGCCATAAGATCAATCAACTGCTATTCGGATATTGTGACTAGTCGAAGAATCAAATGAACCCAAAGCATTCCCATCAATGGAGCATGATCCGGATGAAAAGCCTGGCCTGAGAGACTAATGGCAAGCTCTTGAAGCTGAAAGATTGCAGCAAGAGAATTTCATACCTCGAGGTGCATTCAAAAAGGAGCCTCAAGTGATTCATCCCAAACATCCCCGCTTCCGTTAGAGGCATCTTCACCATCTTCCTCCATAGAGAGCCGAATGTATTCTCTGTGAGCAAAGCGGTCCCACTCAGTCAGCGTTGGATTTTCACGCTCCTGCACCAGTCAAAACAGAAAATGATGGGTATTAGAGCGCATCTGAGAATCAAATCCTTTTGGGATAAGCTCTGGCAAAAGCTCAAAAGCCCTCGTGAACAAGAGGGAAATGATATCCCAGGGTGGGTTTCCCACCTGACGGATGAGAAACGGGTCCCGAGTCTCAAAAGCCATAAACTTGTTGAGGTTGAAAAGGATATTGAAAACGTTTCCAGAGAGTTTGCTGCTTTTCAAGTCGCGCAGGGTAAGAAAACCCTCGTTCTGAAGGTCAATGTAAAAAAATCAGCAAAATGCAGAAAAAAAATTTCTCTATCTAAAGATGAATAATCAATGATTCGACCGGACCTCAGGCCCAATCATGTCAACCATCTGGCACAAGATATCCTCGAATTGAACAGGTTCCTGGGCCATGCACTCCATTCGATGCAACTGTTCTTCGTAAAAGAATTGCATTTCGTTGGGTGTAAGCACTCCATTACCATCCAAATCTATACACCTGAACCTGCAAAAATGAATGCATTACGTAAGAAATGCATTTTCTTTCTTTTGGTTTTTTGCCCATGTGGCGGTGTTTAGAGAGTTTCGACAAAAAGATAAAGCAATATACGTAAGAAAAAATCGACAGATAAAATTTCTTCTGCACAAGAATGATGCACAAGTTTCAGACATCGCAAACACCAAGGTCTACAAATGTATTTGGGTATAGGCCTGTCTCTGCAACCAAAATCTAGCACAACGCTAAGGCCCAATTAAGTTAGAAGCCAAGGTACGCATCTTCTTGTCCATCTTGAAAATCTAAAGGTCACGCAGCTTCTTTTCATTTCATTGAAGCTGGAATGAAGCTTCTTTAATCAAGAAAATATAGAGGTGATACGACCAGAACTGTCAGCTAATTTCAGAAAGGGAATAAGATAGTACTACTGAAATAAATGTGCATCCTTTTAAGCATTCACATCATAAGTAAGAGAAACAAATTGGATACCAGCAGGATCCTGTATATCAGAAAATTTAAAGAAGGCTAATGATTCAGTAAAAATAGACAAATAAACACACTGTTTCAATTAAGGTAAAAAAGAAATAATGCAATGAAGAAAAACATCCGGAGCTTTTAAACAAACAAATCTATCCATTTACCCACCCCATTACGGTCAGTTTTTCTCCAGGAATGTCAGTGGAGGACAAAAAATCATGGTAAAGAGTGAGTGGTGCGTAGCAGTGACAACAGCCAACGATTATCTTGAACTGTGAGTGCCGTGACCGAATATTCTTTCATTTTTTCACTGAAAGGATAATGACATTCCAGAACGATATTAATGAAGAAATGTTCATTTCTCATGTAATAATGTTCCCTGCAAACTTATAGTATATCAATGAACATGTATAACAAAAGAGTTTTCGTCCATTATAGTGTTCTAAGCACAATAAGCTTCACAATACAGAATGAAGGGTATTTGAACTCTAACTCCAATGTTAGAATACGGCATTTACCAATATTCAAGGCTAGGTTCTGACGATTTATCCTCTTCAGACAGAATAAAGTAGACGAAATCTTCGTAGCCCATCTTCCCTTCAACTCTACTGGTAAATTTCCTTGGAACCTAAGCGTCAATAAAATGCGTATGGTCAGCAGGTTCGAAGCTACACGGATAATTAAAATAAAAAAGGAAGATCAAGCAGAAAAGATATCGGTCTGTCAAACCTGTGAAAAAATCCTATCCACAATTCTGTAGGTAAGAGCATGGCTGCTATATCTGATCAGGTTTTCTTTGTCAATCAGGAAATCGTGATCTGTATCAAGCTCCCAAAATTTGCAGTATATCACATAGAAATGCTCATAAGAAAAGTATCTGCAGAAAATCAAGCACGGTTAAGCGATAACATGTTGACGATGAAACATAAATATACTGAAGATGATTAGCCCAAGATATATGCACGCAACATCGTTCCAGATTTGAATCCGAAAACATTCATCTTTCTTAATATTGCGTGCTAGGCAATATGGCGTATAACATGTTTATTTTTGCTCGCTGAATATTAAATGCCACATAATCGAGACCATGGGACGGTCAATGCCCATATCTCTGCTGAACAAGCTGGGATTTACCGATGGTGTCACTACAAACCTTACACTTCCGGACTCTATCTCAGTTAACAGAATGAAAACTTGTCATTGTGTGTCAGCTTTTTGAGAAAAAAAGGACATCCAACAGCTACAATTCTGTTTAAAATCCCCTTATGAAGCTTAAAATTTTAAAAAGGAGTAGCTTTGTTCCATGACACTGATGTAGAGAGTACAACTCCATAGAGAGTGCTTAGCGTTCTACCATCCAATGCATGAAATGACGTCACTCAAACTTGCGTTGAAGTGATACAAAAAACATCCTAGATGTCTAGTAGGAATTAAATACAGTATACTGCACACTAGAAAACTAACTTCAAGTTTGGAAATATAATTCAGACCTGATACACTTACCGAACTCTAAAAAACTTAGGTTCATACCAACAATGAAAAGAATTTTCGTCTGCAGATAAGGATAGTTGAGCTATATGTTTCCATAACCTTCCTCTTCCAACCCAGACACCAGAAAACTTTGCTTTCTCTGATTTTTCGCTGCTTTTCTATTTTTACGAGGAAGATAAAAGGCGATACATGATCCCCCTGCCTAAGATCCTGGGACCTTGTGAAGGGGGTTTCAATGATTTGACCATTTTATGAAACTAAAAATCTGCCCGTGGATACGCAATTAACAGTTCTTATGACGTTTAAAATATATGTAACCAAAACTACAGTCAGACAAGGAGCAATCCGACAGCTTACAAAGACACTCATAAGTAACTATCCAATAACAAGGGGACTCGCAATCCAATTTTTTCACAGTGAGACGGATCGGAATAGGGTTGCTCAAGCTAAGTCCAAGGGGAGAATCTGATCTCCCCATTGAAAATGAGAAAAGAAAAAGTAATAATCCAAGATTTACTGATTCGCAGATTCATCGGCTACTAGTGAGAGAAATATGGCAAAACTACACCCGGCTCCTTCTTGCAAAGGATAAAGAAGAACAAGAAAAACATTTTTTCTTGCAGCCGCCTCCAGTTATAGGCACCAACTACCAACATTCTCAGATGCCGCCTTCCCCAGATTTCCGGCTGATGTCGGGGATCCATCCACTACAGAAGACCATGGCATAAGAACAATCCAAGAAAGAAGTTTTTATCCCCATTCTTAGGAACAATTGCTCCGGACGTAAAATTAGTGCGATAAATGGATGCTATAACACAATTTTTTTCTTGATATTCTTGTAGTTCCGTTTAAAAATTGAGTATCTGAAAACTAGTAATGCGTCCCTACCCGATTGGGAACAGGTGAATCTGACTTCGAAATTAGCCATTACCGTAACGATAAAATAATGATGGTTGCTTCGTTTTCCGAGGAAAATGCAATAATAAGAGACGCCTTGCCTCTTCTAACATCTACTTTCATTAATTTATGTCCGTTTCAAAATATTGAAAATCTATTCTGGACTTCAATTTTCACGGCAGACCAACCTCAACACTTTGTTGATGTCATCTTCCTCATCTGCGTGATGCATTGCAGCAATCAGATTTCCACGTTTCAGCTCCCTGAGGGTAAGATGGCCAGTCCCCGATCTATTCATGTAGTAAAATATTCGATAGATAACTGTCTCCGCTGCACCCAGGACAACAGTTTTCATGAGTCAGTAAGATCAAATGGGTATAATAGTGATGCAAGCCATTCAAAAGAATTGTACGCTCCAAAAAGGAAGAACAGTGCATAAAAAAAGATGAAGCCGTGACAAACCATTCCGAGTACAATCTTGCACAAGAGGTAGAAATAAAGGGGGAAAAAAAAAGGATACAAGAGAAAAAAAAAAAACTTGTCGCGGCCTAAGAGTTCATAAGTTGACAATCAGGATTCTACAAACTATATTCTGAACAATGCGAATGATATAATTCAATTGTTTATGAATTATTAATAGGAAACAAAGAATCATGGCCCAGCCAGGTATTATCTGGGCCAGGGGAATAAAATAAAACTGTGTGAAAATTTAGTGCTTTCCTTATAGGAGATATCTGTTTCGAATTATTAACATCGTCTGTTGTTGGTCAAATCAAATCTGATGCACATCTAAATATCCTTCGATTTTTTCTGACCCGATCCAAAAACACGTGTTTATCCAATAAACATCAAATAAATACAGAATAGCGGTAACAGTTATTCTGCCTTGAATTTGACAGTCCACATAGAGTGAAAAATGAAACTAAAAGCTGGGTTCCGATCGGACAGGGAATCATTAGAAATGGAAAACATGTTAAAAGAAGTTAATAGGATCAGACATACTATCCTGATGCATAGCAGCTGCAGATGAGATGATGAATTAAACTCACATCTGACAGCATTACCACCAAACCTACATGTTGCATCCATGGTAAAGAAAGAAGACATCCCAGCACAAGGAGAAAATAGTGTCAGCTAGGAAAATCATTCCACGAATGAAACTATGATATAAATAGCTCTTCCTTTGACGCTGGTAAAGAATAGACCAAGTTCGCATCTACGACAAACTCACAAAGTGGAGTGGAATCGAATAGCATTCTGCCAAGTAAATTCATATTGGAGGGATAACATTATAGATTAGGCCACATAATTAATGAGTAGTCATAAAAGGTACCACATCAGCAGGCTGCCATGTAGCACCCTCCACCAAGGAGGATTCCCTCATACTTATTTCCACTACACGTTATATAATTGGACTAGGCTTCAAATAATTGGGCTTCACGCTTCCAAAGCCCATTAGGAGTTACTTCAATTACAGATTCCATTTGAGATTCATTAAACACTCTTCGGTTGTTTTGAAACATTCTCTTATAATTGAAAGATGAAGTTGCACCAGAATCGTTGACCAGTTCAGTTTTGCAAGGTACTATAGCCAGGCTATCTCTGATGAGGGTTCTCCCATATGTTCTCACTGACATCCTCCAAATTGTTAACTGTAGGTGAAGATGTGAATCGCTTCTCCTGCCTGCTACCACTTCCTCACTGCCAGTACTTCCGTCACAATCAACATTTCCTAGGTTGTTCCCTAAGGTATTCACTCCGTAATTGGTCTCCTCTATCACAGCCGGTCTTCTACCCTTTCCTCATGGGCCCCGTCCTAAAATTTTATTTTTGCCCCAGTCGTCTCCATTCGGGCCATCTGATGCTCTCCTACTGTTGTTAATTTCTAGTCATTCCTTCTTACTTCGTTCTTGGGCGTAGCCATGGCTTTCTTATCCCACATTTTCTCTCCTGAGGAAGAATGAGGCTTCATTTTATAGCGTTCGTGGGACTATCCAAAAGGTTAATTTGACTTCATTTCGAAAAAAGTTAATTTGTCTATTTTCACGTCTCCCAAACTTTCCAATAAAGGGGAAATGATTCATGGAACACAGGCTACTGAAGCAGATGAGCCAAAAAACATCCAAGAAAATTATGAAAATTGATGGCATGTTATCAAGTAGTGGGGAAGTGGTTCATGAACCCAGGCTGGCGACCAAGGAAAACTTATTGGTGAAGTTAATGGCTATAATGTGGACTCATCACACATCAAATAATCCCTATAGATGTCAGCATATGGCCTATTGAAGGAGCCCAGTCTTTGAAAGACAAATGACTACACATCGTAGGCTCATCACATGCCAAAAATCCTCCCAGCACAAAGATCTGTCACGATGAAAGGCTTAAGAAGTCTACTCCATTTTAATAATGAAACATCTTAGAAATGGCAACAAAAGTAATTGGAAGACTCGATAACTTTGAAAAATCTGGTTTAAGCATTTACACACTCGCATTTAGCATTCCCTGATGATCAAGAAAAACTGAGGGATGATGAAGTTTCCTGAGGTTCTCTAGAAGCAGCATCAACATAAAAATGCAGAAGATATGTGATTGTAATCTTCATTTAATAATCTGAAGTGTATGCATTAAATTTGAGAAGGAAATAAAATAAGCCTTCAGCGTCATTCCACACAACTGATTTCTTTTGATTTTGCTTTCCATAAACGTCGACAGAAAAAAGATATTATGTAATTTACACATGTCAGGTCTTCTCCCTTTTCTAAATTAGAATCCATGGAAAGCAGAGCACACGATCGGTCAGGAGAGGGAAACCAGATGAACTTGTTAAAAAAGCATCATATAAAACCATGAAGAAGTAAAGAGACCGAAGGTTCAAAAGGTAACGGAATAGTTTTAGGCGCTATAAAATGAAAAATGATACAGGATAATCCGAAGGTTCAAGTATACCATATCTTTCTTGAAACTCAGGTGTGCTCTGCAGAAACTCCAAGCCTGGGTGTGTTGCCAAAAGTTCTCGAAGCATAGGTTTGAAATCCTCCTGTAATAACGTTCAATGAAAAAATTGGCGAATAAGAAATCAGGATAATCAATGATACTCAACCCACTTATTTAAAAAATGACAAAAATAAGTACTAGCCAGAAAATAAAAACAAGAGTCAATCTCTTGTAACGCTGCTTCAGAGATAAAACAACCTGAGTTAGGTAGTTTTGATCAGGTTGCTTCAAAATGCTAAATATTCGCTTAGCTATATCCACTGACAGCATGTTGCTGTTAAACCAATAGTTAACAAATGCATCCCTGGAATACAGACAAATTATAACATGTTCAGAACGAGCAGCAACAGTAAAAAAACAAGAATATCCATCAAGATAGAATGGGTCATTCAACCACCATAAAAAATTGACCAGCAGCAACTTATGGTGTTCAACTTGCATCTAATCAGAAATCCACGGAGCAAGCTCAAGACTATGGTAAACATTAACGACTAATCAACTTTGTTTTGTAAAAGCAATGATCATGCACAATCCAGATTAAAAATGTATTTATTACTAATTAAATTATTAAAGTAAAAAGTTCCATGCAAAAGTTCTAAAACCTATTTTGTGAGGAAAGACGTCAGCAGAGATGATATTTATTAAAACGAGACGCTTTACTATTTCCCTCGTTTAAATCCAACACGTTGACACTAGTTTTCGCGATGAAGAAAAAACATCTTTGGCAAATGGCAAAGAGACATATATTCAAGTTCAATACCAGATAAGAACCATCTGCTAAAAAGACAGCCAAAAGCATCCATTAGGCAGAAAGACCTTACTCCCTTAATGAACATAAAAATTTTAAAAATAAAAAGAATGGAATCAAATACAAATATAACACATGATTTCATCCCTTTCAAAAAAAAAAATCCTTAAGGGTATTTTATACGAAAAAAATTCAAACAGACAGGAACCAAACTCATCAGTCTTGTTTCTATTCATTAGATAAAACAAGCAAAAAGAGAGCATACTGTGTCACAATTCCCGTGCACTCAACATCAATCCGTCTGAAAAGAGTCCCAGAGAAAAACGACGGCAGTTTGCAAATTTCCTTGGTAACTTCCTTAAACTCTGATATTGTAGAAAGGAAAGGTCAGTAGTATCCCATAAACTTCAGCACAGAAGACAAGTATCAATAATGCAATAATATATTATCACCATCTAATCGTAGCCCATCCATGTGGCCAAAGAAAAGTTGATCAATTTTGGATAAGCATTGCTCTTTTAATTCATACGGTGGGGGACGCCCGTTCTGAAAGTAAAACTGCACCGATTTTCCAAGAATTAAATTAGAACCACTAGTGAAAGTATTTTAACGAAAATGAAATAATTAAAAAAAAGATAATTTCCTGAGGTATATATTCCTTCGCCGGTGTACTGACTACTTTTAGTGGAGAACTCAGGGAAGAAAGACTAGTAGCACTGCGCTTCACAGTTCGTGGAGAACCAGAGGAACTTCTTGGCGAAAGTGGCGGAGCACTTCCCGCAGGGAACATAGAAGGAAGCGAATTAGTTGCTGCTGCATTTGGACTGGATGAGTTTCCAGGAACATTCAATGGTACCCCTGCCTTTGCATCATCAATCAAAGATTTTACCTGCATTCATACAGCAGTTTTGAGATATGATTGCGAATAAAAATATGCTGTTGGGATTCCTGGACAATGCCATTTAGACATGAAGAAAAACGACAGAGATGAATACGGCGAAACATAATCAGGAAAATTTGGCTCTTACATATAGTATAACAATTCTAAAAAATGCATGTACACAATCTACAGATGTCCTCATTTAAATAAACGCCTACTGATGAATTTCGCAATCCACATTATGAACCTTATGATATATTTGATTTATCAATGCAACTTTAGTTTAAATGGGACACTTTCAACTATTCATGAACACTAGGCTGTAATATAGCACTGGTAGTCGTTTGTGCTGCAGAAACACAGCCTCACAATAGCTCGGGTCAATCAGTAATGAGTATGAATAATTATACAAAAATAGTACAACACATTGATGTCTGACCGATGTGTACTCAACGTATTGTTGTCAACAGTTCACGCGCAATTTTGCTTGACCAATAAAGCGCCCTTGGTATCTCAAAGGAAAATTATTCAGAACACCCAATATTGATTACTAGCAAGAACTTCTGCATTAAAACTGCGTCTTGATGCAATTTTAAACTGAATGAATCAACATCATATAATTGGAAAACCGAAAATTTTAGAAAATTCAACGGTTGAGCAACTTTCATGCCAGACACCAGAATTGCTACCAAAATAATCTGTAAGATAAGGTGGGTCTGTACTTCGATTGCGACTGAATCATATTCGGTACTTCAGGTAGAAAAACTCCAATGGAATGCGAAGTCATGAATTTGATGGACATTTAGATGTCAATTTCTCCACATCAGAACTAGATAGATTCCAGGAAAAATTTCAGCAAAATAAACTTAAAAACTTGTCAAATCACCTTTTGTCTTTTAAGCTATCAGCATTGCTAAATGAAACAGGCAAGTGACAAATATTCTCTGTTCTTCAGATTACCTACCACTCATAAATGGTCATGAGAAAGCATGGAAATCCTCTTAGAGGAGCCAGATAGGATGTGCCAAAAAAAAAGATATCAAATAAGATTACATAAACGGTTCTTAAAAAGAAAAAGGGGCCAGGGTAGCGACAATGTGATGAAGATATGTATCTTTTGCGCATTCTTGTTTAAACACCCAATAAACTACCCCGCAGTACTACTTTGTAGACTATTCAACGCATAGGTATCATAAACGCGCTGTTTATTTAAAATATTCAGTGAAAAAAAATAGCACAACAGGGGAAAAAATAGCATTACTCCCGTCACTTTGAGAATTACATCACCTCACAGCCTCAAATGAGCAGGAATAGTTATTCCATTTTCTTTTCAAGGCTCCACATATATTCATAATTTTATTGGCCAGTAAATCATTTTGTTGAGATGGTACACACCATCAGACCGTCAAAAATGTGATTCGATAGCATTCCCTTGATTTTTAGTTTCTATCTTAAAGTGAACGGGGTAGACATGAGACTCAACTGAGACTCATGAGGCATAAAGAATCAAGGAATAATATTCATTTCAAATCATGAGACTCAATTGGAATTCACCAGAGTATTAATTATATAATACAAAACAAAGGATATATTATAGATACAAATGAAGGAAGCCAAGGAAAATAAAATGATCACAAATCTAACCAAGGATAAAGAGACGATTGAAGGAAACCAAGGAAAATAAAAGGCGTACCAATCGGACAGTATCCGGGAGAGAAAGCCACTGCGAGTACAGCTCCTCAGCGATACGAGGGCTCTCCTTCAGAGCCAACGGTGAGACTTCTGGAAGCTGCAACAATTCTGGATCCAGGGACACGAAGTCCCTTGGTGTTTCGACGTCCATCGCGCAGAATCTCTCCCTTATCTCTCATACAACAGACACTAAAACAAAAAGAAACTGCCACGAAGGATGGGTATGGGAAAATCCCAATTTTCCCCGGTCCTTTCTCGCACAAACAACAAGCAACAGATGCGTCCAACGCGCTTCCTTTCAACAGCAAAACCCTACTTTCCGGCACCGTTTGATCGAATTCAAACCACCGATTATCCACGCCATTACGACCCTAAAGATGGCACAAGTGATCTCAGACACACAACGGTCATCTCCCACACCCTAACACTAGAATTCAAGCAGATGATCAAAAACTAACCGAGATCTTCGCGCGGCGACGGGAAATAGCACCACTTCTCAGCCTCCCCGTTCCTAAGTTCCCAGATAATCGGACCTCACAGGAGGCAACCCTGTTTGGCGCTACCAATAGATTCGACGAGGGAAGGAGAATGAGACGCTCGGACGAGGCAGATCGAAGTGGCCCCGGGATCCCACTCTCGGCCGCTGTCTTTCGAAACCCTCCCTCGGCTGAAGAGCGAGCCAGAGAGCAAAATAGAAGAAGAGGGAGAGAGAGAGAGAGAACGAGAGAGAGAGAGAGAGTGATTAAAGGAGAGGACCACCAAACCCGAACAGGCCATCCCCTCACACTCATACGCCCAGAAGAAGAAGGTAAACCCCACCTCCACCGTCCATCCTAGATCGACCGGTCATAAATTGTCAAAGAGTAATTGTGGGTCCATCCCATCAACGGTTGCGACACAGAATTCAAATGGAGCATCGAATAGACGGTCAAAAACATAACCAGAGAATGAGCCTTCATGGGAGACCACGTTTCTAGGAGTCCCCTTCGCCACCTGATCGCCTAATCAATTTGCCCGGATTTTCAATAAAATCCCATATTTGTAATATTTTTTATCTTATTCCATATGTACGATAAACCCCTCTCAAACTTATATTTGCTTCTATACTCTCTCCATTATCCATTGCTCTTCATCAGATTAGCGTTCTTATTTCCCTCGATTATCTGCATCGTAATAAATTTAATAATATTAATCTACTTAATATTCAATAATCACGTCACCTCATGGAATCTCCTCTCTCTCTCTCTCTCTCTCTCTCTCTCTTCCGGCATGGTGAACGAGGAAATGCTCTGAGAGAAGAAGAAGAATGGGTTCCAATCAGAATATTTATTAAAAAAGGATAAATATTCAACAATTACCAGGGAAAAGTATGACGAACAAGCAAGTCCCCACAATAAAAGGCAGGTGGTGCTCCCCGGAGATCAAGAGAATAACAACAGAGGGAAGCGCAGCTAAAGGAGGAAGAGCCATCTTCACCACAAAAAGTCAACGCTCTGACTGAAGCAATCCCCATTTTGAGCATATATCATCGTAAGCATAAGCCACCACGTTGACTTTAGAGCACCGCACGGAGGAACTGAATGCCCACGACTCTCTCTCTCTCTCTCTCAGGCTGCTTCGGATGGGATTTTCTCTCTCCTGGGCATTCTCTCGTCACTTGCGCTTGTCGGTGCTGATTGAGAGGAGCTCGAAGCTCCGGGCAGGGTCGTCCCTGGAGATCCTCCCACCAGCAGTGCGCGAGAGGGACGACGAACGGGGCTCAAATCCAGGATGGAGGGGCCTCTGTGTGGTCAATGTGCGGCCGCTGCTGCTGCCGCCACCGCCACCGCTGCTCGAGAGGAGCCTGCCGGGGCGACTGAGCTGAGGGTCGCTGGGCTCGCCGGAGGAGCTCGGCCTGGTGCGCGGCACAACCGCCCTCCTCGAGGTGCTGCCGTTGCGAGACGAGGAGCCACGGTTCCTCTCAGAATCAGCAATCTACAGATGCCCAAGAAAGAGAGAAATCCGTCATCAGAGACAGCAGATCTTCCATGAACACAGAGCCTCGAATTGGCAATAATCTGCAGGAAGACAAGGAGAAAAAAAATGGGGATTCCAAGAAACTTTATGCCATCTTGTTCTGAGAATACTCACTGGGTAGTCTTTTAATTAATCCGTGAGAGCTTTCGTCCCCGACCCATGAAGCAGAATTTCATACGGACAAACAAGAGAGAACTTCACCAACTACAGGGAATCTATACAGGGTAGGCGTTGACCTTTGATGCTGTCAGAGTCGCATCGTTTTCAAGCCCCTAACAGTAAGCCCAACATGTTTGACCGCTGGGTGACATAGACAACGTCGGCAAAAATAGTCCTTTCCTTCAGTGACGGTTTGACCTGATTCTAGGTTGACCCTTTTCCGCCCATTATCATGTCGAGAAAGATCATAAAAGTTTATGACAGGGAATCTGGGATTTTTATATGCCTGGGGAGAATAGACAGAAGAAAAACTAAACGACGAAGAGGGCAGAGAGATGGCACTGACAGCGTCCTTGGATGATGTCGGCGTTTCTCTTGGTACTTTGTACTTGGCTTGTTGATCGCCGTAATGGCCAGAGCCAGAGCCGTTCCTCCTAGCAAATGCCTCAACTGAGCCAGAGAACCGGTCCCGAATCTCCTGCCCCATTGATGTTCTCTCTCCTCTCTCTGCAGCTGCCCCGGGAGCTCCACTTGCCCTGCCGCTTGGCTGCTGGAGGAGATAACACGAAGAGAGATAGACCAAAAAGATCAACAAGAGGAATGGGAGAATGACCGTCGATTAAGAACAATTTGTGAGAAAATACCCGGGTTCGAGTGGCCGCTCCAATCTGTGGGTACTTCAATATGGTCCAGTCGAACACATAGTCAAACTGATAACCTGCAAGAGGCAGCAGCACCAAAGTCAACGACGAAAGTAGGGGGAGGTAGAAGATGAACCCACGAACGCAACTCATTGCCTCACCATCTCGGATAAAAAGATCACGGAAAAGCTTTTTCAGATATGAGTAATTGGGTTTGTCATCAAATTTCAGATTTCTGCAGTAGTGGAAGTATGATATGAATTCTGGCGGGTGATTTTTGCACAGCACCTGTTCATAGCGTTCAGAAGTCAGACATTCGTTTACAGAATAGAATAATTTCGTGATGCGTATTGGGATGGTAAACTGTACCTCTATTGGAGTGAGCCTCTTCTTTTCACTGATTTTGTCGTATTTTTGCTTCTTGGTGCCAGCCTTCAGGCCTTGCCATGGAAGGCTAATGCCAAGCGATTCAACGTGTTAGAAGAGGAAACCAGAATAAAAGAGAGAATCAGACGGATGCGTGGAGGTCAAAGGGGGTGAGTAGGTCAAACCTTCCTCTTAAAAAATACATGAGGACATAACCAAGTGACTCAAGATCATCCCTTCTGCTTTGTTCTGAGCTCGCAGAATAACCCCAGTTAGAGGACAAACTTTGGATAAGATAAAAGAGCAAAAAATGAGCAACTATCAAGTATTGATGAACGAGCCTTACTTACCAACTCCGAGATGAGTGTTGATGCTTGCATAGCGAGCTGTTCCAGTCAGATTCTTATTTTCTCTGCAGCGAATATAAAACAAGCTAATGATCGATAGAGAAAAATGGTGAAGAGAATCCAAATGTTCGTAGAACAGAAATTGAATGAAAAGAAAGAGCTGGTTCTCAGATGAAATGAGAATCCCCATCAATTAGTCAAATTAAATTATGCCCTGATCAAACACATGGAAAGGAGTTATCAGCAAATAAAAAGGAGAACAGGAGCTGAAACCCAGTCAACAGGAGTTATTGTCGCTGTCTTTTTTTTTGGACTATGACATCAGCGCACTATAACAGATCAAGACCAATCATATCACACTTTACAAAACTCTAAAAAGAAATGGATTAGTGTTTGAATTTAACCATATAATTATGGAGCATATTCCGGCCAAGGCATTGCCTGGAACAATATTTGTTTGAGTAAATGTACAAAGGCATTGCATGAAAGAAACTAAAGGTCAATTTTTTATGAATGATTCCCCAGAGATTCTACAGAGTTGACATTCCGGACTTATCACACAAAATCAAAGAAAAAGAAGGCGCAGCATCCCACACCAGATTTTTTAAAAAGATAGTTTTTAACGTAGCCAAGACATTAGTTAGGTGGCAGGGCATAAATATAAATATAATTAAATATTAGTTGAAATAAAATAATAATTAAATATTTGATAGACAAGAAAAATAGGCACGTTGATGTTAAATGTTTCAGAGAATATCCCAGTTGATATTAAAATCATTAAAACCGTGGCTAGCCCAGTTTATGTTAAATGTTTCAGAGAATATCCACCTTAAAAGCTTGGATGAAGAAATGAAATCGCAAATGAACAATTTGTAATCGCAAATGATGTCTTAATCTGCTACACGATGCATCCAAAGGATGCCACCACGACCACATAATACCCAAGAGAATTCCGCAAACATCAAGTTACGCAGAAGATAGGAAGAGTGAGTTCACAAAACGTGTAATCAGTTGGATCTCTGGTGACTGGAATGATTCTTAGAAACAATACAAAAATAAGACGGCACATTGGAGATGTACCCCGATGTAATTGAAAAAATAAAACATAAATTTTTTTTTTAAGAAAACGCATAATCAGAAGCCAAAATGAAAGTAATTACCTGTAGGGAATATGCTTATGCGTTTGGAACTCTCTATACCTCTTTGCAAGGCCATAATCAATAACGTAGACCTGCATACAGAGAAACACAGCAGGGGAAAAATATCTCATTATTTTAGATAAGAAGATATAAAATAATCCTGGCCGTCTGGCTATTAATATATAAAATCAGCTCAATCTGAACAGGAGCAGATGGGTACAATGGATAGTCACCAAATGAATCAACACACAACAGATAGAAACTAAAAAAATACAAAGAAAGAAAAGTTACCAGTATTTGAATTATTAATACTGCCTAAAAGTCAGACCAATCAATTAATGGCTTTCAAAGCATCACATAGGTACCAATGTACCAAGCCTATCTAAACAAGAGTCTTCATAGACGCAATTTTTTCAGTATGTCATTCATTCAATCAAATGCATGTTTATGAACAGTGAACCTGAACACTAGACACCCATCTGAAAATGTCACTCTCTTGGTTAAGTACATGTCCCTCATATTTCTTTTCGGCTTAATATAAAAAGACATTATCTGGCATCGGATAAAATAAGTTATACGATATTTTAATACATCAAATCAGTCAAATATATATCAAATACGTAGCAAGGTGAAACATAATCCATATTAAATAAACTACAATGTACATATTTATTCTTATGATGTCATTGGTAGCAGACATTCACATTTATTTTATTTTGTTTATCTTTTCTGTATACCAATTTCGTGCATATATATAAAGGAACTGTCTAGGTTCTTCTCCTTTTCTCATTGTGTTGCCAGTAAGACAGCGGGCCGTCCTTTGGTTGTCTTAAAAACTTTTTGAGTGAGATATATACACAAGACAGCTCAGATATGGCAAATTGATCAGCTTAAAAGACATTTATTTTCCAAAGGCTTAAGGTTCGTATCTAAATACTGAGAGAATGGAGCCTCTTTTCCACCATCTCTGTGCGCACCCGCAACGATTTGAAGTTCTGAAGACGACTTCTGATTCTAAGTGATATCTCTAAAACTAATATAGGTGCACTGCCATTAATGGTAATTGTGTAGCCACTGGATAATTAAAGGCATACAATTTAAGTTTTTTTCATTCCCAGAATGCCCTCTAGGAGGGGATAGGACCCGGGGGGCATCAACACAGCTCTCATTGATTGAAGAAAATTTAACCAAAATATGAAGAACGAAGAATCCGTGTCTATGTTTTAAGAGCCATTGTTAAGTGGTGGAAATTCTGGCACATCAGAATCATTTACCTGATTAGCTCTATGGCGTAAACCCATAAGGAAGTTGTCAGGTTTTATATCTCGGTGAAGAAATCCCCTGGTATGCATGTACTCAACTCGGTTAATCTGCACGAAAAAGTATTCATTACTTCGGCTGAAAGATTCCTACACTCGTAGACTCAAGAAGAAGAGAAAAGTAAATAGTTCATCTTCATTGCTGAAGAGAAACAATTCACTTTACCATCTGATCAGCAAGCATGAGCACCGTTTTCAATGTAAACTTTCTATTGCAGTAGTTAAACAGGTCTTCCAAGCTAGGTCCAAGGAGATCAATAACCATGATGTTGCATTCTCCTTCCACACCGAACCACTTCAGATGAGGAATTCCAGCTGCACTTAAAAAGCGCTTGTCAGACGGAACCCGAAAACCACACTGCGGCACTTTTTCCCATCAGCAAAGGAGTGACGCCTAATAATTGAGCAAAGAAAAAAAACTAAACGAAAGTTTGTCGAAAGAAACTTACTTCCTCCCTGAAGAAGCACATACAATTTAGATTCATAGTGTAGCTGAGGACGCTTCGTCTTCACAGATTCCTGATAATTAAACAATAAATGTTAATCGGCCAACATGGAGAATCGATAGTAAAAACTGAACATTCTCCAGATCCAGAGACGCATTAAGATGCTTATCACGTGCTACCGAGGAACTCCAAATCAATAGATCAACATAAAATGAAGCATGATCTCAGAATGTTGTTCCTTGGGTTACAATGTAGATCATATCCGCAAATGTGTCGATTAATATAAGAATAATTTTTGCAACGGATTTCTAAAAACACAGAAGCAAAAATACTGATGGCCCAGAAGAAGGAAAAAAAATAAAAAGGATGGTTAAAAGATCAAACTGTAGTTCATATTTACAGTAATGACAAGAGTAATTGAAAATTTGATAGCTTCTGAGTCTTGACAATCCACCAAATTTTGAGAATATTTTACATGTCTGAGAGGAAAAAAAATCGTTTGGACTAAAATGGCCAAGCAGGTGACTTCAGAATATTTTCATTCTCTCGGTGCGATCTCTTTCATATGTGTAGTGTTATTGAAGCAACCCAGAAAGCATCTGCACCTATTTGAGAATTAGATTATGAGAAAATTGAGACCACCACTGTTAATTTGGAATACTTGTTGACTGGATTTATTCCAACATGCCAAATTGAGCAAAAGGAGAGAAATATTTACGAGGTCCACAGAAAACACCTCACCTTCCATTCTAGACCCAAGATTTTAGAGCTCACAAATGTTAAATGTTAAAACAAGCACCGGAAAGAAATAAAAAGGTTGAGAACACCACTATACATTTCGAATACTTTCTCACTTCCAGCCAAGCCAAAGTCATCAAATTGGAGAGAATTGTTTACGAGGGTCACCAAAAACTATTCACCGGCTATTCCACATCCAGGGTTCCACAGCTTTCTATGTGTTATATGTTAATAACATTACCAAAAAAACGGTGCAAAGTTCAACTTACAGAGCATGATGATTCTTTTGCATTTTTTACTTTAATGTCATTAAGTGGATACATATAAGAACCTAGTTTAATGCTCCCACATCCTAGCTAAAAGTTCAGGCGACTTAGACAACCATTCACAGATCAAAACAAGCCAAAGGTATTATGTGCCCAGTTTCGTGGACACAGAAGTTTTATAATGATTTGTCAAAAAAAAAAAAAAAGATCATCAGGAGCATCATGGGTAATCAATCCCTATGTACTTTAGCCATTTCGATCGAGAGACCTTGTTAACAGATTCAGAAGAAGGTTTCTATACAAGATAAAAGGACAAACAACATACCAACTTGATAGCGACTTCTTCTCCACTTTGTACGTCAACACCTGGATCAAGCCAAGCAACATTTCATACCCTTTCACAGATATAAAGTTTGATGACTCTAGACAAGTACTTGATACATTTGGAAACACAACACCGCAACCTACCATGGTAAATCTCACCAAAAGATCCACTGCCAATCTTCCTCCCTAGCTTAAATTTACCACCAACGACATGATCCATGATTTGAAGGGTTTCGACGACCTTGGAAATACAAAGCAAATCCTAGGGACTGGTCATTCAACCTGACATCAACTTCAAGGGTAAAGCGCAACAGAAGCCCTTCAGCCTGAACGAAAGAACAAGGCTTCTTTCGAAGAATATCCTCAAAAAGGCCAACTTTATGGATTATTCAGCACTCCACCGGAGGATACCCCGGATCCTTCGCCCAGCTTGCCCCTCAACTCCGGTAGCCCCGGATTCTCACAACAAAGCTGCCTGAAACCTTCATTAACTAGAATAAGAACACCATCCCAACCTAGCGCAGCCTGGCGTACGACGAAACCCAGACGTGGGGTATCGACATTCAGCAACAGATTCCCAACTCCAAACCCGTCTTAATCCAGCGGTGAATATCCACCATCCACCACGATGTCACCTCCCACAATTGAGACCAAGTTCGACAAGGAAACTAGCAGCATGCCTTTCCAATCAGAGGAAACCCCTCACGATAAGGGCTCTACGAAGAGTCCGACTCGAATGCAACAGCCACTTTCGGATGGAAACCACCGATCACTCCACCAGAACCCTACCTCTACCGTCGCGGATCAACCAGAGCTAGAACCCTCAATAAGATCGGAGGAAGAAAAACACGAGAATATTTCAATCTATAAATAAAAGAATAAACCGAATGCCGCGAATTCCACCACAAAAAAGAGGAGAAATCGCAGATATCCGGGACACAAAAATCCCCAGGTTTGCAGCACAATGTAGGCGAAATTGAGCGGAAACTCAGAGAAGCACCCCCTTCCCCGGCGCCGGCGATAGAGCGATGACAGCGGAGAAGGGGGGAGAGAAACGCAGAGACGGAGAGAGAAGAAGGGGAGATGCGTGTCCGACAGAGGGGGAGGGTGAGTAATAGCAGGAGGAAAAGGCCGGAGGTGGGGGAAGGATTTTTTTTTTCTTTTTTGGCTGTTGCGTGTACCGTAAAATTTTATATATACCTCTTTTAAAGATTGCTTACAAATATACGCTGTGTGGTGATGATAAGCCAACGACAATTAGTTGTCTGACCCCTGGTTAGAACCGGAAGGACAACCGTCGGATGTACTACGTGGCATCATCTGCTGGTCGCGCGAAATAGATCCGCCGCCGGTTCCCCTCCGACGGCGCCAACGGAAACGGGGAGACGGGTGGCGAATAAGAGCCCCTCAGTGGGCAGCCGCCATTTATCTTATAAAGGTAACAGACATTTAACGGCGTTCGACAGCTGGAGCTCACCCGAAGGTTTTTCTTTTTCTGAAAAATATAATTAAACACGAAAATAAATTTCTGCCATCCCCTGCCAAACAGTACCCATCCCCACGTCAGCAGGAAAGATTGTTCCAAGCGTTTAGATTGATGTAAAACGCCGAATTCCCCCGTCACACTTCCAGGTAAACCTCACGAAGGACCTCGGAGTCTTAACTGGCATCGCAAACACGATGGCCGTTGTAAACGCAGTCTCAGACCGGAAAAGCGGAATCTCATACTCCTCCAGTTTACGGCATCCGAATTCATCCCGCCCCACAAAGAGGGATAGAGAGGGTAAAAGTAGAGAGAGAAAGAGAGAGCAATTTCAAATGAGAAGCTCCATCTCCGGCAGGGTGGTTTTTCGTCACCAGAAGTCGCCGCAGGAGCAGCGGCCGGCGGCGAAGTGGTGGAAGCGGCTGACATCCCTGACGATGATCTCTCTGCCGACGACCTTGGCGATGAGCTTCGTCGCGGCGTGGCAGTCGACGCAGACTCGCAGGTTCTTCGTCACCCTGATCGCCGTCCCCGGCGGCGTGCTGATGATCCCGAAGACGATCGCCAGCCTCTCGCTGTGGCCGCTCAGCATATCCTTCTTCTGCTCCTCCTCCACGTCGTGGAGCACCGCCTCCGTATTCGGCACGTAACCGTCCCGCTCGATCTGCGCTAGCAGAACCTCCCAGGCCATGCAGATCTGCTCGTAGAAGGGGTGAGACCGGTCGTCGGCGGCGAAGGCGTGGAGCTCGTTCCTGACCTCGATCCAGCTACAGGCCGGCTTTTTCCTGATCCCCCTGCTCTTCATCGACACCCGCAGCGCCGCCGCCTCCTTCCACCGGCCGGCGGCGGAGAAGATGTTCGCCATCAGAACCAGTGGCCCCGCTTCGCGGGGCTCGAGCTCGAAGATCTCCGCAGCCACCTTCTCCGCCATCTCCAGATTCTTGTACACTCTACAGGCCCCCAGGAGCGTGGACCAGACGCTAGCGGTGGGGGCGACCGCCGTCCCCATGGCGGAGATGAACTGGTAGGCCTCCTCCAACCTCCCCGTCCTACCGAGTAGATCCGCCACCGCCGCGTAGTGCTCCAGACATGGCGAGATGCCGTGGTCCTCGGACATGCTGCGGAAGTAACTCCGGGCCTGGTCGACCAGCCCTGCGTGGCTGCAGGCCGTGAGCACGGCGACGAAGGCGACGGCGTTGGGCTTTACCTTCTCCGCCTCCATCCTCTGGAACAGAGTGAGGGCCTCACCGGCGGGCCCGTGGAGGGCGTACCCCATGATCATCGCCGTCCAGGAGACCATGTCCGGCGAGCTCATCCCGTCGAAGATCCGCCGGGCGGCGCCGATGCAGCCGCACTTGGCGTACATGTCCAGGAGCGAGCTGGCAACGAAGACGTTCCCGTCGAAGCTGGAACGGACGACGACGCCATGGATTTCCCTGCCGAGGTGCAGCGTCGTCATGTGGGCGCAGGCGGGCATGAGGCTGGAGAAGGTCACCGACCGAGGGCTCATGCCGGCGGCGAGCATACGCCGGAAAAGCCTGATCCCTTCGTCGCAGAGGCCGTTCTGCACCGAGCCGGCGATGATGGAGTTCCAGGAGATGGGATCATGGCGGGGAGAGGAGCTGAAGACCCTGCGCGAGTAGTCGACCCTCGCGCTCTTCGCGTACGCGTCGATGAGGCTGCTCTCCACAAAGACGTCGCCGTCGAGGCCGCGCCGGATCGCGTAGCCGTGGACCTCCGCCGCCCTGTTCACCGCCGCCTGCTCCGCGAATATGGGGAGCACGCTGGACAGGGTGAAGGAGTCGAGCTTCATGCCGCCTCTGCTCATCTCCCTGAGCATGGCGATGGCGTCGCTGTGAAACCCGTTCTGAGCGTTCCCCGCGATCACGGTGTTCCAGGAGACGACATCCCTTTGGGGCATTCCTTCGAACAGCTTCCGGACCTTCTCCATGCAGATCAGCTCTCCCGGGAACTTGCAGTACATATTCATCAGTGCGTTGCCCGTGTAGAGATCAGAGGCGAGGCCAAAGCGGACGGCGCAGCCATGGATGGACTCCCCGAGCTTCACATCCCCGAGCATGGCGCAGGTCTTGAGGACGGAGGGGAGCGCGTGGCGGTGCCCGTCTGAGGCCGCCGACGCCGCCCTCCTCATCCGGAGGAAGAGGGAGACGCCCTCGTGAAACATCCCGTGGGCGGCGCAGCAGCGGATGATCGCCGCCCAGCAGAGCGCCGACGGCGCAGGGACGGCGGCGAAGGCGAGGGCGGCGGCGCGGGGGAGGCCGAGCTTGGAGTAGACCGAGACAAGGAGGGCGTCGCCGCCAACCATGGCCGGCCCGGAGGACTTGAGGACCTGCGCATGGAGCTGCAGCGCTTGCCATCTCGATCTCACGGCGGCGGGGTTCTTGAGTATAGACAAGAGCAGCGGCGACAACACGGCGGCGGCGATCTTCCTGGGAGCCGAAGGCGCCGAAATCATGAAGACCCTCGGAAGCTCGCGGGAAGCGGAAGGTCACACTTAGTATGTAAGCTCTAAATCTTACTCGATTCTCCGTTTTATTATCTTCTCAAAACCATTTACATCGAGATGAATATTGAGACTGTGGAAAAAATGTGGAAAAGAAATCCGTCCTCGTCATCATCTTCTTGGGCAGCGAGGAGGATCTCTGAGCTCCGGGCAAGACTCCTGGTCGTCCCCAACCAGATGGACGGAAGAGGCAATACGCTCTCGATGATCAGTCTGGAAGAAGAAGAAGAAGAAGAAGAAAGGGTTTCAGACGATGAGAGGCCTGGGCGAGGAAGAGAGAGAGAGAAAAGCTCTGGGCGAGGAGGATCGTTACCTGCATGACAGACCGAGCAGGAGAAGCAACGGAACCATCTCTTCTGCGGCGATCTCGAAGGCCTCCGCTGGCCTTCCACCTCCGCCTCCTCCGGGTTCTCCTCCCACTGCATCTGCTGCGCTGAGACGACCTTCATAGAGGGGCCTTCTCCTGCCAATCTGCAGGGCTCTGTTAATGGAAGAGAGATAGAGAGAGAGAGAGAGAGAGAGAGAGAGAGTACATGGGAAAGGCGAAGGAGTGGATGCTGCTGGCGTCGGAATGACGGGAGAAAGGAACGCCGTCCTCCGGCAGGAGGGCGAACCCGCCGCCGCCGTGGCCACCGGCGGCCCTCATGACGTCCTCCATCATCCGAGCGTTGATCGCCGCCGTCGCGTCGTCGGAGTCGCCACCGCCCAACTCGTCGGAGGACGGAGATCGAGGAAGGCGGCCGCCGTCCCCGACCTCCGTCTCCGGCGGACTATGAGAGAGCCGACCAGCTTCCACGGAGTAGCCCATCAGGAATCCATGGTCACCGGAGAAGTTCGAGTTCCCCATGTGGATGCTGAAGAGCGACTCATTGGAGGCGACGCTCCAGTCCACCGGCGTCCCCGGCGTAGCCCTCGCGAACACCGACGCCGGGATCCTGCTCGGATCGTATCCCTGAATCTGCTGCTCCACTTCCGTCCTCTGAATCTGCTGCTTCACTCCCACCCTCGAGTTCTCTGATGGAAGATATATATATGATAAACCTCTCTGAACAGGAAAAGGCTGATAGAGAGAGGAAGAAGATTATGGAGGTGTTCTCACCGGCGACCGCAGCTGTAGCTTCGAAGCCATCTCCGACCGACTTTCGAGCCTCGGATTGGCCGGCGCAATTGAGCAGAGCCTGCTTCTCCTCGTCGCCGCCGGCGATCCTCTGGTATCCACCTTCGACACCGCCCTTGTCCATGATGATCTTCGTCGAAGGACTCAACCCTTCTCTCTCTCTCTCTCTCTCTCTCTCTCTCCCGCTGTCTGGAAGGCAGTGGTGCTCCTATTTCATGGCGCGGGGGAATAGATAGGGGAGACGACGACCGGAACGGAAAGAAACAGACAAGGCGACGATGGCGGGCCGGCGGCGCCGCTGTGTCGGGAACAGTTACCTCCGGCCCGAGAGGACGACGCGGACCCTTCCTTCCCCGGTCAAAGCCTCCAACATAGCCAACTCCTCGCTCTTCTTGGCCACGCCAGTGCCCTGAAACCGCCGCAGCCGCCGGCCGTTGCCGGCAACCGCCATGATCGATCATCGTAGAAATAAAATATTTCCCATAAATGGACTGCTAACCACGTCTCCATGAAAGGAAGAGCGAGAGAGAGAGAGAGAGAGAGAGAGAGAGGGAGAGCCCAGAGAATGATCTGGATGTATGGTAGAATGATCCTAAAATATTATCAAAAACAGTTCTTTGACACCGTTCAACGAGACGGACGGATCAAACGGCCGGGAATCTCGTGCAGAACGGGGGGAAGACCTGCGGCGGAGAGTTGACTGATCAAGAACAACGTAGTCCGCCAGTACCTTCAACCAGGTGCGTCTTTCCCAACTAAGAGTCTATCCGGTGGAACGTCTGCAGCTGGAGAGTCAACCCTGGATCGGAGGGTTGACCCTTCTCCGATGCTTCAGTTCGACAGAGGCCGGTGGTCGTCCATGTGAACTCGTCGGTCGAGATCTAGACTAAGGTCCGAAATCTGCCCCGGGAGGAAAGAACCAGATCGATGGTTGACTCGCCGCCTTCCTGAATGTCTCGCGAGACAAGAGTACGAGCTTCGTCAAGGAGCCTACTTCTGTGGAGGATCTGCTGATGGTCAAGGGCGACTGCCTTCGTGATCTTCGCGTCGTTCGAAGAGATTTAGCGAGATTTGACCCGAGTAAGCTAAATTAGACCAAAAAAAGCTGCTCCTTTTGACCGATCTACAGAAGTAGATATTCTCGATATCTTCAAATAGATTTATAATAAGCCGAATCTGACCGACGCGAATTTCACGATTTTCTCATTGATTTTTCAAAAAAATCCGATCAAAACCCGCTGAACTTGACGTAAAAGGCTATCCCCATGGTTAACGTATGAGGGATCGAGGTCAATCACTCCGGATTATCGGTCAAAACAGTTTTTCATAGCATACGCTCATCCCCTAATATCCAGATGCTCGAGCTGACAATCACAGGATCAGGATCCCCGTTGACGAATCAAAGCGCAGCGACTTTCGGAGAGAAATACCGTTGACAAAAGGATTTATACCGCGGATCATTGGCGGAGAAAGAGGTCAATCATTTCATTAGGAAAGCAACAAAAACTTCTTGACGATCAATAATGTTTTTTTGATCTATAACATCTTGATCAGAGGATTAATTTTTCATAATTAATGATCGAATTATGAAAAAAAATAAACTTTCCGGTGTGGTGATCTCGATCGAAGCTCCAGCCGGGCTCGGGAGAGGTCCAGTGGGTTGACCGATACGGAAGTTGCGGACTTCGAACTGCATCTGGGTCTGTTCTACAGGGTTTGTCGGAATACGATCCAGTGATGTCGAACTCTCAGGGAAAAGAATTCATTTTTTATGAGAATCCTCCATCTTCTACATTCTCCTCGCCATTAAAGGGGCCGCTACGTGTTGGATCATCCCCAATTCTGCGGATATGGCGGGAGTAATGCCATGGAGAGGATTCCCCCAATCATTGCGTGATCAGCGAGGAGGGACGCTTCCAAAGGGCCCTCTGAGTTGCGAGCTCTCCAACTTATCGTGGTACAGTGGGGCGGCCCACCCGGCTATGGATCTTCCCCATCGAACCCCACTGCTTTCTCTCTCTCTCTCTCTTTCTCTCTCTATCGTGAGGTCTTTTGGCTGGTGTTCTTCTGGAGAGGCCGGGAAGGCGTGGACTTGGGGGAGCTGTCAGGGACATCCGATTCCTCTCCCAATAATGCTCGAGTTTGACGAAGACAAGGGGACGAGCAGAATCGATGCCGTGTGGAGATTCCTCAGGAAAAGCTCCGGCGGGCGGCGGCCTCGGAGCCGCCCCGCCGGACGATCTCCGGCCACAAGTTCTCTGCTATCCTCTGGCGGCGGAAAAGCAGGAGAAGATCTCCTCGCCGAGTGTACTTCCAATGACTCCATTCTCATCCACCTGGCAACCGATTGCAGAGTCTCTTCGAGCTCCGAAGATCACCTCGGAGAAGATCGGCATCAGGCGAGGTGGGCTTCATCCTAAACGCTGATCAGTCGATCGAATGAGTCATTCTCGGCAGAGGATCGAGCATCCAAGGATCTCAACCCCCACACCCACGCTTCTCCTACTTGTCTCTCACCTGGCAATCCAATCCAAAGAAAGTATTCTGCGGACTTGTCGGCAGAGGAGGATGGCTCCCCCCCGTCGCAGTTGCTGTCCTCCCTTTTCCTCTTCCCAGAGCCTGTCTCTGTCTTTGTTTCTCTCTCCCATTTCAGGATATTATTTACAGGGCGGAGCTTTCGCTTCGAGCAGGGTATCTCCTCTTTTTCCGGGCGTGTCGGCTCGCCGGTTCAGAAACCGTGGGAGGAGCTCCGGTGTCCAACTCTCCACCGTGGCCATGGAATAAAGGGCGAGCCCCTCCTTCCACCCTTTTTCTTCTTTTCTTCTTCCTCCGCGGGACCCCCCCTTTCCCCTTCTCTGTCCCCCTTTTGTCTCACCGGAAACTCTCGTCCTCTTCTCCCTCCGGCGATTCACCTCCATTAGAGAAAACCTCGTCTGACGATTTACTCTGACGGAGAGTGGGCCGGACGTGAGATACCCACCACCGTGGTAACCCCGTCCTGCTCTCTTTTCAGTCAATGGCTTCACAGGCGTGCTCTTCTTTTAGGGTTTCAGACTCGCCGAGATCGGCATTGGGCACGAAGGGTAGGAGGGCATGCTATCTGGGAACAGGCTCTGAGGACGCTCCTATGGAATTTACCAGTTTTGGCTGCGATTGCGGGGCAGTTCTTCATCTCCTGGCGAGTTCTTCTCTGGGTTTTTCATCACTACGAAGGTGAATGTTGACTCCCTTCCTCCTGTGCTCACCCAAAATGATGCTTGATTACGATTACGTGCGATATCTTTTTTCTGAGCCTCAAGAAGCTTGACATCTGCTCTCTGCCTGTAACATAATAGTCTGCAATTTATCTATGGGTTGGGAGGCCGGGAGGAGTGTGATTCTGGTCAAACAGAGACAATGACTGATGATGAATTGTCCCAGTCTGCAATCAACAAGTTGATGGCGACGACGATGAAGATGATGGTGGGAAGAGAGAGAGAGAGAGAGAGAGAGATGATGGACAAGGACTGATTGAGGAGGGCTGATAGAAGAACAATGATAAGCCGTGAGCTGGGAATTGTCCTTGGAAATATCTTGGGAACCCATTTCATGGGGGGCCTCGTTTCTGCTAAAACCTGGGCCCTCATCCACCACAGTCATGTCCAAATGGCAGGTGATCTGCAGGGCAATCCTTCCATGAGAGTCCATAACTTTCGAGAGAAATCCAGGCAGACGCCATCTGTGACGACACCCGGTTTCTCTCTCTTCTAAATATGGGATGAAATAACTTATTATGTTCATACGGGCATTCCATAAACAGAAAGAGATCTAGCTTCCTCTGAAGTGAGGACACAAGCTGCAGACAACATCACATCTTCCTAGTTTCCCGTGGGCCCTTGAAGGCTGCTTTTCTCCTGTATAAATGGGCTACTGAGGGAGCCTCATTTTTCATGATAACCTCATCCTTCCATCTCTGGCATATCTCTCTCTCTCTCTCTCTCTCTCTCTCTCTCTCTCTATCCATCTCTCTCTCTCTCTCTCTCTCCAACCCGTTCTCTCTCCGATCCTAGACGCTGGGATGGAGTGCTCTCCCCTCTATCGGCAGGCTGCCAACATGAAGAAGAGCCTTCTTGATCAGGTCCGCTTCCCTGGACCTATCCAAGAGCCAGAGAGAGAAAATCATGCAGCAGTTATATAATATCTGGGCCTACTTAACTTTCCCATAATATATACCCTCGATATCTCCGCGCTGCTCGCTGGTCAACCCGCTGACTCTCTTATTAATTTGCAGCTGGCTATGCATTACCTTTGACTTTATTTGACCTGTTCTTCGTCTGATTTTCGTCCACTAACTCATCTTTATGGTAGAAGCTGCAGTTACTTTATAAGTAATCCCTTTGACGGAGCTTTACAGATGCTTATCTTCTCATCTCCAGTCGTTGACTTTTTTTACCCCAAGAACAGTAGATCTGCATATTTTCTTTCTCCTCCTTCGTGGGTAAAGTGAGATGGGGAGTTCATCTTGGCAGGGGTACCTGGACGAGCAGTTTCATCAGCTGGAGGAGTTGCAGGATGATCTCAGCCCAAACTTCGTGGAGGAAGTCGTCACCCTGTTCTTCAGGGACTCTGCGAGGCTGATCGCGGGCATCGACCAGGCCCTGTGAGTGCCATGATCCTCCCTTTTGATCTCAATTCATCTCCATGGTCAACCCATGGACGCTGACTGGGTGATATCATCCGGCTGGAAACAGGGAGAAGACTCCTCGTGACTTCCAGAGGCTGGATGGGTTCATTCACCAGCTCAAGGGCAGCAGCTCCAGGTGAGAGGAGGAGCTCTCGTAGAGAGAGAAACTGCAGATCTCTTGCTCGATAAAATCCGCGTTCTTGATCTCTGTGGTCCATCTCGTTGGCAGCATTGGGGCGGCGAAGGTGAAGAACGAGTGCTCCGCCTTCCAAGATCACTGCAACCAAGGGAGCACCGAAGGGTATTGCAAACTGCCGACTTCCTCCTGCTCCTCCCCATTCAAGGTTTTATCTTCTTGGTGATCGTGGAGTTTACTGGTGAGTTCCTGTTCTGGACTCGCAGATGCTTGAGGTCCTTCAAGAGAGTGAAGAGAGAGCATGCTGCCTTGAGGCAGAAGCTGGAGAACTACTTGCAGGCAAGAACATCCCTCTCTCTCTCTCTCTCTCTAAGAGGCCTATTCCACATTCTGAGAATGGGGCTGGTCTTTTCAGGTACTGAGGCAAGTTTCCCCAAGCCCTATGAAGGCGGCTGTTCGACCCAAGTGATAGGTGGTGGGTTCCTGATGGTGGGGACAGGGAGAGGCGTAATCTTCCTCACCATCATAATGGCAGATAGTGATCAATAATTCTACGCCAATCGGCCCCTGTTTTCTCTCCCTTCTGATTCGGTTATACGCTCGCTTCAGACTGTTTGTTGTGATAATCCCCCCTGCAACCTTCAAGTTCTTGTTCTTATTCTTCTTCTGTGACGTCTGGTTATGTTCGAAAGATTTAGTTCTGCGGCGAAAGATTGGTTCATCCCATTTTCAGGAATGATTACGAGTCAGCAGAATGATCTCGACCCAATTTGGGGAAATCAAGAACATCTTTGTCTTTAATCAGAACCCAATAAAATAGAACATGAAAGCTAAGCAAGGTTCTCAGCCGGAAAGTCAACGGCGCAATAATCCCTGCACCGAAAAAGGGGAAACATTTAGGATCATTCATGGGGGATTACCGCCATGACTGAGAGATTGTTCTCCAGTGGGCAGAAGGGGTTTTGACTCTTCTGCAGGTGGGTGGTGGTCTTTGCCCGGATTTTCTGTGGGCCTTCGTCTTCCCCTTCGTCCTCCCCCGGCAGCCTCCTGTTCTCCTTCTCCGCTGACTTGTATCTCTTGACCGAGTGCGTCTCTGTGATATCGGAGAGGACGCCATTTTCTCGCCGGAGAGAAGGCGGCGACGGCGCCGGCGCCGGCGGCTTCGTCCTCGGGGTGTTCTCTGTTATCTCCTCGTCCGTCGGCGCCGGAGAAGCTCTGAAGGGGTCCTGACTGCTGGATTTTCTTTTGAAGGGGATGGGGATCTTACCTTGGACCTGCTGCGCAATTTCTCTGTAGTTCCCGCAGAGCCTGAAGATGTTCTGAATTCTCGTCCTCCTCGCAGAAGAGCTCTCCAGGAAGCCGCTTCCTCCCCCTCCTCTCTCTGTATCCTCGAGATGGAAGCTCGGATCTGGGGCTCTCCTCTGCGCGCCGCCGCCGTGTTCTTCCTCCTCCTCCACCACCACCACTCCCTTCTCCACCTCTTCTTCTTCCTCCGCTTCGAGCACGGTGCTCAGGGCCGCCGTCTTCTTCTCCGGGATCGCGGAGAAGATCTGATCATCGCCAATGTCCAAGTCCATGGACTTCTCCATCATCGCTCTGTCGTTCTCGGCGACTGCGTCAGAGAAGCGCTTCAGAAATCCTGCGCCGGGGCTCTGAGAAGAAACGTTGTCCAGTCGCCGCCTCAGGATCTCCAGCTCCTCCTCCTGCTGCAGGATCTTCTTCTCCATCCTCTCCAACTCCTGCCTCAAGATCTGCGTCCTCTCGTCGACCTTGGATCTGATCTCTTCTTCTCTTCTGGAGGATCCCCGCCCCTCCACTCGCTCAAGCCTGGACCTCAGCTCGTTCGCCTCCTCTTCTCTCTTCATCAGCTCCCTGTGGGCTTCATCGCGCTCTCTCTCCCTCATCTTGTTCTCTGTCTGGAGCTTAAGGATGAACTGGTTCATGGCGGCGATCCTCGACGCCAGCGTGGCTCCAGATTCCTCGGAGCCGTGTTTGCTGGGGGTCGGCAGGTGGGCGGCGCGGACGATGCACTTCGCCTTGGCGCCGTACTCGAGAGTCGAGATCGTCTTGTGGATCTCTGTAGGATCTGGGCTAGCACACAGGATCATCAGGATCTTCGACTTGTCATCTTCGAACGAATCCTGCGAACAGGAATGAACACAATTGAGGAAAAAAAAGATATTTCTCTCGATCGTCGAGAAATGGGGAGCTTCGAGGTAGAACAGAAGATCCTGCCTGCAGGAGCATGGTCAGCTTGCTGTCTCTGAAGGGGACGTGAGAATCACCATTAGCAATCGATTCAACAACTCTCTTCAGAGCCACATTTCCCTGGTTTATTTTCGCAGTCTGCAGATCGAAGGAAAACGATTTCAGGCATCAATCGCACATCGATCATGAACTGATAAGAACATTTCCGTATCCGGAGTCCCGCTCCTTCTCGTCTGTCGATTCTTCCACCTAAACGAGATCTGGGAAATGATGAAAACAAGGGAACCTGTAGCTTGGCCTCGAGCCCGATCTGCCCCGCCTGCTCGATGTTTTCTGAGCCAGCCATGTCGACTAGCATCAGTCTTCCTCCCACGGAGGGAACATCCAGGATTATCTGAGGAAGTTTTGAGAGAACATCCGGTATTTGTCAGGGAGATTACTCACAGGAAGGAAGGAGGCGGCGGAGGAGGAAGATCCAGCGTACCAGGCAATGACTACGAGAGCTTCTCTCGTTGCAGAGCGTGCTTCTCACGATCCTCCTCTTTTCCACCTTCGCGACTTCTTTCGACAGCTTCCCGGCCTCGTTTCCAGAGATGTACGTCGCGTTCTTCGCCTTCTTGCCGATGATTTCCAATCTCGCCTGTTTACCGTGACGGGGAAGCCGCCGCCAGAAGATTTCCACCATTTTCAGTGAAGGATTTGCTCCCGTGAATCCGAAAAAATAGGCTTTCTCGCCAAGGAAGGAACCAATGACGACGTGCGATTTACAGGAACTCACAGAGAGGGAGAGAGCTAGAGAGATGGGAAGAAAGGGAGAGAGAGATAGAGAGAGAGAGAGAGAGAGTTCACCTTTGGAGTACTCCCTTTAGGCAGGCCACCGAGGGCTCCGCCATGAGCGTTCCCCGAGAGAAGATCATAAATCTCCTCGTTGTAGATCTCTAATACTGCAACCTGGACGAAGAGGCCGGCTCCGAAACCCTCGTCATCTACGCCGCTGTTCTCCTCCTCCTCCCCTTCCCCCAGGATATCCCTCAGAGCTCTGTAAACTATGCCCTGCTCCTTGACGGAGCCGAACATGGTGTGGCTCTTCCCCGCTCCCGTTGGCCCGTACATCATGATCGTACACTTGGATCCGAGCCTCACCCCCCTGATTCTCGATTCCACGAATCTCTGGTAGAAACCTTCGAGGTTCTCCTCTGCAGAGATCGACACCCCATCGAGGCTGAAATCGCGGTAGCCGATGTCTGTGCGAACCCTAACCGATCTGCCATCCTCCGGGATCTCGAGGATCGAAGGCGGCTTCTCCTTCCTGTCCGGATAATCTCGGATCCGGCCGATGACCTCGACGGGGTGCTCGGTGGGGACGGCGTTCTCCCTCGCCGCCGCCGGCAGCGGGCTTGGCGCCGCCGCGTGGAGGTTCTTCGCGCCGGGAAAGTGGAGGCGGTGCTTGGACTGCGGCGTCTTGGAAGGGGTTACGTGCTCTTTGACGTACCTGGATGATGGTGTTGGAGCCATCAGGGAGGGGGAGAGAGAGAGAGACCAGATTCGCGGTCGAGGATTTCTTCCTGGCTTCGAAGAGATTCAGAGATCTTCGACAAGAAGCCGAACCAGAGACTCCTCGGAGGTGGAAGGCGATAGAGCTTGCAGGCGAATAGCGGAGAGTGAGAAAGAGAGCGGTGAATGTGGCCGTTGGTGAAAATTTTGAATGTAATATAGCCGTTGGATATATCCTTTTTAGTATCCTTTAATGTTGATATCCTTTAATCGTAAAATGTCGCGTCCGCGCCTTACTTTAATGGGCCCAAAATTTCCCCACGAATGGGCCTAAAAATGGGCCATAACGGTCCTATGCGTCTGGGCCAGGCCTGACATAGAAATTGGGCCGAGGTCGGAGCGTCAAATCTCACTCCCACGTGGATATCCCGCAATTTCTTGGCACGCCGATTTGGGCCTTTATTTTGTTACGACATGGCCCAATAAGTTTTTTTTAAAAAATTTAAAAATGAACAGGATCGGATCTGGAGCGTGCTGGCCCCGTCAGCCATAAATAGAAACGAGCGCCGCCAGGCCACAAAAATTTCAAATTCAAACGAAGAAATTTCGATTTCCCGCTATTTCCGTGCCGGTAAAACGTCACCGCATGAAGCGCGGAGGGGGGGGCGGGGAAGAATCTCTGTGAAGGAGAAGATGTCATCCAGGCTGAAGGAGCGGGGCGGCGGCGGAGGGAAGATCATGGCGCTGCAGCCCCAGAGATGTGCTCTGGAGGGGACCCCAAAGGGCAAAGTTGCTGCGAGGAGGGCGCCGTCCGTCGGCAAGGAGAACCCCGGGAGGACCCCTGGCCTCGGAAAGGAAAATCCCGGGAGGACCCCCGTCAGTGGAAGGGAGAACCCCAGGGCTGTTTCCAGAGGAAGGGTGGCCCAGGGGATGGTTCAGAGGCCGGCGGATGGGCAGAATGTTGAGAAGGGGCAGGCTCCTCTCAGCGTCCGATGGTCCACGTCTTCGGTGCCGAGAGGTAGGAGTTCTTCTAATCCTTCCGACTTCGCTCGATTAATAGCCGATTTTCGTGCCCGCGGCGGAATAAGGGATCGCCACTCGGTGGCCTCTGTTCCTGCGAATGAATGGAAGGAGAAGGTTATGGCCAGGGATCCGAGGATTGCCGAGCCTGGCGTCAGGGAAAGTCCGGCAACATTTAAAGTCGTGGAGCGATTTCAGCAGCCGAGGAAGGTAGCGGCTTCGAGAGATACTGCTAATGGGTCTACTAGCGTCCACAGGCTTTCAGACAGCGGCAGATCCAGTGGCATTTTGGGCTCGCATCTACGAAGGAGCGTATCTGGACCTCGAGGCAGTAATTTGGAGGGAATCAGAGGGAAGACTTTGAGTGGGCATGCAGATGATTCTAGCGTGATAGAATGTGCTGATTCAAAGCAGAGGAAAAATCCTGCTACGCGGAATGAGTGTCTCAAGGTATTAGAAAGTCGCTCCAGTGGCAGAGTTGTACAAGGCCTGGAGGTAGGAAAAAAAAATGCATTTTCAGCCTCCGATTCGAGGTGCACTTATGGGAAAGCTTCAGAGAGCATTGCTGTTTTGGAGAATCATAGCAAGAGCCATCCTGTGGCATTTCATGTCAGTCGATCATCTGAAATGCCGTCAGATGTTGTCAATAGACTGACGAGCTACAAAGAAGATAACGACGACGGCTTGGCTCTTAGTTCGAAAGCAGCATGCGAACCATCAGCTGTCATGGAGGTGGTTTCAGAAAAAATAGTCGTCGAGTCCAGTGGTGACTCGCGTTCGAATGTAGCAGCGGCTGCGACGTTTGCTGATGGTGTTACAGTTTCCAAAAATCTGATAGAGCATAAATCTGATGCTGAAAAGGTCACCGGGGCAGCTAACCGATATTCTAGCAAGCTGCACGAGAAACTTGCTTATTTGGAAGGAAAAGTTCAAAGGATCGCTTCTGACATCAAGCGGACCAAAGATATTCTCGATTCGAACAACCCAAACGCGTCCAAATTGCTCTTATCTGATATCCAGAGCAAGATCTCTGGTATAGAGAAAGCAGTGAGTCACGTGATTGGTGGTACTGGAACTGGATCAACGACTTCTTTCCCATTGAAAGATGAAACCTTGCATCGCAATGCTCACGGGGAAATCGGTGGATCGAGGAATTCAGCAAAGGATTTAAACCTTGAAGAAATAGAGGCCAGGTTTTTCCCTCATCATAGATTAATTAGGAGTCAGACTTCAGAGCTCAGTTCAAAAGAAGACGATGTAAACTGCAAGCCGATATCCCCCATACACATCAGTGATCCTGTGACGGAAGATAGATCACTAAGCCCCATTGATGAAAACCCAATTGCATTGGAGTTTCTGGCTTCTTTGAAAGGTGACAAGTTGAATGCCAGTGCACGCGGGAGCAATGTTTTGTTTGACTCTGTAGCAATTCAACAGATGGAATCAGGAAATGCCGAGCCATCGGAGAGGCAGTGTGTTCCAGACAACTTGATAATCGATGCCCAGAATATTGCTTCTATGTTGACAAGTGACGAGAAAATTGAGGACTTTGAAGATCAGGAGAACAAGCCAGTGACACTTTTGAGGGAGGAGACGGAAGATTCACTCACGGATCAGCTATTTGAAATAGGATCCAAATCCTCTACCGGTGGGTGGTTTGTTTCAGAGGGAGAAGCTGCCCTTATTGCCCACAGTGATGGTTCATGCTCGTACTTCGACATTGCGAACAATGAGGTACGTACATCTTGAACTTTTGTTTTTATGCATTTATTTATAAATATTATATTTTATTGATTCTAGCTTTTCGTTTCTTTAGAATAAATTTTGCTTTCTCTGGCAATTCTGGGTTCTTAATCGGAAGTTGACAATTGTCAAAGTAATGTAGTGGGGGATGCAGTGCTTGGTTTCGGACATACTTTCCCCCTACAATCAGATACTATATGATATGAAACCATTTGTACTAAATTAAAATAACATCTCGTACGTTATTGCCTCTGTCCCGACTGAATACTGGGATTGCTTCTTTTCCAGGGGAAGGCAGAATACAATCCCCCTGCAGACATATCCAGCAACCTATGGGGTGATTGCTGGCTAATTCGTGCGCCTGGAGTGGATGGCTGTGCTGGGAGGTACGTGGTGGCCGCATCTGCAGGAAATACTCTAGAGTCGGGCTTTTGTGCCTGGGATTTCTATACCAAGGATGTCAGGGCCTTCCGAATCGAGGAAGGAAGACCATCTTCTCTGTCATCAACATCATCTCTCTCTAGGACGGTGCTGGCCCCCCTGCCCAACACTGCTCTCCATATAAGAGGCTCTTTAAGCACGACACATGCTTCTGCAGGCCAGCAATGGTGGTACAGGCCGTGTGGGCCTCTGCTTGTTTCTGCTTCCAGCAGGCAGAATGTGGTCAACGCTTTTGATATCCGCGATGGAGAACTAGTCATGACTTGGAACGTGCAGAATCCAGTAATGGCCATGGAGCATTCAAGTCCTCTGCAGTGGAGAAGCAGAGGAAAAGTGGTTCTGGCAGAGCCAGAAGGTATCCGCCTCTGGGACGTCAACTCCCTCAATCCTCAGCCTTTGCTGTCTGTCGCGTCCGGAAAACGAGTCACTGCCCTCCATGTGAACAACACCGACGCTGAGCTGGGTGGCGGCATCCGACAGAGGTGAGTCTTTTCCCCCTTATATTCCGTAGATTATGTGATGAAATGCAGTTCGTGTATTGTGATGAAATCCCCTTTTTTTTTGCATTCCACCCGAGCAGGATGAGTTCGTCTGAGGTGGAGGGAAACGATGGGGCGTTCTGCACGCATGAGGAAGTCAACGTGATCGACCTGCGACTTCCCTCCGGCGTGGGCCTCAAAATAGCGAAGCCCGGATGCACCGGCGAGTCCATCTTCTCCCGCGGGGACTCCATCTACCTCGGCTGCACCGAAACGACGTCACCGGGCGGGAAGGTGGCTTCGAGCTCGGTCCTCCGACAGTTCTCGTTGCGCAAAGGGAAGCTCGCGGCGTCCTACCCGCTGCCGGAAGCCAACGTCCACGCCCACCACTCCGCGTTGACCCAGGTGTGGGGCAACGCCAACCTCGTGATGGGCGTCTGCGGGATGGGGCTCTTCGTCTTCGACGCCCTCAGGAACGACGGCGGTCAACCAGTCGCCGGCGACCATGGGAGCGACATCGTCAACGCCCACGAGGTCGTCGGCCCCAACGACTTGTACTGCCCTTCCTTCGACTACCTGGGATCGCGGGTCCTCGTTATCTCCAGAGACCGCCCCGCCATGTGCAGGCACCTCTTCTAGTGATGCTGCTACAGTCGTCCCTCTGTCAATTATCTACTTACCCATGTAACGCGGCTTGCTGTTGTGTAAGTGCATGATATCCTCCTCCTTGATGTATACAAGAAACACTTCAATTTACGACTACATTTCACTAGCTAGAGAGAGAGAGAGAGAGAGAGAGAGAGAGAGAGAGGCACTAAGGCAGAAAAGAAAAAAATACTTGAATCATGAGTGTACCCGGAGGAGTGAGTCTAAGTGGAAGAGCAGCGGAGTCTCCTGCAGTGGCGATCCTCTGCACTTCTTATTTCTCGGCGAAGAAAACAGAAGATTTACACGGAAGGGAGGGGATCTAAGAGGGGAGGGGACGGGGTGGGTGGTCACCAGACGGCTCGACTCCGCTGTTCGGATCAGTCGAGCTTCACGTTGGAGTAGAGCAGGGTGTCCCTGTTGAAGGGCATGTAGAGCAGGTAGTAGACCTGCGGGAGGCCAATAACATCATATGATCAGTAGATTTCCCACCAAGGAAAGCAAACCCACAAGGGCTTCTGCAGTGGGCCGGCCGGGGGCTTACCCCGATGAGGGTCGACAGGAGGAGGATGATCCCGGTGATCCAAGCGAGGGTCGTTCTGACCAAGTGCACTTCTGCGTTGGTGGTGTTGGCTGCTGGACGTTCCTGCAGCCACCGAGAAGCTCGGGGCGAGAGCTTTACATCCAGCATGGGCTCCATGCTACTAGCTGAGGTCTGCTCGTTCAGGAGGATGACTCCCACCACTTCCCCTGCCGCAGGAGAGAGATTTTACCCTTTGGAGTAATAAAATCGGAAGGGAAAGAATACGGGGCAAAAATCCATGAACATTCAAGATTAGAAGCTTAAATTCATGACGAAAATTCATGCTATAATTTGTCTGTACAAGTGACCTCAGCCATTGATAGATTAAATAAATACATAAAACGATGATTGATGAGATAATCTTGGCCTCATGGGTGTCCCCATCGCTGTGTATATGCTTCTAATTCAATATCCTTCAATACAGGTTATCTTTCAACATTCAACCATACGAAATAAACAGTAAAAAGGCTAGAATACGAGCGTGCAGGAGAACAAACTACCTTGGTATGTTTTCTGTAGTGAACCGAATAATCTGGCTAGTGCCATGTGGAAAAGCTCCAAACCTTGATGGGCAATTTCATCAGAACCAGATTCAATCAGAGCCTGTGATGTACACAACAATGATCAATTATAGTAGACCAAAGTATAAGCAAGCAAGAGTTTCGACTCACAAGACCTATCTCATTTTCCTTCCAATTTAAACTAATCAAACACGATCGAGCACTTCTTGGAGAGATAGTGATCCACCACAAGGCATTATCATACCATTCGTTCGCCATTAAGAGTATAGAAGAGACACAAACTCGTGAAGAAGGCTCCCCTTAGAATGGAGGATTTCTATGTTTTTCACAGGTTTGAAGTGCTCTAGATCTGTAAGTAAGATTTGGGTACAATAAAAATGGCTGAACCCACAAGGAAATAACCCGTGCAGTGCTATGTGGTAACAGACAAGAACATGTGATTATGAAGAACAAAGAAATTATAGCAAACAAACATTTAATCTATTTTCTCTTTGTCTCTCAATCAAACAACGGTTCTATTTCCTTCGGTCCCAGAAGCACCCAGCAATAGTGTAAGATTCACACAAGCAAACCTTAAGATGCGCTAACTCCATTCCAGTGATGCTATGTCAGATTACGAATATGTGAATACGATTTCACAATGGCACTCCATTTGTTCTCAATTACTCGAGAGTATGCTAATTCTTCTCTCCTTTTCTCAACCTCCAGTGTTCAAAAGAGATCTTCGAGGCACTTTTTTCCAAATCATGCACCCTAATTTGTTTTCCATCCTCACTTTTTCCCCAAACTTGTCCTCTAAAAATATTATAGTGAACTATCAAATAGCAGAAATGACATAACCAAGCAATGAGGAATTAAAATGTGATGCTGACTGAGATTACTTTTGCAGTGGCAAACAATGGTGAATCCCGTCCTTTAACACTATAGTAGAGGATCCAGCTTGTTACACCGGCTTGTTTCACCAAACCGACTGTTTTAGGTCTTTAACGTCGGTCCCAGTCTAATAAAAACATAACCTCTACGTCTGAACTTCTGCTGATCACAAGCTATGAAAGGAAAACAAACAAGCATAAAAATTCAAAATGGCACCAATCGAATTAGTATCATCACCTTGATTCCCGTAAAACAGCCTGTAAATAAGTCTACAGGTCTCTGATTGATCGCTTCAAAATCTTCTTGCATTTCCATGGCCGTTTTAACACCATTGAAAAGAGAAACAAGACTTAAAGCAAAAGTTCGATCTGCTTCCTGCAAGAGAAAGTGAGATTCAAGTAAACACCTAGGTTAAGTTCTATGTAAGGGTATTACCATCTGCAAAAGCTGCAACACAGAGGGTAGAATTTCCTAACCAAAAAAAAAATGGTGGCAGAGGATAAAAATGATTCTATTGTTCATCGAAAACGGGACCGGAGCACACAAACCGCATATCATAGCATAATAGTAGTGTCGGTTTCTGATGATAAATCTGGTGACCTTATTCCACTAAGAAACGTAGGCTGGCTATATCCATGACGAAAAATTATACGATGAGGAATAGAGTAGTTGAATAAAAAATTAACGATCATATGAACCTTTGAAACGTGGAGATTTAGACTTGTGCCACTGGCCAATGGAAACTCCAATTCTCCATCTTGTGATTCCATGCTGCCAACATATGATCCCCCTAACCATCTTGCCTGCATCATGAGGCATGGATGATGTAGATCAAATTACAGAAAGTTTTTTTGGCTAAAAAGTCAGGTCAATCATGAGGAATACGCTTACAAGATTGCTGAATTCTCTACCAGCACAAGCTGAATCACATTCTATTGGCTCATCAATGGAAGTTTGACTCACTTCATCATCTCCTGTTGAAAAAGGAAGGTTAGATGACTGCAACTTTAAACAACTGGACGGCAACAGACAACAACTTAGATGCAAGAACAAAAATTTACCAAAAAGTTCAATGTGGGCATTGCCAGAACTAATAATCTTGCCACTCAATGCACTATCGTCTTGTAAGATCGAATGCAAGGCAGACGACAAATCTGCAAATTAAGAAGCTATAGCAGATTAGTGAGAAGGAAAAAAAAAGGTGATAAACAAAAGAGACAAGTTAACGATGCAGAAAATGCTTGATGATCAAAGCTAGAGACCTCCGATTCCCTGGACCTCCAGCATGACTACAGCACGTGGCCTGCTAAATGGATTGGGCGTAAGAATCTTGTCTAACTGCATAGTAAAAGACATCAGCAAGTAAGTCAAACTAATATCAGTATCATTATTGATGCTTCTGGGAGACGCATGACACCAAGTATGTAACCTTGAGAGAAGATTCAGCTGGAAGCGAAACAGGAGGAGCCACACCAAGTAAAACTGATACAGTGGCAGCAACTTCCAAGGGTGACATTGGATTCGCCTGTGATAATAAAAAAATGTCACCCAAGAGAACGTACAGGATGACGAGTAAAAGGAAGATTTTCTGGAAGACGTGGATCTTAGAAGAACTAACTCCAATTTGCGTACCATTTGATAGGTCTGAAGAGTAGAATCGGCAACCAAATTCAGGCAACCATGGAAATACAATTCATCATGAAATGAAGTCGATAGTGAATAGAGGGAAAAGGCATGATAAATATTTCTAAATCATCACAACGATGGCGCCATTTCAGGAATACCACATTAGAAAATCTTATAAGATAAAAACCTTTTTTTTACAAAGACATGGCTTCTTTTGCCCAGATGACATCAGGACTCCCTCGTGATGCAAGAAGGAACTAAACAAGAGACCTTCCTTCGCAATCAGAGAAGTGACTCTAGTTTAAATTTTAAATCAAATAAAAGATTCGATACATTTATCGTTTATGTTTACAGTTCCAATCAGATAATTAAGAGAAGCTAATCCCTCCCACATTTTCCGGTTATACATTCCTGGCCTAAAAGAAACTTTCGTAACAGACCCTAGACTTGGAATGTAGACATCATCAACAAGGTTCTATTAATTCCCTATCGATAGGGAGACTACTCATCTCTTATCACATGAGTTCGTAACCATCAGGTAATAACTAATCTACCATATCGAGATCAGTGGATTTCAATGATTTCTCAAAAATAACGGTAACTTCAATGCAAAGTAGCATACAGATGAGGCTGCAATAAAGCTGCAAAGAAGAAATTGACTTATGGAATTTATTTTGAAGCAATATCTTCACATTCTATAAAGGGTAAGATGATAACAAGTTTACACATACGAACGTTTATTTGGAGCAGAATGTGCGCATAGTTAGATCTCCATGAAACCTATTATCTGTAGCTTTGCAGCCTCGGGCCCAGGAGGCCACGATTTCAAAAGTAATTACACAACTCACATCTTCCAAAACCCGATATCTATCGGCAACCTTGCTTCGAAGTTAGCAAATTAAGGGAAAAAATCCAGATGACACTGAAATCACCTCATCAACGGTTTCCGGATGAGATCGAATGTACTTGTGTTCAGAACCATCGAGAAAGAGGACCGAATTGCTGCTCCCGCCCTAAACGAAAACAAGCAGATAAACGTTCCCGGGATAAGTGGCTTTCCTTGATTTCACAGCAATATCGCTCTCTTCCTCTCAATTAGTTGCAACCCGAAAACCGAGACAAGATTGAGGAGCAAACCCTAGCCTGGAGAAGGCAGAGCCCGGACACTAGGATCAGCATGTGGAACGCGCGAACTCGGAGATCCATGGCCGCAAAGCACGGGGAACGATAAAAAATATGGTTCACTGCCAGGAACCTTCCCTTCTCCCAAGATATCGCCTCTGCACCGCGATCTAACCCTCGACCTCCAGGACCGGGGGAAAGCGAAGGAAGAAACGGTGGAGGAGAAGGACCAACGCAGTGAGGAGCGACGTCACGTTCCTGTTGATGGAGGAGGAGGGAGGGAGGGGCATCTCTGGAAGCCGGAACAGCTTCTGAGACCGACGGCCGTCCCGTTACGTCTGGGCCTTCCGATCTTGATCGGGCGGCATAAAATAGTTCGGATGGCCGTAGGACTATCTCGTCCGTCGCGTACGTACGGGCCACCACGTTGCTGCGAGGACCGGCGCTAGAGGGCTGCCCGACAGGGACCGACTCGACTTATCGGATCCAACTCCGCTTCTTACATCGGGCACTTTCGGGTATTATTATGGGCTCAAGTTCGAACAATAATGGGCTATCGAAACCGCAAGTTGGGCCCTCTTTTCTGGATCTTTTTGCCCTCTTTAGGCAATCTTTTCTATAATTGCACGCCATTTTCTCCTGATCTGAGGGCTCAATAGAGCTTCTAAGTCAACCTACTTCCATACAAACAAAAAGTCAACGTTCCCTTATACCTGATGCGGATCAAAAGAAGAAGAACCGATCAAGAATACAAGATAGATCAGGTTGCCCCAGAGAGAGAAGATGAACAGCCCCTATAACACCCCATTTGAGTTCTAAGAAGTCAGCGGAGAGATGACCCACAGCAGCACAGCCTCGTCAGTGCCATTCCAGACCTCCCAGAGTGGTGGAGCCCGTTCCCTCCCACACCTCCTTGCAGCCCACTTCTTCGCTGTTGACGCCTTCACGGTCGCAGTCCCACCATCCACATCCACTGGAATCTGGAATCACAAACGGCGGCAGGTCAACGAGATCATGCAGTCTATGAACAGGAGTGGGTCTCCCCCATTCGATGGTATTTGCGATCCTTACAGTGATCAAACTGAGGTCTTGGTCTACGTTCCTTGAAGCTGAGGTTGACTTCTCCCTGTTTTCGTCTGGATTTTGGATCGTCTCCAAGGACCAACAATAGCTTCGGAGCAGCAGCCCCCCCTTCCTCACCTGCGCGACCAAGAAGATATGTGCAGGAAGAAGCGCGGCTTAAACGATGGTTCCAGGAGAGAAATGCTCCCCGAAGAAACTCAGCTCAGCTCAGCAGAGAGATCGGAAGAAGTGAGTCCCACATATGAACAATGGCTGATGAATGATACCCTCCCCGTGGCTGCTCTCGTGAAGTAGCAGCCGAGAAGATCTCTGCCCCTTTTCAGAGAGGAGGTGAACAACGCAGGAGCGTTCAAGAATCAGTCTGATGAAACAAAATACCTGCAGAATCTGCGAATCGATCCCTCTTCTTCTTCCTCGAGCCATGGGCGTTCTCCTCCTCGGAGACGGACCCCATCGATCCTATGCGTCTTTCTCCCTCCGTTCTGGGGATGAATTGACGGAAAGCAACCCCATCGAGGGAAACGCTTTTTCCCTTTTCGTTCTTCGTCGTGTCCAATGGCTTGTCGGCAGATCGAGGAGATGAAAAGGGGCATCGTCTCTCCTACCAGAAGACGACGAGTGCTTCAGCTGCCCGTCTTTCTCCATCAACCCAGATAGCAATCCGGCGAATCGAATAGATCAATTCCTATCTACAGGGTGAGAAGAACCTGGACTGCTCCGCCGGTAGATGCCGATTTGTTCTTCCCCAGCTTCCGGTCCAGGAACTCGGAGAGAGAAACGGACTTCTTCGAAGATTTCTCCGACGATCCTTCCCTGGAGAGGCTGGACAGAAACGCGTAAACGTAAACGGGAGAGATCGATCAAGAGATCTTCACGAAACCCTCCATCGTTTCTGCTATTCGTCTTTCTACAGGAGAAATCCATCTACCTTCTCGTTCCGGCCTGGAAGAGAGGCGGAAGAGGGCTCTGCCCGAACTGCCTCCATGGGGAACCATCCGACCTCATGCTGGCTTCAGCGATCGCCGCCGACGGCTTCTCCTCTGCAGCGGCGCCTCCAGCAGAAGGCAGGTTCGAAATCCCCTCTGCTCCCGCCAAGATGAGCCCTTTAATGGGCCAAATCTGTTTGACCATTTATGGGCCCTTCTCGTAACTTCTGGTAGAAGCAAACGTGATAAGACTTCCTCTCGTCGTTGAGGTGGTCGTCGGAAGAGGCTCTCCTCTTCTTCAAAGCAGGGACCGATTGCGGAAGGAGGGAGGAAGATGGCGGAAGGAGGGATCCAGGGATTGCTGGAGGGGTGCATCTCCCACATCATCTCCTTCACCTCTCCAGCTGATGCTTGCCGGTTGGCCGCTGTGTCCCAGATCTTCCGGTCGGCGGCGGTGTCCGACTCCGTCTGGGATCGGTTCCTGCCGCCTGACATCTCGGAGATCGTCTCCCGCGCGGTTCATCCCGTGGAGTACTTTTCCAAGAAGGATCTGTTCTTCCGGCTCTGCCGATCCATCCTCGTCGACGGCGGCGCCAAGGTGTTAGATCATATTCACAGTTGAAAATTATCCTGAGATTTCAATTATATAGATCTCCGTTTCAGTTTTGCCGATAGGTTTGCGGAGAAATTGCGGCCTGATTTTTTTCTGTATCATAAATGCGATCGCATTCTTTTTGGATGAACGATTTGGCGTTTTTGGCCACCAAGCGATCCGAAGCCTTCGATTCCCCCCACTGTTGCCTCTATATATGCCAGAGGGTTGGACCTCATTGATTGCCAATTTTGTAACTTTCTCTGCTGCTCAATATGCAGAGCTTTGCATTGGAGAGATCAAGCGGTAAAAAATGCTTCCTACTGTCAGCGAGGGAGCTGACGATCATCTGGGGAGACACACCACACTACTGGGACTGGATTTCTGTTCCCGGGTCGAGGTTTGCTTCCTCTTTCTTTCCTGTTCGTGACAACGAGTCTTGCGGACACCACGTATGACTCCATCTGATTTTGTACGGTTCCCCAATTTCATCTCATCTGGATCGCCACAAAGTTCATAGACTTGGACGATCTTCTGTCTAGACGATCATCGTCCTCGAATGACCAATTGGGAACTACTATTCTTTCGATTTTGGCCTTACGTCCTTTGAATGATCGACATCAGATTCTTCTCGTCGATCGTACTGATTCCATGCCTCCGATCTACCCGGCAACACAGGACGATTCTTACATCTTGTTCAGTCACTTACCCTGATCGGTGCGAACCTGTTCTAATCGGAGAAACCATCGCTCCCCAGGTTCTCGGAGGTGGCACGGCTGCTGGACGTTTGTTGGCTGGAGATCCGTGGAAAGATAGAATGCGGAATGCTCTCTCAGAAGACGAGTTACGCTGCTCATCTTATCTTCAAGATCACCGAAGAAACCTACGGTCTTGGCTTCCCCCAGCAGGCGTCGGTCAAACTCGGAGACTCCACGTCCGAGAAAACAGTTTGTCTGCACCCAGATCAGCCCCAGCAACGACCGTGGTGGAGGGGTCCCCTCCAGTGGCCGCTGGCTCCGGTGGCCGGTGATCCAGCCCTTCCAGCGGCGGCCCCTGCGCCGCCGCCCCTGGAGGAGGAGGGAGCTCCCTGGGGAAGAGACGACGGGTGGATAGATAGAGATTGGTCGGTTCTTCTGTGATGACGGAGACGATGGGGAGGCCATGTTTGCCGTGACGGAGACCAGGGGAGGGCACTGGAAGCGTGGGCTGCTCGTGGAGGGGATTGAAGTTAGGCCTGCCAGTTAGTTCACCCGTTTGCTCCAGGGGGGATTCCTCGAATTCCTCATTTGGCCTCTTTGAGTGTTCATCTCCAGCTCCTCTCTCTCTCTCTCTCACTGGTGCTTTGGAGATGGGGTGTAAAAATAAGAAGGTTTGAATAAGGTTCAAAATCTTATTGGTCCACCAAAATTTCTGTGAGCCAGAGTCAGCTTGTAGAGTTCATTATGGGTTAAAGGAATTGCTATTGCTTTACGTTGTGATATTTGGATTGTGGAGGGTTTATAGCCAAGTGCTCAAATCAAAGGAAGGATGCTTCTGGCCGTCTTGATGTTACAGGTGGGCACAAGTGATACATGAAACGTTTAGATATCATGGTATTTGCCTTTCAAATGCACTCTGTCAAGCTCCAAAGTTGGTCAGCAAGCAGGTAGAAATCAGTATGTTGATGTGTGCCACAAAGTTGAAGAGACAATGAGAGCAATTTTCAAGTTCATTTGCAAAAAGCAATTGTACTGCTTCCATGATTAGTTTCCCCAATTATGTTCACATTATTCGAGAAGAAGTCAATACCCATCAATAACCCCCAAATTGAAACCGGCCCAGGCCCATTTAAGTTTCCGAGAGTAAGAGTTAATGGGTGAGAGACTTACTGATTTGTAAAATCAATTTATTTTGACTTGCGAAAAACGCCTTGGGGTGAGAGAGGCTCGAACTCTCGACCTCAGGATTACTCGATAGCTATGAGACCTACGCGCTAGCCAACTGCGCCACCACCCCGTGTTGGATAAGTTTTATCACTCTTATTTTTACTGAGAAAACAATAAACCAAATGCTTGGGAATCCTTGGGTTGAGGTTGTTCATGATCTCCTCCTGAACCCGGTAAACGAACAAACGTGACCTTTCATGGAATTTCCCTCGTGTCTCCGTCAAATATTATTATAAAACAAGTTGACGTGATCAATGACCTCAACGAGCCCTCACCGATCTCGGTTTTTCCTTCCTACCCCTGTGGGGCCAGGTTCTTGCAGGCTGCTCACGACTTCGCCACTGAGATCGAGCGCAGCTGGCTCTCAAGCTGAGCTATTAATTCACAGGAAGAGGTCCCCCGCTTTCTTCCTGCTCGCTGTGCCCGTAGATCGGAGCCCTAACCGAAGGTTGTAGAATCGAGGTCCCATCGTCTGTCTCTTCTTCGCCGTCTTTTCATTCTCGCGTGGTGCATACTTGGGATTACCATTCCGTAATAACTGTCGATTGATTTTACTCCCCTGCTAACATCTTTCAACCATTGGTCGCCACTAATTTGCTCCGCTCATTCGGCGTTTTCCTCATCGTTGATTACTTCTTCATTCTCGGTTCTCAATTTTCGTCCTCTGTTTGCTGGATCGTCTTCTATCCTCTTCATCTGCTTGGATACAGTTCCAGGACGTTAGTGTCGTTTCTCTTTTTTCGTGGCTGTTGCTTTGTTATCATTTTCATGGTATATGTTGTGAGTTGGGAGCACTGTTTTTCCCGCAGGTTCTTCTGAATTTTAACTGGTCGACCTATAATGTCGAGAAAGATGCTTATCGACGGCGAAGGGGGGCACCCCGCTGATGAAGAACAATACGACTTCGATCTTTTCGTGATTGGAGCTGGCAGTGGTGGCGTCCGGGCCTCCAGGACATCTGCGGGTTATGGTGCAAAGGTAGGCAGAAAAGGAAGAAATAAACGTGAAGGAAGAAGATCGCTTTTACTATTCGTGTCGATGTTTTTTAGCGCGCGATTTTTTTGTTTGCGCATCTTACTTCACATTTTCGGCGACGATCTTTCTAGTGGAATTCAGAATGGCAGATGATATACTTTGCTTCGAGCAGACAGAAGTTAGTTAAATAATAGTCTTACCTGGAATTTGTAAGGTGACATGCTTTCAACAATATTCTATATATTGAATATCTATGCTTATATGCTTTGAACGATTTTTCCGAGCCATTTATTCTGTTATCAATATATATCATTTGTCTCCTCAATACTTAGTCTTGCTCATTCACTTGGTATTTCCACATCAATACTGTTCTGAACCGTGCAGCAACGGATGTGAAACTCGCTTTTATTTCTGAACAAAAATATTTATTTTGAATGTGAATTGCGAAGGCTGTCTAACTAGAAAGTCTTACGGTATCCAGTTCTATAAGGTTTCACTGCATGGTCTGTTTTCCCTTTTTTTAATGGATTTAATCTTTAGGAATTCAGATGACTAAGTTATTGGGATGCTGCTGCTTTATCAAGATTGATAGTAGATTATCCTAACCCCATATGTGATAGATAGATGTATGCTTAAATTGTTCCTAGACTTGCTTGGCTATTCTGGGCAGTCAAATATATGCTCATCATTGTCAAGGCGTATCTTTCATTTTTTGTGCTTTTATATCATATGTTTGGGGAAAATTTGGCATGCCATCATACATTGTGCTAAATAGAACCATCAGAAAAACAAAAAAGGAAACACTTTTCTTAAAAATTGTGGAAAGAGAGCTCTTTGTGTTTCTTCATGAGCATGTTGAAAATTTCTCTTATTCGGTCTCACCTTATTTTTAAAATTTTCTTTTTAATTCTTTGGTGGGTATTGATGTTTTCTGATCTTGGGGTGATACATATTTTCTTAATGATTCTAGGTCGCAATATGTGAGCTTCCGTTTCATCCAATCAGCTCAGAAGTTATAGGAGGAGTTGGTGGAACGTAAGTTAACTCAGAAAAGAATATCGTGTGTCCCTTCATTTAACTTGATCTGTGTACTGCTGTATTTCAGAGCAAACAACTGGCGTTTCCCATTTATTTTTGGAAACATGTTTCTTTTTGTGAATGTAATTGACCTTAGATCTAGAATGTTTTGTCAAATCTAGCATGCGGTTGTGAATACTTTTCTTATTATTTTTATCACAATTAGATACTTTTCTGCAGCATGTGCTAGGGCTATGTCTTCATTCTCATGGGCTATACGTTTTTGAGAAGCAGAATCCTTTTCGTTGCCATTCTTAATGAAGAAGCCTCTGGATTTTTAGTCCCTAAGCACAAATTTTAAGTAGTTTTTGAGTTCCATGTTGAGAGTTGTTACATTCTATCTTGGCAATGCCTAGTCTTTGATAGCTAGCACAAACAGAACTGTATATGACACATCAGCTAAAGGTCACGCGCAGCTCTGTTGATTTATTCAAAGATCCATTGTATTTATTTCTTCATGTCTCTGTTTTATATGGAATCTGTAAATGTGCAATACAGTTGCTTATAACGGTAGGTACAGTTTTATGATCAATATCAATGACACCCCGCGTGCAAAATGAGTTTGTGGGGTCTCAGCAATAAGTCTTCCTCTGGGTTGTCACGTCTGAAAACTGTTGGCCTGATGATTTATTTCTCGACACAAATTCTCCTATTAAAAACCAAGTCCTCACCGACCTGGGGCATCCTCTACTTAGATATACATTATCATTCAATCACTAAAACCATTGCATGTTCTAGGATAATTTGAAGATAAACATCTTATTTTATTTCTCAAAAGTAGTGCATGATATTAGTTTTATCGATATTTTTTGTTTCACTAGAGGGTATTCTATTTATAACCTCGTCATCAAAGAACGTAATTCTGTATGCTTTGTTGAAAAGGCATTACAGATGAGGGATAATTCTTGAGTATGGCCATGTCTTGTTTGTGATTTTAATAGTGGTGCCTTTAATGTTATTGAGAAGAGTCAAACATCCATGGCTATTATAGCATGAAAAGCTGTATTGCCTTTTAATGGGGTAATTGGTGAGTAATATTCCTGAAAATCAGAATTCTACAGTTTCAACTGCCCCTGTGACCTTTGACATTAGTTTCTCTAAAATAAGATAAGCACAAGTTTTAAGTTTGTTTTACATGTATGAATTCCAACCTAGTTTTGGTATTGCAGGTGTGTGATACGTGGATGTGTTCCTAAAAAGATTTTAGTTTATGGAGCATCCTTTCGAGGCGAATTTGAAGTAAGAATATCTTTTGTGTTGAGATATATTGATATATGTTTTCTTTTGTTTCTGAAAGGAGTCACATGAATTTGCTTTGATTGGTGCTTGTCACCTTTTTGGAACTGTAGATATTAGATGAAATGATACAGATAGCAAACGTCTGTATATAATCATTTTGATTTTCTATTGTTTTATTTGCTAATATAACACTTCCAAGTACATACACGCATGGCCAGCTTGAGTGGTGTCATATAATCTAGATGCAATCTAGTCGTCTGCGAATTCATCTTATTTGTGTATGTATGTTTATGTTTATATCCTTGTCTAAACATACTCAGTATACACGTGGATGGATGAAATGTGCTCTGTCATGTTCTGAATTTTTTATATGGTAGGATGCTAAAAATTTTGGATGGGAGCTCAATGACGAAGTCGGTTTCAATTGGAAAAAGCTTCTGCATAACAAGGTATGTAATAAAATTAATAATTTATTTTTTGTTGTCTGAATTTCAATAACTTCGGAATTTATAATGATATAATTTTTTAACTGCGAACATTTTAAAATAATTTCTTATATAATATTTATTTGGGTGATAAGACACTTTTCATCAAGCAATCTACTCATTACCTAGAAACATTTCCTTAACTTTTTCCGGTTTAGGTTTGGGGGCGGGGGTTGATTGATATTAAAAATCGGAATTTTGGAGTCTCTTGAACCGAATTGGAGAATCCTATAGGTGCCTTTCAATATAAAGGATGCCGATACCATACTACACAGTGTACTCTTGTGAGGCATCTGTCAGCAATTGGCAAGCCCAATGATAACATATGTGGCTATTTCTGTAGAATGTTGCTATACCAATCCTTGGATCGATGCTACTTTAACTTATTGAAAATGACGGCGTTGAGTCCAATGTGAAAGGGATATTTCATTTACTCGTGCCAGATCAACTAATATTCGCTATTTTTTGTTCTTTGTTACAAGTTGCATAGGCAACAGTATCGCTTGGCATCCATAAATCTTGTAATACAAGTGCTTTTGCTTCAAGTTGAGATCAGTGGGTTACTGTATATTGCCTGGGTGGAAGTTGAGAGGTGGAAGGGAACATCTAGGTTGTGCCAATGGAAATGTAAACCTCATGCCCTATAGTCTAATGTATGCCTTAGACTAAGCACTGGAAGTTCACTGAAAATTAGTTTCTCATTTTTATTATGTTCGAACCCACCGTTTTTCCATATTTACAATCCAACAATGATATGATCATATTTAGCATCATTAGGTTCTAGCTAAGAGGTAGATATCTTTTGTAGCGTTCAGTTGGTCACAGTTTGTCAAACGTGAACTACCACGAAGTTTCCCTGCAGAAAAATCATTGTTAATTAAACTTATGGTGATAAAACGATTATATTTTACAGTGATTTATTGAGAACCAAAATATCAAACTTACATTCATTAATGCTGCAGACCCAGGAAATAGTTAGACTAAATGGGATTTACAAGCGGCTGTTGACTAATGCTGGTGTTACAATGCTGGAAGGAGAGGGAAAAGTAGTGGATCCTCATGTGGTTGAAGTTACGCAGCCAGATGGTTCGAAGAAACAATATAAGGCAAGACACATCTTGATTGCAACTGGAAGCCGTGCTCAACGGGTGAACATTCCTGGGAAGGTATTGTTTCTGCCAATCCATGTATTTTCTTCCACTGCAACTGTAACTGTAACTGTTTTCACTTGGCCATGATTAGAAATTGATAATAATATGGAGCGTTACTGACCTGGCTATCACTTCTACATGAATTCTAGGTTTGTTTTTCATTAGAGGAAGTGCCTTTTCGAACACTAAAAAGGGCTGAAGTTGACAAGAAATATTTTCATGAAACATTTTTCCTGTTTTAGTTGTTGCTGAGACATCCCAAGTACACACGTTCATCTACAGGTCTGACCACAGGGGCCAGCATAAGACCGGAGTGCATCATATGGGACTATGCCGGAGCTAATGAACCTGAAAATAATTGAATTTAGGTTTTACACCTATTTAGTTAGCTAGTTTTAGAAGTATTTATACTTAATGGTTAAAATCTCAATGGGCTCCTCCGATTGTCAGGCAAGAGGTTGAATCTTGCATGCATTTGATTTCATACGTGGGAAATCTTTGTATTCTTTGGTGCGAGTTTCATGCACCATAGATAGACTCTTTGGTATGGATGTGTTGTGTTCCGTGCCTCATGGTTACCATTCTTTTCTACCAGAGCTCTTGGATGAGCCCCATCGTCCGACAGTCATTTGTTTTCTAATTATTTACGAGAAATACGAAACATTTTTATGTTCAAAAAGTCAACACAAAGTAGATGATGCAGTCATTACTTGTCCGAGATTACCAACTTAAGCTCAGGTGATAAGTTCTGACTGTATGCATGTTATTTGTGCATTACTCCTGAGTAAGATGCGTTTTGGACAGTACCTATGGATACACGAGTGATTGGTTATGATAATGACATACTCTTCATATAATGCAGAGATGTTCACCACAGATGCCTACATTATCTCCTAGAATGATTTAAAAGGATTATTCTGATTTTTGGCCAATGGTGGCATTTTCTTTTTTTCTTGGGGGTGTTTCTGTTGCTTGGTGTTCTTCAATGTGTGTAAGGGTATCAGTGAAATATCTTCCAATATAAATACATGCATGGCTAGATGACAAATTGAGAAAGAGGCATAGCATGTATTTATAGTGTGTAATAAGATTGCTTTATGTAACCTTATGCATGCTTTAGGAAATAAGAACTTTCACCTGAAAAGTGTGTAATATTGAATATTTTTTATGATCTCTCTCTCTCTCTCTCTCTCTCTCTCTCTCTCTCTCTCTCTCCCCCTCCTCTCTCTCCGTGACATGGTATCTTACGGTCGAAATTGTTTTTTAGGAATTAGCTATCACATCTGATGAAGCTTTGAGCTTGGAGGAGTTACCAAAACATGTTGTGATTCTAGGCGGAGGGTATATGCTTTCAACAAGTTCCATCGAGTTGTAGATTATTACTTTGATGATATTTTTATTAAGTTATGACTTCCGTTTTGTGATCTAGTTCCTGATTCGTCTTTTTTCTAAACTCAGATACATTGCTGTCGAATTCGCTTCAATATGGCGTGGAATGGGTGCCACAGTGGACCTATTTTACAGAAAGGAACTTCCTCTAAGGTTTTGTCCCGTCTTTTTTCTAAACTCAGATACAGTTCTTGTGTCATCCACTAGGAATTTCTAAATCGCTGTTTTCGGTCCTGTCTTTTTCCTATTTTCATCAAGAGTGCTTTCAATTTATATCTTGTGGAAAATTATCTAATGTCCGTGTCGATACTAGAACTCGTGTTGTGTGGCTTCATAACCCACCAAAAGTGTCAATTATTTCTATAATTTGTTAGAAATTCGATGGATATTGTGATGGTTTCAGAAGGCTGCGATGTAACTCGCGTCAACCACTAAAAAATGACGGTAATATATCATTTTTTCTTTCTAAGTATTGATATTGGTATATTGCCACAAAATAAGACGGAATTAGACTAGTAGCATTAGACTGCGATTAGTCTTCCAAATCACCGGGCAGGAAACAAAATGGCTATGAAGGTGATGGTGAATTCCTAACAAAACCCGTTCCATCGTTTTCCATGGCTAACGGGATATGGGTGAATCCCACACTATCTTGAAACCCAGTTTTTGGCAACATGTGAGCATATGCTTGATCTCAGGCTGCATAATCGTGGTCTTAGTTTGGATTAGGAACAAGATTTTATGGTTTTTTTTTATTAAATCTACGTAATCATGACTAATTTCATATGATGATGTTCGTCCTCTACAAGTATCCAAAATTCATAGATATGAATTTGATGAATTGTCTCTGCTCTAAGTTTTCTACAGAAGAAGGGCTGTCATCGTTCATTCTGCTCTAAGTCTCCCTTAATGGCGAGCTTCTTCTTTTCTAAAAATCTATGGCTGGATTTCATACCTCATGAAATCCCTTCAGAATCTATCTTCGATCTGCCTTCCCCGATGGTCGCTAACAGCTTATCCGTGGACCGACCCGTTGATGCGCAGAGGTTTTGATGGCGAAATGAGGGCCGTGGTTGCAAGGAATCTCGAGGGAAGAGGAATACGGCTTCATCCAGGAACAAATTTGTCTGAGGTATGCTGGCCCGAGCCAGAGACTACTCCCGCTCTCCTCATTCTGGGCATCCTAATAATGCCCGGTGGGTGACATTCTTCTCTTCTTACAGTTGACCAAAACAGAGGAAGGCATAAGAGTTCTCACAGACAAGGGGGACGCGTTGACTGCAGATGTCGTCTTATTTGCCACTGGTACACCAAGTTCTCACCCTGCTTCTACCCTTTTTCTTTCAGTTTGCATCACACAACACTTTGCACCGATCAGCAGAGCTGCCATCGTAAATTTCTCGCTATGCTGGAACAATCAATTGCATCGACAGAACTTAGAATAATACCAATCATTAAAATAATCCTGTGAGCACATCTTGCAATTATCCGGGTAGCAGCGGCCAAGCCGAGTCGCACAGATGTGGCGAGCATACTAGCACCGATCTTTGACCTGCCATCTTGTTTCCTTCCAAGTCGTACCTTGATGCCACCCTACCATCCTCATGCAGACCATCTTTGATCCTGCTTCATCTGTCTTGGACAAGATGGCATGGTGAGATCTATTTACGGCAAGGTTTCAGGTGCATTGACTTTGCCTGCGACTGCAGGTCGAAGCCCAAATACGAAGCGATTGAACCTGGAAGCAGTCGGAGTGGAAACCGATCGAGCCGGAGCTATCAAGGTATAATCATGGCCTCCATGTTGACGATGCATAGGAAATCATGATCTTTGGGTTTTGTTGGGTTCATGGGTAGATATAGTAAATAAACAGGATTTATTTCGTGGTTTCCACCGGCATGGGTACATTTTTTACATGCGGGGATGAAATACTGAGCAGAGTTCGGACGGTTTACTTTCTCTCTCATGCATTGGAGGGCAGACGGTTTGCAGGCTGTAAACTGTGTAAGCTAATACCCTGCACCAAGTGTGTGTTCCCAGGTGGATGAGTACTCTCGCACCAACGTCCCCAGCATCTGGGCCGTGGGCGACGTCACCAACAGGATGAATCTCACCCCTGTCGCTTTAATGGAGGGGACCTGTTTCTCGGTATGCTCTCTCTCTCTCTCTCTCTCTCTCTAGGATGCAGGAGGACTTCCTGACTAATATCTCCCTTCGTGGGCGTGATTTACTTTCTCTCTCTTTAGAAAACTGTGTTTGGCGGGCAGCCCACAAAGCCGGACTACGGCCACATACCTTGCGCCGTCTTCAGGTGCCAAGATTTTGCTAGAAAGATCCCGCTTTCTTTGCTTCCGTTGGTTTCTACTCTACTCTTCATGAAAACCGAGTACGTCTTCTTCTTTGCAGCATTCCGCCGCTGTCTGTCGTCGGGCTGAGCGAAGAAGAGGCCGTCGAGCAAGGGAAGAACGACGTCCTGGTCTTCACGTCGACCTTCACCCCCATGAAGAACACGATTTCAGGGTCAGTCTTCCCTCTCTCTCTCTCTCTCTCTCTCTCTCTCTCTCTCTGATTTCTGCTGTCTGCTGTTGTCGTGTCGAGCGCCGCAGGAGGCAGGAGAAGACGATCATGAAGCTTGTAGTCGATTCTGAGACTGATAAAGTCCTCGGGGCCTCGATGTGCGGTCCAGATGCGCCAGAAATTATGCAGGTAAACGCACTTCCCGATCTCTCAAGAGGTCCAAGTCAAGAAAAAAATTTAATTTTCAAATGTATGAAAATACAAACTGCTTCAAAATATGTGAAAATACAATATTATTAGTATAATAGGGACTAAACAAGACAATTAAAGGCAAAAATGTTTAAGTGAATAAAAAGAAAGAGAAAGAGAAGTATATAGGGCATACTTTTGTCACAATTAGTCTAAGCTTAGTAGATAATGTGATGCAAGAGGTTATAAATGAAGATACTTCAATGAAACTTTTGCTCAAGCTCGAGTCAAGGTACATGACAAAGTCACTCACAAGTCATTTTCTCTTAAAACATTGATTATATGTTCTACTGATGAGAACATTTATGCACATTACTGATCATCTAAATGAGTTTACATATATTCTCATAGATTTTAAAAATAGCAATGTTAAAATTGATGATGAAGACCAAGTTCTTATACTCTTGGTCCTGAGTTCCGCTTTTTCCACATCTGGGCGCCGTCATTTCCCATCCTATGGCTTAGATTCGCTGTTTTTTTTTTCTGCCTTTTTTGGTCAAACGCAGGGTATCGCCGTTGCCCTCAAATGTGGCGCTACCAAGGCGCAACTTGATAGTACGGTAAGTTCTTCGTCCCCTTTTCAACGTATCAACTGCCCTCTCTATGCCGTTGACTACCCATCTGTCAACTTAATTATGTGTGTGTGTGTGAGAGAGAGAGAGGCTGCGACGTGGTGATCCGGAAACTGAAGAATGGCATACGGGTTGCTGCATGTGGTTTTGTTTTTCTTCATGGGCTTGGGGTGGCCCCGCGGATCGGGCTCCAGTCTAACCCGGGCCGTTGCCCACGATATCGTGTTTAACCGTTGACTTCCGCAGGTCGGGATTCACCCATCAGCGGCGGAAGAGTTCGTGACGATGCGATCTCTGACGAGACGCGTGACCGCGGGCGGGAAGCCGAAGACGAATCTGTGAGTGCGGGAATCGGTCACCGTAGACTACGGCAGGCTGGTTTCTCTCTTCCTCTCAACTCTCTGCGTTATTCCGCCTCGTCCCACGTCTGTCTGAACGTGGTCGCCGTTGGTTCATTCCTTTGGGTCGCCGGATCTTAGAACGCGCACCTGCCTACATAAAAAGCAGTCTGGGGAGATTTCTATAGCTCAGAGAAGGTGAAGAATCCGTGCAAGCTTTAGAGAGAGAGAGAGAGAGAGAGAGAGAGAGAGAGAGAGAGTTCAGGGGGCTGGTCTCCCACTTGATTCACCAATGAAGAGCGGTCAACGGAGAAGGGAAGAGGTGGTAGACGCTGACCCATCTCTGAGGCCTCCCCCTCGCTCCCGAGCCACGGCGGCGGAGAGCACGGCGAGGTTGCGGTTGAGAAATGTGAGCGCCGACTCACACTCCGCTATTATCTCCGACACCGAGGAGGACGACGAAGGGCCGTCGCTCGCCACCTCCCTTCCCGCGGCCATGGCGGTGTACGAGTCCCTCAGCCCCCTCAGACTCCCCAGAAACTGCCATCATACAAAAAAAGAAAAGAAAAAGAGGACCAGAAATTCAGAAAAATCGAGAATAAGCACAAACATATTATAGGGATTGTTTTCTAGGCTTTTCTCTGTTCTGTCTCTAGGCCTCCGAATTGAGCCTATAATGGGCCGGCCCATAAAAAATAGACACGGCCCATAACCCCTTCTCATGGCTCTAAAAGGGTAGAATGTCGAATGAAAGTGAGGCGAGTAGATATAGTCAAATGTCATTTTATGGCCCTCAGAAGTCAACGTTGGATCGTGAAGAAGTGGCTCCCCCATGGAAAGAGGAAGAAGAAACAGGGGAAGGGGCACACGGGAAGCTTCACGGGTTCCCTATACTCCTCGGCGCAAAAAAAAAAAGTATGATAAATATTATCTCGCCTGCTGTTTCAGGGAGCAAACCCACCAAACATGAACAAGATTTATATATAAAAAAAGAAAAAAAATTCTTCGACGAGCAATGCAACAGGGATGAATCTCAGACTATATTGGATCCATGAAAAAGATAAAACGATCAACTAGAGCCAAAAAAAAAATCAAAAATCTCAAGAAGGGCAGCCATTAATTATCCTAATAAAATACCAAGTTCACGTAGATAATTATCTGATGCACACAGATGAGCTCGGCAGATTACCCAATCATGTTGGCCAGACCAATTCTTGGCCATTGGAAACCCTAGAGCTTTTGTGCGAATGGCTAACCTATTTCTCAGTGGCAGTCGATTGCCCATCAAAGGAAGTATCTCAATGAATTGTTCTTAGACTGCGCCAAGATTTAATTATCCACAATTTGCTTGGATTTGGCAACGACATCTACTTCTATCAGGGAGAAATGAGCAGCATCTGCAATAAAGATACCGATGTATATTTACCTTTAACAGAGTATTATAAGCCTCCAGCAAGCGATTGGCGGTGGGGCCGAAGCCATGCAGCTGCGGCACTTCCATCATGTGTGTCCAAGGCCGGATCTCCTACAAGAGTCAGGATCACAGATGACAGCAGGAGTTACAATGAAAGGTTCAAGTGATGAGTTATATGGACTGGTCCACTCCTACGGTGCCCTCCAGCAAGCACAGCCAACAGAACGCAGACAGGGGCAGCTGGGGATTCAGGAAAGAAACCACAGATCCCTTGAAGGAAGATACGATCAAATCTATAAATGGAGAAAACGGGCAACCATGTACTTTTACCTTTGTATATATTAAATTGAAGGATCTCACGGTTTCGAGGAAGGACTCCAGACTTGCCCGCAGCCGGGTTTCTGTTTCTCCATATTCCTCATTGGGATTGTAAGGATACTGCACGAGGAACAATTGGTGAGTCTATCGACGAGTTGATTTCAGTACACTGTAAAAATAATTAAATCAATACGTGCTTTTATTCAACGAGACATCAGCTAAACCCTATGAGATGAATATTACTCAAGGAGAGGCATAATGCGAGGGTGGGTGGTGTAGAGAGCTTCAATGATTTGCAAATTGAAACCAAGAAATGAAAAAAAAACGATTCGATTTATATAACATTCAATATTCTAGAAAAGGGCAAAAAAAGTAGCCTGGGAAGTAATTGAAGTGTCGATCAAAACACGAGGTTGGACTATTACAAGTGATAATAACAAAAAATTCTGAAATATTTTTTAATTTTTAAATTCCCCAGGAAATACGAAAACAATTCTACGCAGTTCAATAATCACCCATATGTCAAGAAGAGTGAATTCACCTGACAAAGATAGATTTCTTCGAATTTTAATGCCAAGATAAATTTGCTAACAGAGAACTGAATGCACAAGGAAGCGTTTGACCTTAGATGACAAGTCCTGCACCATGTGTTGTAAAGTAGTGAGTTTCTTCGAATGCTCGGAAAGCTTTAGCTCCAACTCAGAAATGTCCGGTCTGCGTGAGGATAAGATCGGAAAGAATTTATTGAATGAATCAGCATGCAAATGGATTCATTTATTCATCCCCTATGTGATCATTTTTCATGTTCCTTCTCCAAGTTTGTGTAAGCGCTAATCATATAAGACGGGAATATTCTTACAAAGGGACTAGAGACTGAATCTGTACGTCTGCAGGAAATAACTTGCACTCTTCAGAGAAGATCTGAGCTTGTTTTTCTGCTATGGAATCTAACAGCTGCACATCCTTTGTCAACTGCTCATCAACACTTCAGGAAATGGAATACCAATAGTCAAATCATAAATAAGATTGAGGAAATAGTCAGTTCTTTATGACAGTACGCATAGGAACTCGACCTCCATTCTGGATAGTCAGAGTAGCAAGTCGCTTCCACAAGATCTACAATAAGACGAAGCATTTCAACACGTTCTTCATAGCTACCTTTTCCCTGTAATTATCAGGTTTAAAAAATCCAAAAAGAATAACCTTTTAGGATGCAAGTCTCGTTTCCGTGATCCAGAAGGAGAGAGAGAGTCACTGGGTGCAGTTTGTGTGATGCATTTGACAACAACTAAGCCATATAACTATTACGAGCAAAAACAAATAAAAGAGTGCAAGAACATCCTCAAAACATAGGAAATAAAGAAAGATGCACCAGAAAAGCTAGATTCAGCATCAAATTATAAAAACATCTGCAATGGAGGTTGTACTTGCAGAGACCAAAGAAGCATGCAAAGAGACCAAGAAAATATTGAATTTTGATGCTCCCTGGGCCCTTCCACTCGGGATTTGAGTGGAGAGTTTCCTTAATTTTGTTACAGCGGTTCTCAATCTTCTTCATCAAATACCAATGGTGGTTTTATACATGCAACTCTTATATTTTTTTTAAATGATGATCCAATGATATATTTTCAACAGAATCATCAGACACTTTTGTCTACTTCTTTCATCAAATAAACGACTTACAGAAGGAGCTTCCTAATGTCAGTCCTGAGTTGAGAGAGAGAAAAAAAGGAAGAGCTGTCTGCAACGTTGTTGAGAATAACGTGGAAGAAGACAAAGGATATAACATTCCGTTAAAATAACCAAATTGGTAATGTATGAGCCTATGAAATACTAGACATTTAAACCTACACTTCCTTAAGGCTTATATACCATGAAAATCAATGATACGGTCGATGTCTCTCCCAGTCTAAGCAACAGGGGAATGGGTCACTGCCTCTCTTACCATGGTCTGCTAAAGAACCATCATAGTCATCATAGGTCATTTGAGAATTTTAAATGCGTACATGAAATAGTTGAAAATTATAGAATCTTTTTTTTGGAACATGCAGCGAAACTAAGAGTTCTAATGGGGTCAGAAATGGCATGGAATGTACCAATATGATCAACCAAAAAGAAACTGGTAACTCACTTGCATAGCTTCTGTATCAACTGAGGAAGTGATGCCTAAGAAATTTGCTATCTCAGCCAAATCTGCAGAGCACTAGTAAAAAGTTATTTGTTATTCACGATGCTGGAAAATATGAACTACTGATCAATAAACGATCAAAATTAAGATAAGACACTCAGACCATCAACAGAGTTTTCCTTCTCTTTTCAATTTATTAAAACTGTGTCTCACGAACGTTAATGCACATACCAAAGGAATCGAGGATTAAAAAAATTATATCAGGTACTAATCTGTTTAATCGTAAAAAAAATACATTGAAAAGGGAACCAAATAAAAGAAAAGACATTATAACAAAAAGTCCTGTACCTCAAACTGAACGGATGCAGGCATGCAATGTAACTAGAGTACTATACGTTGTATTTTCGGTTAATAGCCATATGTCGGAATTCGTCTTGAACGTGATGAAATGACGGTGGGAAGAGTTTTGCGTAAGTGTGTACAATAAGAGAAATAAAGTAATATACGTTGAATGCGCGATGTCTCTTCATCGTGATCCATGCTGTCACCCTGCCAATTCTGCTGCGCGAATGGTGACTTGTCCCCCAAAAGCCTGTCAATCACAGGACGAGTCAACACCGAACTAAAGGTTCCAGGGTATTATGATATATATATCAAAAAAATAGTTGAAGCAGGGGGAAATAAATAATCCTATGGAAAAGCCTAAGAGCAGCAGTAAAATCGAAATGAGGTGGTGTCCCAAGTAAAAAATGCACATTTAGAATGGGGTGAGAGGACCAGTAATGTAATGTTGGTGATGATCGGATTGATAGACAGACGGAGAGCACGGCAAAGGTTTTGTTAAACAAAACAGTCAGCAGAATCGACGTCATTCAGGGCACGGGTGAAACGAACTTGGGCGGGCGACCTGCACAATGATCAACAGTGCCGACGACGGGAAGCATCTCACCTGAAGAAAAGCCACTCTAGGAGCGCGTAACGCTCTACGCCGGCGAAGAGGAGGGACTGAGCGGGGGCATTGGCCCCCCGAGGATATCCCAGCGTTCCCAGCTTCCGCTGGATCTCCTCCATCTGCCTCGACGCCATTGCCGCCTCCCACACTCGCCTCCCCCGATCTTTCCCTCGAACACTCCTACCCTCGTACAATCGAACAATCGACCTCTCTTCAGGCTCCTTCCCCCCGCGGCCGCGGCCAGCTGCCGTCGCCGTTGCTCCCCCCCCACACTCGTCGTGCCGCTGCCCGTTTTTAAACCCCGAGGCCCGAGGACCACCTTACTTCCTCCCAACTCACCGCAGACCATCCGGGTCCGAGCTCGCCCCCGACTGAACCAGACCGGTTCTAAAACAATTACCAAAAATCGATAATAATGACGTCATATTTACGTCGGCATAAAAATTCGTCACGATTTCCCCCGAAATATGTTAAATCCCCCCGGTCAAGGCGACGATAAATGGAGGACAATAAATATCATTATTTATTTATAAAATTATAAAAAATTATGATACAATTAAATTCAATTTTCTTTAATAGCAGGCGTGGGATTTATTCCCGCACACTCTCTCAGCGTTGCTAAGAATTGATGGCTGGTTAATTATGATAAATCAAATAACGTTAAAAAAAATTAAGAGACGTGAGATTAGTTACTGGGCAGACGAGGCGTTTCGATGTGCCCGGCTGTGACTAGAACTTTGAAGATATTTATGATAACATATGGGATCATGTGTCCGAGTTCGACCTCTCGGGCGATCGCGGGCACGTGCATGGGCACGACGAAGAAAGTCCCCATGTTATAGGAAAATAAGATTATATAACAAATTGGGTATATTCAATCAAGCATCCATAATGAGCCCCGACGATTATTGACCCGAACCTTGCGGCAGATGGGGAACGGACATCATCCGCTGGGACTAGACGGCTCCCTGATGTTATTCCTACAGCGAAGCCCTGCCACCTTCCGGGGGGCCCATCGCGATGCCTTCTTCTCCCCCCTGTCGACGACAGCAAAAATGCAATCTTCCCACTATGTACACGGAGGGATCTACCAGGGGTGGGTGGGCCTAGCAGGCTATCTGATGATCTCTGAAGGTGGAGATCTCCTCGAAGATGGGGAGCCGGCGCCTGGACCTGCTGACGGGGGAGGAGGACCATTCGGTGGTCAGGAGCTCCACCCGGCCGATCAGGTCTTCCTCGGAGGGGAGGGAGAGGAATGGCGGCGAGAGGGAGTCGATCTCGTGGAGCAGCTCCTCGACCCGCTTCAGGATTTTGGGGTCGTCGGAGCCCGGCAGCCATGTGCCGCGGGCGTCGTCGAGGATGGCTCGGGCCTCCTCGTAGCGGCGCTGCCGCACGAGGCAGAGGCTGAGGTTGCAGGCCTTGTTGGCGTCGGGTTCTATCTCCTGCGCCTTGCAGTAGACCACCTCCGCTGCCACGTAGTTCTTCTGCTGCATGTACGCCCAGCCCAGGTTGCCCTGATCGGATCGCCGGGTACCACAAGGAAGAAGCCAAGATCAGCTCGGAGAAGAGATGGCGGTGATGGGGAGGAGAGGGAGGCGATGGGAACGTAGATACTGACCAGAATCCGGGAGGTTTCTTGTTTGATGGAGACCTGGAATTTCTTCCCGTGGGAACGGGCGGTCTTGGTTGTCCTCCCGTTGAATGCCTCCCCCATGTATATCATCTTCAGCTTGTGCTTCAGCAACTCGATCTGCTCCTCGGTTCTACCGCATTTCTGGATACCCACACAGTCAGCAACGACGAAGACGAGATCCCTGCATGGATTCGGCGGCGACCATGGGCTGTAAAGCCAGTACCTTGTACAGGTCGATGAGCACGTTGTCCAAGGACTCCTGGGCCTGCTTGGAGCAGAGGTGTCGGAAGGACTTGATGGCCTCCACGGCCTCTTCCGCCCGGTCCAGCTGCTTCATCACCACGGCCATGTCCTTCAGCGCGCTGTCCACCCGGTCTCCCGCGTTGATCGCTTTCCAAAACCAGACGATCGAAGCCGCAGGATCCTTGTCCACCAGCTGGAGTAGAAGATAACTTCTTCAATATCCGTCGGTATCAACAGAAGCACGAAATCATGGAGCAGTCGCCCGATATACTAGTTTGCGCGTGCATGGGAGATCAATTATCGATAATGACTAGGCGGAAAGCTGTGATCCATGGCCTCAGTGGGTGCTCTTGGTCGTACAAGCAAACTTAAACGAGCGAAAACAAAAAATCCTCATAAAACGTTTATAAAGCCGGAAATCAGACTCTTGGTACGCTTGCAGAGAAAGGGAATACTTTCTCCCATGTACCACGTTTTAGATCGCGACAGTAAATCGTCGCAACACGAAACTTCGTACCTGTCGTCTTCCTCGGTCTCCACCCTGCAAGGGAAAGTACTGTCCCTAGACGGGGGAAGAATATATGTCATACACATGTGGGAAATTAAATCAGGGATAGGCCTGAATCTGCGACACTTTAATAGTAACATAAGATCGGAGACGCGAACTTCACTCGATCATGATGGGAACTATATGATTTAGCGATTTTTCCTGATTGAACTGACGTAACAATCTACGAATAATTGGTTACATGAAATCACGGATCCTCTTCGTTTTCTTTTCTACCGAAGCAAGAACCTCACATATTCGCAATTCAATTAGGAAGGAGATGAAGCGGAAGATTCCCCGCGCAATAAGTTCCCGCGACATTCCGTCCCTACCGAATAGAAACGGCGCGAAAGATAGATGGAAAACGAACAGATTCTCCCGACCAGAAAAACCACAGATCTGGAAAGATGGAGGAGGAAAGTGACAGGGATCCCGGCGAACAGCTCCTCAAAATCGTTCCCCTACCTGGAGGTGCTTTGCCCGGACGTAGGGGCTATCGCCGGCGGGGACCTTGTGGACGACGTGGAACAGATCACCTTTATCCGCCGCCGCCGCCGCTGGCTTCGCCCTTCTCGGCCCCTCCTCCGCGGCCGCGGACATCTTCCAGTCAAGCCCTCGTCTCGATGTCCTCTCTCCTTCCCTTTCTCTCTATCCGTCGGGCCCTGCGCCTGAGGAGGAAGCCGCAATCTCCTTTCTCCCTCTCCGACGAGAGAGCCGAGGAGCTGGTGGGCGCCTTAATTTATTGCAGGAAGGGAAGAATGAACTGGGACGGGAAAGCGTCTAGAGACGGAGCCCGTCGATTGGCGTCTCTCCTCGAAGAACCGAGGCTAACTAATGAGATAAATAAAAACCATGGAACCCACTCATCGGGCGTCCGATATGGCGGAGAAATGGTACACGGGTTGACGTTCATCCGACGCCGTCTGTTCCACGACCCTCCGACGTGGTCTCTGAACCCAGAGAGATAGAGAGAGAGAGATACTATGAATGCGGCTTTCTTCTTGGCCTGGTACGTCGTACAAAGGAACCTCTAAATGGGCATGTTCGTGGACCCTTTTTACGAAAAACCCAAAAAAAAAGGGTTCTAGCTGAGACGACACTGATAGGGAGGACCTTCGGCCGGGCAAAAAGCCAAGTGCTCGAAAGTAACGTACCGACCCTCGACCTCATTACATTAGGGGAAATGACTAGAACACCCTCTTCCCATGTGCCCTTCTCCTCACCGAATCGGGCCGAGACGTTTGGTTTTTTAGGTACTGCACAAAAAAGCAATAACTCAAAGGGTGACAGATATTCGCGAGCTTTAAAACTGGTCACAGTCATCACGACTCTTCTTCTGGGGAGGAAACCAACGAGAAAAAACCGTAACGGTTTGACATCAGAGACCAATTTTTTTGGGGGACGTATGGGTAATTATCCATATCTTTCTCAGGAATCCTTTCGTGGCATGTGCCTAAAAGAAATCGCGAGAAAGTAATCGAGAAATAACAAAATAAATACCTAGGTACATTATTAATGATAATTGCCGCGGCGCAGCGATGGGCGGTTCAAGCTTGACAGGGGAACACCAGAAAAATAGAATGGAACAATAGATACAGGCAAGACAGGGTCGACAGAGCACAAGGAACCATAGCAACCTCTCTCTCTCTCTCTCTCTCTCTCTCCTCTCTCTCTAAACGCTCCCCAAAGAGGAAGAAAGCGAGTTGAAATGACGTCTTTCAAGAAAGAGATCAAACGAAAGCGATGAGGCTCACGACTTCACAAAGATCATCAAAAGAAAGTTTCTCTCTTTCCCTACCTCTGAAGCACAAAGATGGAAATGGCGGCGCTCCCTAGGCCTGACTTCCCCTCCCCCGGCTGCCCACTCTGCCCCTGGCTCGGCCATATCCTCCTCTCCCAGCGCCGCCGGCCCTGCCTCTCTCATACCCAGCACCTGCCATGGAAAGACCTCATGAAACTCCCAGCAGATCAAATTATCTGGGGATTATCGAGCATTTAGCTTATCCCCAACAGGAGTGATGGGTCATCCAGCTGACCTACTGGCAGTCACTGTGGGACTATCTCATGATGCAGCAGTGATGAACTCTTCTTACCCTGATAGCTCCAGCCTCTGCCACGGCCACCACCTCGGCCCCAACCATGGCTCCATCCACCATTTTCTGGCCAAAAGTCAACGACTAGATGGTCAAACATATCGTTGACATGGAATAGAACAAACCCAAAAAGCCTAAAACATGATTCCGGAAACAGGTGAATGACCATAAGTGGTATGATACCTCGATTGTTGTTGTTGTTGTTGTAACCTCCATAGCCTCCGCCATAGCCTCCATCATATCCTTCGTCATATCCTTCATCGTATCCTTCCCCATACCCTCCATCGTATCCTCCACCATACCCGCCGCCATACCCACCCCCACCATATCTACCACCATATCCTCCGCGGTATCCACCACCGTATCCGCCTCTGCCCCAGCCACGCCCTCTTCCTCGGCCGCGAACGTGTCCTTGGCCGTTTGAGTCTGAAGATCATAGGGACCTAATGGTCAGTGTATAGTTAAACTTTTGGCCGAGATGAAACTGTCTTGGAGTACATGGCAGTACCTTCTGGCACAGCAACTTGGGCCTCCTTGCTCTGGGGGCTGCTGCTGCTGCTGCTGCTGCCATTGCTGCTTCTGATAGTACTGATACTGTGGCCTGGTCTGCCCCACATGTGCAGGAGCTTGGTACCTGAAGATCCAAGAAGAAGATAAAGACAATGAAATCAACCCAACCATGATTCAGAAAGGGGCACAACATGGTTTCCATCGTTTCCAATTTTAGAAGCTTTGAACCAACAAAAAAAAAAAAAGATTACCCTGGGGAGTTCTTGTTCAATTCTCTCAGTGACAGAGTGATTGAGATCACTGAGACATGGCGGGTCATTTCAAGACTGCAAAATATCCACTGAACATTAGGTTGCTATGAGAGCTATCTCCGGGACCTCTTCCGAATCTGAAAAAAGAAACAGAGAGGACTCACGGCACAAGGCCCTCTTCAATGGGTTCCCACACGTCAACGATACTGGTTGAACTAATCTTGGTGTCCTGATGCAACCCGGGATTCCTCTTCTGTTGTCAGAAGCGAGAATCCGTAAATATCAAGAACAGCATGTGAGAAAATGGAAACTATACGTCGTTATTGTGTGCAATGAATGGCACCAACCTTTATAACCTCCACAATGGCAACAGCCTTGCTGATTGCCTGCCCCATTGCCTTCAATACGATTTCTTTCATTCGTTTTTCCTGAATAAAGCAATAGAGATACGGAATAATTCAGAATGGCAACAAAAAACCATATGAACAAACCAAGGTGAAGAGCCCTTAAAAGTAAGGGGGCCAAAGATATTTGAAAATAAGAAAATGCGAACCCAAATTGGGAAGGAAATGAGGATAAAAGTCATAAAAGAGTAAATAGCAGATCCGAACGAGATGGGCATGAGACTATACTTATTTCAAACAGCACGGTCGCATGCTTCTTACCCATAACTCAAGACACCAGCAACGATGAATCACATGTGAAGTTACCCGAAGAAAATGAGAATAATACATTCAAGGATCTGAATTTTGTTTGCTAACAGTTGCACTGAGGTTTCCTAAGCAGGGAGTTCCTGAAGGCGTTTGGAGATGGCACATAAACCGAGCTTCTCACAGTGATGATACAATCCAGGTGACCCGAGAAAGAGATTACTGGTGACATGGATTCCAGGAATTAAGAGGCTGCCCACTTTCACCTCGGAGCTTAACCGCAGATGAGATCACCAAATTCAGGTCACTCTTGTGATATCGTCTAGATCATCTCAAGTGGATAAGTTGAGAATGCATCCAGCTTCGTAACGATAACTTTGCAATATGAGGACAACTTTGGAAAATAATTGCTCTAAATGGAGGCAATTTTCTGGGCAAAACCTAGATCATTTCTTGGTGTTTTGGCACTGTAAAAATCAAAACAACAGGTAATTTCCACAGGAATCACTGCTCCTCGAGCAATGAGCCGCCCAAAACCAGGAAACATCAGCCATTCAATTGTATCCACATAAGGTCTTGTGAAGAACGAAAATTTATTTAACTCTGAGTGCACTGCATACAAAAAAAAAAACCACGAAGATATACTACTGAAGATAAGAAAGGCATAGAAAAGTGCTGAGACATCGAATCGAAACATCCGATGGCTTACCCTATACAATCCGATCCCTTAAATCTCAAGAAGAAAATGGATGAAAATATGTTACCCCTGCCATCGGGAAACAGAATGTAAAAGAAAAATAAAATTGAAATCAGAACTGGTGCGAGTCTAACAAGTTGCACGTAATAGATTGTAATCTAGAAGGCACAAGGACACTGATGTCATTAGTTAGCCCATTAGAACAATGAAATATCGGTTTAAAAAATTCGAATGCTAACATAAAATGATACGCAGAAACAGATATATGGAGCATTCGAAAGGATGAGAATTAATCATCAGGCTATACGCTTATAATGTCAGACAGTATCAGATGGAATATATAAACGATGGTTTGCAACAGACGGAGAAATAGCAGCGGGGGGATGGAGGGGGGAGACAGAGAGAGGAGACCGAGAGCATTTAAGAATATCCAGAATTAGACAGCATATTAGAACTGTCCAAACACTTGAAAGCTGATTCACCAATGCCACTCAAGGGAGAAGGAACTACAGTCCAAAACCCATCAGGAGAGAGAGCCCAGATTGTGGATGCGACAGACCTGGAGCAAGGTAGTTGCATAGCTGATGTAGTTACGTATCATCCCCTGAGTCGTAATACGGATCTCATTCTCCTTGATAACAGACTCCGGCCTCGGTTTCTCGACCCTCTGGTACCTGTCCATGGCTAACAGCTTTCTCCCCGTCCCACGGATAAGACTTGCGGCGAGGGTTAAGGATCTCGTGCGACAGCAGAGGATACACTACTACAGAGAAGGTCCGGAAGCGCTGAAGAGTGGAGCCTCTAAAACCCTAGAGCCAGAGCGTGTGTGTGTGTGTGTGTGTGTGTGTGTGTGTGTGTGTGAGAGAGAGAGAGAGAGAGAGAGAGAGAGAGAGTAAACAAATAGACCCAACGGGGAAGGAACTAAAATCTTCACTGGCATGGAAATCAGGGTCCTCGAATTCCTATTTTTTCCGTATATATTATTCCGTAATATATTATATAATATACTATAATATAATAAAACGCATTTATTTTAATATTAAACACTCTGGTTAGAAACTCGCTCGGAATTCGTCAGCGGGTTGGGCCATAACCACGATAATGGGCCTAACTAATCATTAGTATCCATTAGGCTCATTTTCCTACAATAACCCATTGGTCCACGCGATCAAGGTTTTCATTATATCCATTCAGGCCCATTATAACCCATTTTTTTGGCCCATCAAAGTCAGCAGGCAGACCCGTTCATCTCGTACGGTCGGCTCGTCGTTGGATAATCGATGAGAGAGAGAGAGAGAGAGAGAGAGAGAGAGAGAGAGAGAGAGAGAGAGGGGGGGGGAAGAACGGTTCTCTCACGTCGATGTCCCCAATTTGCAATAAGATATCTTTCAGTGGAAAAATAAATAAGTGTATATGCAGAAGGGTTGTTTCTGAAAAACTACGATGCACATTCTTGCTCGTTCGCGTTACTCGCTGATCTCTCCTCGGAGTGTACTGTTAACGGGCCCAAATGAGCTGATTTCGACTGAGCTTACCGGCAAGTCGGCCCATTAGAACCCGGTTTGCCTGCTTTCTGAGAGTTGACCACGTTTGGTCCTATGATTTGGGTGGGGAACGGTCGTAAAAATTTGAAGACGTGGCATTCATATCCTCCATCAATTTTTTTCCGGTTTGGGATCAAGAACGGGATCACTTATCGGACGTCCGGATTTTCCCGTAGAGATGAAAGCCGACTTCTGACCACGTCACACGTCGTTATCACCGTCACCGTCAACCACGTGGACGCGTCACCGATCGGGCCGAACTCCACGTCAAGTCCCGGGGGGGGGGGTGCGGGGGCTCTGTGAAGCGCCCCAGATTCTCCGCCCTCGCTGTCCACTCGCACATTTGGGGGAGACTCGAGATAGGAAATGACTATCCTACCCTCCAACTAAAGCTCGAATCCAAACCGGCAACTCCCCGGTAAGAGTACCCACGGTTTCCAACAAAATTACGTTCTGTCCCTCGTCACGCCGGGTGGAGCGGGAGAAGAGGCGCTCAAGGATTTGTTTACAGAAGGAACTAAGATAGCTGGGGAATGGTGGGAAGGACAAATGTATTGCCACGTGTCATCCGACCACTGGTTGATGGCAATATCGATATTATGATGATTAATTCAGGTATTTAAATTTCTCTATCCTCTTTCTCTCTTCCCTCGTCTTCGCCGCCCCTCGACGCTATAAATACATGTACTCGGGACATTTCTAGTTCCCCCCCCCCCCTTCTTGCCGTGCTCCTCCCCCATTTTCCTTTCGATTCTCTCTTCTCCGCTTATCTCCTCCGGTCGCCTGCTCCTCTTCTTCCTCCCCCTCCTCGGCCGTCCGTACGCCGCGCCGCCGCCGGACAGCCATGCCGGCCGGAGAATTTCCGCCAGCCACGTGCTAACTCCAACGCCGATCTCCCGCCACCGACCATTCTTCTCTCTCCGCTTTTTACCAATTCCACCCCTGAGAAAAGCTGTTGTTAGCGGCTGCGCCCACCTTTCTTTTCTTTTTCAGTTCGTGTCCAGGGCCGGAATGTCGTCGAGCCAGATCAGCAGCGGCGGCCCTCAGGCCTTGACGCCGTTGGGGGCCTCTCGGAAGCGGAAGGATAGAAGCGGTCATTGGGCCCACCAGCCCCAAATGACGACAAAAGCCGAGCCGATGAAACCGGCTGTCTTCCCCGGCCCACTCCCCCAGCAGCAGCCGGTGAAACCAGTCTTCCCGGGCCCACCAGCCCTGCAGCAGCAACCGGTGAAACCCGTTTTCTGGGGCCCGCCTGCCCCGGAGCAGCAGCAGCATCAGCAGCCGGTGAAACCGGTTTTCCCGGCTCCACCCCTGGCGCAGCAGCAACCGGAGAAACCGGCTGGCGCGGGCGGGAACTGGCTCTTAGCCGGTTACCTGGCGCACGAGTTTCTCAACAAGGGCACCTTACTTGGCAAGCCCTGGGACGCCGCCGCTGCCGCCGCCGCCGCCGCTAGGCCGCCAGATCGCCGCCGGCCGGAGACAACGGAGCAGCAGAGAAGGAAGCCGGCGGCGGTGGCGGCGGCGGCGTACGAGGAGGTGACCCACCTGCTGAAGACGGAGGGGGCCCACATCCCGGGTGTCGTCAATCCCAGTCAGCTGGTGCTTTGGCTACAGATGTGAGAGCTCCGCCGTGCAAGGGAACAGAACGATTGGATCCTTCTCCGTCGGTCCCGCGAGGCAGCGGACCGTGCTGTGCGCCTGTGCTCTCTCCCTCGGCTTCTCGGTCTCCTTCTGTGGCGAATACGACGAGCCGATTATGGCGGCGCCACGAAATGAGGGTGAGACCGAGAAGATCGGGTCTCCCCTCTCCCCCTTCTCTCTCTCTCTCTCCCTCTCGCTGGGATCACCGCTGTTATCCTGGGCTTCCTTCTTCACTTCCGCCTTCCCGCCGTATCACGGGCGTCCATCCCTTCCCTTCCCTTCCCTGCAGCCTCTCGTCATCATCAACTTCAAGATGAAGAAGAAGAAGAGCGAAGAAGAGGCTCCAACTTCACACCAATGGGTTACTGGGACAGTACAAGAGGAGCACAGAGAGAGAGAGAGGGAGAGAGAGAGAGAGAGGATCACAGAATCGCCCGAGAGCCACCCCACCAAGGGACTAGGGCCATCTTCGTCATCTTCTCATCTGCAACCCATGATATTTCACTAGCAATGGAAATCTAGTGAGAGAAAGCGCACACCAAGGGCAGAATCGACGCTCAAACCCTCCGAATTCTAATCTATTTAGAGCAACCCAATCATGTTCTATGTTCAGACACAGCGACAGAAGCACCCTAGCTTCTTATTTGAGCGGGGGGTTCCAGCTGGGAGAAAAGGGGGCGGTGAAGCGGTGGAAGACCAGATAGGAATTTTGTTTTTTTTTGTTTTTTTGTTTTTTTGGATTGGGTTTTTTCTATATTGGGTATCGATGATTCCATGGGCAAACTATTTCCAGAGCTTGACAGACTTGTCGTAGCTGGCGGACGCGACCATGCCGGTGAGTGGGGACTGGGCCAGGGCGGCGATCAGGTTATCGTGTGCCTGGACGGTCATGTTCTTGTTCTCTGCCATGTTCCAAAGCTCCAGTGTCTGCATCGAAGCCGCGGATAAACAGGGTTAATCACGAATGGAGGCCACCGGGAGGCCAGATCGGGGGAATTTTGGGGCATCAAAAATGGGAATATTCTAGCAGCATTTTTCACACGTGTGTTTGAGCGTGTGGAAAATGATGAGATGGGAAGGGCTCGATAACCTTGGTGAAGTTGAATGAGCAAACGATACGCAGGCATTTTGTCAAACACGCGCAAGATTGGTGGGTCAAAGATCGGTGAATCTAAGTCAAATACCTGGATTTTTCTAAAATATTTTCTTATCAAGTATGTGAAAAAAACCCATCGATTGTCCACGAAAACTGCATTCTTTCCATAGATATTGCTTCGATTTAGAGAGAGAGAGAGAGAGAGAGAGAGAGAGAGAGAGAGAGAGAAATTTGGGAAGAAGGACGCATGGAAAACAACTTTTTTCAAAGGAAAATAAGAAATAACCAACGATATTACCTGGTATCCGCCGATGATCAACAAAGTGGAGTAGTTGGGGTGGAAAACACAGGAATGGAACTGGTTCCCGCTGGAATTGAACTCGTGGATGCACTCCCCAGATGCCGACCAGATCCTTACTGAATCCGGACAAACGGATGCTAAGTAATCTCCATTCGAGTCCCAGCAGATCGAGGTTACGTCTTTGGTGTGTCCCTAAGAATGATAAAAGTATGAATTGAGGATAATTAAAAGATGAAATATCTATCCACACAAGAATTCCACTATTAATAAAAATTCCCTCTCTTTTTTTTCCTAACATAAATCCATGAGATTACTGGGAGTAATGAGTAATGGATTATTAAAAGGGCAAAGATTTATCCATAAATAAAAACCAATGATGACAATAAAAATTATTCCTTTACTAACATGAGACCATGACATCACTGAATTTTATCATTAAGAGACGAAATATTTATCCAAAAAAATCCTAATAATAATAAACAAATACAATTCTAAACATGAAACCCATGCAATCACTGGGTTGTTACCGGTAGCGTGCGTATCTGCCGGTCGGCCTCAATGTCAAATATGGAAACCAGTTTTTCTGAAGATGCTGCAAGGAGTTGACCAAGTCTAGGCTGGAATCTAACTTGGCCCGTGGCACCCTGACATATAAACACGAAAAGGTTTTTCATGTCAGACGGAGGAAGAACTTGGTGGTGTAAAGAAGAACTGTCCGGATCGTTTCAGACCTTGGAGACACGAGAGAAAGCGAAGTTGCTGGTATTCCAGAACCTCATCTCGCCATTGTCGTCGCAAGAGCAGAATAGATCGGTCTTCTTTGGATGGAAGTCAACGGACATCACAGGAGAATTGTGCCCAGTAAATGTGTGCAAGCAAAAATGTGGCTGCAAGCAAAGCCATTATTAATCTTCACATCAGAATCTAACCTCCAAGCTCGAGTTGAAACAAACTTATTCAAATGAAATCCTCAATAATAATCCCACAATTGAACGACATCCCCATTGAAAATAAGTGTACAGATGTTGAGACAGCATGCACATGAGGAACCCCGTTAGAATAATCTCTCTAAACACGAGGATCAAATAGCTAGTCACTTAACCGAACTAGTTAGAAATATGCAAGGCAGAATTAGCTATGGACATCAGAGCTTGCACGCGTCGTGTATATGTTTACAAGTTGGGAGCTAAATCTGAGCCAGATTATGACATGAACGGCATTATAGATTGTCCAGCAGAGAAGATAACGATCATAAAAAAAACGTAGGAGCGAAGCTTAGTGAAGTAAGAATAACTAAAAAAATGGGTTTCCCTATTTTAAAGTGGGAAGTTTGGGTAGTGAAAGAGACGGGTTGATAGGGGGGCTATTAACATATGGTCCGGCTCATTTCCCATCGAAAAATGGAGATTGGGCAGGTGTTGGAAAGGATGACGGTCTCTCTCTTCCCTTTTTCTGTCCATCAAAATCTGCCACCATCAATGCCTGTTTCAGTGCGATTTCTGCTTATAACTTAGAGGGTCTTGCATTTCAGGATATACCCCGGTTTTGTCAGTTTATCTCTGAGCACGGGCTACTCGCGTAGGCAAGGGGTGCACGCACACAGGGCCTATGAGCAGCGGGGAGTATTCAACCAGAATATTAGTCCCTTTCCACCCTGCATGCTTCCCACAATAATTATTGCAGAGAAAACATTTCCAGAGAAAGTTCGCTTTTGAAATTTTCTCCACTCTGTATTGTGACATGCACAGTTCAAAGTTCTTGAGAAACAACGAAGACCAAAGATGTTCCGTGGACTCCACAGGCAAGTAAAAATAAAAGAATAATTTTCTTTTTTGTAAAAGAATTTAAAAGGCAACAGGCAATTTAGAAAGAAAAATGATTCAACACAAGCAAGCTACAAGAAAAATATGAGAAACCAAAAAACTTACTTCAGCTACATTCCATAGTCGCACTGTTCTATCAAATGAAGATGTTAGAAGCTGAGTTGAGTTTGGTCTAAAACGGATGTCAGTGATCAGAAGGCTGTGTTCTTCTGGAGAGCTCTCAGTTTTTAGTGTGTCCATGTTCCAGATAATAGCCTGCAACATAAAGAGCAGCAAGCATCTCAACATTAATGCCACAGAAGAAAACCAATGTATCTGGAAATATTGTTAATAGACATTAATGCGCCCAGTCTGGAGGCAAAACGTTGTATCTCTGTAAGTCCTGGCCATCTCAGTTAGCTCATGACAAAGACATCATATCATATTGTCAGAGAAGATATCCAAATACGGACATCAACTGTCAAAGTCCCACACAGGTATTAGATATCTCAGGTCAAAAAATTCCTAGCAGGTAACTACCCAACAAGGGTAACAACGCATAACAAAATACCTGGAGAGCATTGTAAGTTTGCAATGTATTACCTTCTTCTCATGTCCAGCACTTGCCAGTAATTTTCCATCAGACGAGAAATGGCAGCAATTCACCTTGCTATTACTTGCACGGATGCAACTAACTTCACTAAAAGAGAAACCTGGAAGACATTTTCAGCACTGTTACATCAACTTTGCAGAAGTATTATCACCTGACAGCTGGCAAACATCATTAGTTACCCTTTGCAGACTCTGTGGTGTGCTCCACAGGACTTCTTTTCAATGCAGCAAAAATGTCTCGCGCGTCTCCATCATCATGAGAGAGAAATGATTCCACATTGTCATCCAAGGAACCAACATCCGCAAAATGTTCCATGTCATCCTACAATGTGGATAGAAAATAATAAAAAATAAAAAATGTTATGCACTAAGAGAAGAAAGCAAGACCAAAAGCAATAGGGGGACTACCAGCTGATTTGAAGATGAGGCAAGCGTAGCTGTTCCATCTGTGCCATACATCATTAAACTCTTTGGCATATTATTAATATGCTGCAAGTTTCCAGACAATGGTCCTCCATCACCAGGCGTATGAGTGGACGGAGTTGATGGAGGGGAGTTAGAAGGCCCCACTGTATTTCCCGTACCAGTACTATTTGCAGCTCCAGAGGAAGTAGGCCTCCTTTTCCTATTATTCTGGTATTGTACATCCAACAGAAAGAAGAAAAATTTAGCAGGTCTTTATCGCAAATGTGAAAAGTGATCTGAACAGGAGCAATAAAAACATATTTACGTTTCACTACCTGTTGCAAATGTTGCTGCTGTTGCTGCTGCTGCTGCAGTTGATCTTGAGATGGTTGGGAGGAAGAATGCTGCATCTGGGCCGTCATCTTCATCTATTTGAGAAACAAGCCGAACTTTAGATGTTCTTTGGGTAATATAACTCAATAATTTCAAAACCAGTAAAGCCTGAAAACACACTGGCGTGTAATGAAAGATGCAACTAAATGTAATGGCATGACGATCTGTTTCTGAACTTTGAATGAAGGATTGCCACAAGTTCTTTGAAAACTTTTAGTGAGAATACTATCTGCGTTCCCTTAATTAGCAAAATTTGGAAAACTATTTTTTCAAACCACTTATACGATTTTAAATCTCTACAATACATTTTATCTGATTATTACATCATGACCATTAATCAAAATGACTGATGACTTCAGTAAATCCATGTGTATATCAACGCAAGTTTCGGTGCAAGAGATTTAGACACACGAGTTTTTTTGTTCTTGGAGACAAAGTCAGCCTCATGCTGATATCTTCATCTTAGTTAGTGGGCAGGACATCAGTGAAGACGAGTCATTTTGCAAGATAAGGTTAGATCTTCCCAGACTATTCCCTCTAACTTCACTACTTAAGTCCCCTTCGTGTTTTAGCACCTGCTATTGTCATAAAAGGACCAGAGATGTGAGCCTGATTCTGAGAAAGGAGTTGTCATGGATATGAGAAGAATCCATTTGCTGAAGTTCAACTGGATGCATGGAAGTACAATTGGAGCACGTGTCAGGTTTTTCCGAAAAGAATTGATAGATCAAGTGGTTACGGAGCATTTACAAGGCAACTCATTTTTGGTGACCACTGCTGAATTGTTTTTTTACAGAGATTGCAGAAAATGTGCGCATCCGAAAAGCCCATTTTCTCACTCTCATATTTGAAGAAATATCCTAAAAAGCCAAATCTTCTGGTCGATTTACAATATTTTCTATACAGTAATACAAGTCCTTTTAGATTTTTGTTAAGAAACATGGTTCTTGAAGGACCTCTAAAGGTTACATCTTCTCAAATCTACCAGTTATACACTAACAAAAATAAAATAAATACAGAATATCTTGGAATTTCAGTTGGCAAGGATAAAAGCAAATGTTTCAAGATTCATCATCTCCAGTGATGATGATACATTACATTTCCCTCGCTTTAGAAATAACTTCAGGTAGTAAAACCTCATAAATTCACAACGCCACTTTTTGTTATACATGGATACTCAAAAGTTACAACATACCTAAGAATAAGAATATCAGTTTACTGTAAGCATCTTTAAAGCGGCTTTATACGACCCTAACGCAAATGCACAAACTAACCTTTAAAAGGTACTCAGCTTGATCTGGTCTGACTTTAGGTGAACCTGATTGAATTGTGGAACTCATTGCCCCATCATTCCCTGCAGACTGACCATCTACTCCATTTAAGCTTCCACGTGGCAAGAGCCTAAATCTTTGGGGGTCCATATCACCATAGGAAGGGGTGCTGCCAAGGTTGCCTTGAATATGAGCATGAGCTAGAATATGTTGTTGCTGCTGTGGTGTCAACAGTTGAAATTGATTTTGTGTCGGCAGAAATGGTTTCTGCACCTGAGGCCCAATGCTTGGGCGCAACTGATCGATTCCCTGCACATATTAGCAAACCCTGAAGTTGTTAAAATTCATGGAAGGTCAAAGAATGAGACAACAAACTTTCAGTTCTACACAGAAAACTGCTTACTGTTAAAGGCCAGCCCTTCAATGGAAGACCACTGACCCCTTGGTTCAATCCTGCAGGGAGAAAAAAGAAATAAGATATAAAATCACTATTGCTGACACCATTCTAAGTCCATAAGCTTTCACGAAAATGTTGATATTTTACAGCACCAAAATACACTTAAACTACAGGCAGTTGCCTAACGAACAGAAAAAAATTGGAGTTCATTTTGATTAGTATGCCTCCATTCCATTTTGTTATTAAACCAGAGCCAAATCTATGAACTACTGTAATCAAGGGTCTAAAGGAGCACTTGGACGATAGGAAAACATGCACAGGGAATGGAGTGAACATGAAAAAGGACTTAGAGAGGAACCACCCACAACAAAAAACTGTGCTGTCACCAAAGGATAAGAGGCAAAACCCCAGATCAGAAACGAATGAGATCTGCATTTAGCACGTCTCTCGTACTCATGACGAAATTAGCACAGCAGCTCAAATAGAACAGAATCCATGTGCTCATATCAGCAACAATGCGAACAACACCAGCGGATGATGTAACCTAACAGTAGTGACCAACATGTTGAGACATGGGTGTCATGGTTACAAAATGTCTCTTTGATATGATCAATGGCAATGACAGATGCTCCAAGCATGCATGAAAATAAAACGGCATCAGACAGTGGAAAGATGTAGATAAGTAGGACCCTGTATTCCATAGGAATCCATGATTCTTTCCGCTGATTAAATCTTGAGGATAGAGAAATTATGAATCCAACACATCACTAGATTTCCCTGAGATACTTGTCTGGAAGTATCCTGGTGGCAATTCTTCAATAACCCAATGAATACAATCCACAGGTCGTCACACCCAAATAAGCGTTACGGCAGGTACTGAATGGAAGACAAATATCCCTGGAAACAGTAGTGTACGTTATGTCTCCCATATGGCATCAAGGCTATTATTACCCTTGACAAACCCCATTCAGCTCACCAGGACAAACTGGTTAGTATATACGGATTCTATTATTTTTCATTCATATGATATTAGTGGCATCATTGACACTCTAAGTGTGCAACCATACAGCATATTTGGCGGTCAGCAAATAATTTTTTGTTCAGCATCATGGAAAAATCCTCCAGAAAGGATGTTTCCATTTCAAAAAATGTCGTTATGATAAAAAACAGAACAAATATACTAGCCTTAAAATTTTCAAAATGTTTGTTTGATAGCTTCTTGTTTTAAATTATTTTCCCCCTCTCTCCTTTGGCGTCAGAAATATTGGTGAATCAGAGCACAGCATGTAGATAACGATTTGAAGGAATGCCTAAATTTATGATGAATAAAATTTTCGTAAATAAACAAAGCTATTTAATCTATATTGGATTACAGTGTTTTCAAAATTGAAATTCAAAATTCATCATTTTAGGGAAAAATCAGTGCACCTCCTTGGTTCAAAATAATAAACAAATGAGTCATATTCCCGCTGAAGACTATCCCTATCAAGTCTGACGAAAAGCTTACCACCAGCACCTAATCCAGGTTTTTGCTGCATAAGCCCCTGCGTATATGGATCAATGGGCGATGATCTTTGTGCTACACCCAAATTCACTTCGCTCTTAATGTCCTACAATTAGCACAAAAAATGAGGAACCGCCAAATCTACAACATGAATTATAAACAACCACTAGACAGGTGTAAAGTAAAAATAAATAGTTCAAGTAGTTACAGTTGTTTGTTGAGTCCTTGCCTGAATTTGCTGTAGTGCTCCAGAGACACCACCTGGGTTACCAGGGACTAATGGCCTGCTTTGGCAGAAAAGACATAGATAACAAAAAAAAATCCAGTAGAAAGTCATAAAACTTGAGAACTAGTGTCCCATGAAATTAGGTAAAAGTTGTTACCCTGGATGGTTAGTTGCTGACTTTAGAAGTGCCATCCTGTTAGCATCAAATTGTTGAGAAGACTCGGATTCAAGAGAGTGTGGAATCTTCATACGTTCTTCGTAGAGTTTGGCAGCATAAACACTAGCAGTTGACGGTCCCAGTATACCATCTGAGTTAATAGCATTCATAGAACCGCCCAATGATGGATGATTCGTATCCCTTCGCAGTTGTGCTTGCCGTTGCTGTATGAGCTGCAGTTGCTGCATCTGTAGCTGTTGCTGATGTTCTCTTGCCTTCATTTGTTGCGCCTATTAGTAATTTAATAGGTAGTGAACAACCATTTGAGATGGACATTGATGATTCCTGAAAAGGCTACGACTCATTTCAGAAAAAATACCTCAATGTATGCTGCAGCTGCCTCGGAATGTTTCTCATTTGTCCTTGCAATAAATATATCCCAGAAGACAGACCACCATTCAAAAAGGAATCCTCCAGGAGCATCAATGGCTGCATGTCAATTAAGATGTCAGAGGGTACATAACAGCATTTTGAGAAATATTAAAATCTTCTCTGATATTTTTCCACTTTATCAGCAAGGAATTTTACACAATCCCTTGAGGAACTATTCTTATTTCATCAGGGTTTGATTGGTCCAAAAGAAAGACAGCATCAAATAGATAACCTTTTGGCTTCAGAACAGCTTCAGCCATCCAAATGAGTTTTTTTGTCGCAAAAAGATTACCAGGAACTGGTCGTAAACTCTAATTCTCCGTGCATTCAGCGCTCATGAACGTCAGTAGTATGCATCGTATAAGTACTCGCATTATCACACAGATGGCATGGTACTAATAAATGGGACTGATGAAGCACTTGCGGAGCTAAAGAACAAAAGGAATTACTCATTCTCACGAGCGTAACTACGATCTGTACGCTCTTTCGAGAAAGGCTGATGATAAGGTAAGAGATGATACAACACGCAAGTTAAAACCATGACACCAAGGAAAACTGTGTAAGCAGTGCCAAAACAGGGGAAAATCACTTAAAATAGGTCACACATTGGTCACATACCTACTGGATCTGTTGCAACCTTCCCTTCGGTCATGAAGGCCTTCGCAGACGCGTGAAGATTCCTCTTTAGAAGATAATCGTAGATGTAGACGTCAAGCCTAAACAGAAGTCACTCGGGTAGGACGAAGTGAGAGGAAAAAAAAACCAAAACAAAAGACAGAGAGAATAAGTTTGCTGAAACAGATATGTTAATGGTTGCATACATTTTATCCGCTTCCCAGCTTCCCTGCGCCATAGTCCTGCTCAACATCGATTGTGAGAAGATAAATAGGGAGAGGAATCTAATTGGCCCGGTATTTTCAGGAATGAAAAACGTTGGTGAATGCAATCAAAGTACATAACATCATCCAACTGACCTCGAAAAGTTTGAGCAGTGCCTGATCAAAGCCACATTACCAATACAGGACACCGAACCATCTCGATCTACACATATCGAATTCCGCCTCCACAAGCGGCAGCAGAAAACCGCCTGATTAAAACCACCGCATAAATCAGGCGTACGCAGCCTTCCCAACTAGGAAACTGTAACCTTTAAACAGAAAAAACTGAGCGCTTACCTCTTAATTTCCTCCACCTCCAGCGTCCGAAATCTGGGATCCTCTCGATTGCTTGGGGTTTCACCTCGATCAGAAGGGAGACGAAGCGGCCACAGTGTAATTGGCAAAAGAGGGCGAGGCCTGAGAATACCCGAGGCTGCTTCGCCAGGAAATCAAAAACTCCGAGCCAGAGGGACTGAAACCAGTCGAAGAACAGCTCGAGCTCCTCAATAATAGAATGCCCCAAGCCCTTCCCCTCCTCTCTCTCTATCGCTCTACCTCTCCTCCCCCTCACCGCCTTGGGGAATTACTTGTCCCCCGCCCCCCTTCCCCCACGATGTTTCGTTCGGAATACGAGGCTCAGCTTCGGAGTACGGACCTCATGGCTCGGGATGGCCAGCCGTCGGTTCGGGCTTCAGAGACCGGCCTAGAGGTTTGGACGGCTAGTGATTGGCCCACCACAGCTCGCTCGGTGGCCGGCCCGTGCGACCCGGTTCGGTCGGTTTAAACGCGCCGCTGAGGCTCCCACTCCCGTTGACATGGCGACTCCACGCGCAGAACAGGGACTCACTGCCTCTTTTGACTTTCTGGTCAATGAATAATGGGCGGACGGCATGTAGATATTTTCCGAAATAAGCCTCGAATAAGCCGTTTAATTAAATTAATGCCCAGCCACCGCATTAACATCCTCTCCGAGAAGGCCAGGCATTTGCGGTTCTCCCTTGGCCCACCGACACGTGTATGTTGTCGCTTAGGGCTGACACGTGTCACTTCGACGTCGAAAGCAATGGACCACCTATCTTTTGTGATTTATCGACACGTCACCTGGACGAGGAAAACTCCCAAGCGTACATCATGTCTCGGCTGAGGTGCGACTCGTAATGGGCCCATATGAGACCACCGGAGCCCATCAAAGATACTAAATCTGGCCCACCAATGTTCTTGTGTCAGAAAGGCTAGTAAAATCGGGGAAAGGTCAAACCTTCCCCACGTTTGGTCCCATTATTAGGGGAAAATCGGAGAAAGACGAGTAAACATGGGTCCCACTTTAATTAAAATTATCTTTGAATACAATAAACCCCTATGTTTAAACAAGTATTTATTTTTATGATCAAAGTTTCCTACCTATCTCTATTGACCTATGTTTTTAATGAGTTTTTCATGGGTGTATAACATGACCTCCTCTTTGTAAATGGGCAGAGACTTGGTTGGTTGTCAAAGCATTATTACTGACAAACAAATGCACATATTACAGGGGAAGATAAATGGAGAATGATTTATTACAGGGGGAATACTCCTCATTGAGCTATCTGAGACAATCAGTTCTCAATCTTCTCTCAGGAATACACTACATTGATCATGTCCCCTTACTCAAGTTTCGTCCCCAGACTTAGTGGGCCCTTGAATGTGGCTCAATTTCCCCACAAACCCATCTCCATCAGCCACCTTCATGATCCGCCTTTGATTGATCTACTGAAAGATGTGGTTGTCACAATTTATGAGGTTCCCTTCCAAGGAAGATTAGTTGATTGTGTGAGAAGCTCATCAATACCCCCTTAGTATTTACACCTTGTACACAAAGTTAAATTCTGACAATTGTTGATGTAAATGATCAATAGACTCCCACATGTTCTTAGAATCTTGAAGATTTTGTTAATTTTTGAGAACTTCAGCCTTGTGTAGCCCATGTCAAATGGTGAGAGTGTCATGTGCATGACCTAATAGAGGTCATCATCTAATAGTAAGATTTCTTGTTGATTGAGTGGAAGAGCTATGCTTGACTTTTCTTTAACTATGACACATGAGATATAAGGTGAACATAAGTTGTGGAAGGAAGACTCAAATAGTATGCATGACTGCAATACATTTCAAGAACTTAAATGGGTCAAAGAATCAAGGAGTGAGTTTCTCACGAGGTCAAGAAGCAAGGGACTTCAGGTAATAGAATTGAAGTTGTAGATAAACAAGATTGTCCATGATAAAATCAAGCCATTTTCCTTGGAAAGTGAAGAAGAAGAATAAAAGAACATAGAGAGAATAAAGATTGGGTAAAGGACTTCATCTAGGCTTAGGCTCAAAACAAGGTGAAGCTTGAGTTTATTGATAACGACATCTTACTCTTAGAGTTGAGAGTTCAAGTAGCTTTATCTTGTCAACGATAATTCATACTGAAGAAGTGTGAGGGATTCTTATCATAAATAATCCTGAAGGAGGTTATATTGATAGTTAAATGGAATATCATATTAAGACAAAATGCTACCTAAGTAATTAATTTAGATCATTGACGAGGGGGATCATTAGTGAAGCAACATAGATATGACTCAAGTCCTTGATTTACCACATTTGATTGGACGTTGGTATGTGGATGATATAAACTAATTTGATGTAAATCAATCTCTTGTAGTTTGAATAAATAATATCAAAATATATTCTTGAATATGTGATCTTAATCAATGATAATTGAGGCCAAAAACTCATGAAGGTGAATGATATCCTAAATGAAAACTTGGATCATATTGTGCAATGTGAATGGATATTGAAGAAGAAAAGAATAAGCATATTTGTTAAATTGACCTACATATACTAAAATTGCATTGTATCGATTTGATTTTAGTAAGACTTTCATAAAATCTATATTAACATTGTCATATCTTTTCTAGAATTAGTAGAGATTGAAGTAAACTTGTTGAAGAGATATTTTTTCATTTATTTATTTTACAAGTGAAACAAGAGGCAATAATATTATTTGATTATGGACTTCATGCTGATATAATGATATGTTGGTTAATACATTTGTAAGTATGCAAACAATAAAAATGCCTATTGAGATTTCAATTTTTTTTTGAGAATAAGGATCCCCTAAAATAAAATAATTAGGGAGTGAGAGATAAATTTGTAATAATACAAGATAGATATAGGTATGACAATTTTTCTTGTTGAATAATGTCCACATCTAAGAGTTTGAGCTTAGATAATAAGAAGGATGGATGGAAATCATTGCGAGCTTCTTAGAAGAGACACTAGTTGCTTTATTTTCAGCTCCAAGATTTCTAATCAAATGCCTAGAAGTTTGTATCAAATTTTAAAGTCAAAACATAAGATCTTTGAGAGTCATTTTTTATATTTGGGAAACACCTATAGTTGCTCTATAATGATTTGAGAGTGTGATGTTCAGTAAATGTAATACATTTATGCCACAATAAATAACATGCTCATTTAAAAACTACATGAATAATGACCATAAGTTTTAGTTCATAATCTATTTTGAATTTTCTGATAAAGGATAAAAATATTGTAGAAAATAATGGGTCAACAATGTTGCATAATAATGGCATCAGCACGTCTTTGTGACGTATTCATATATAGTTTTAAAGGTTGTGAGAAATTCTGAAGAATGAAAAATAGAGTTGTAATTTCAACTGTTGGAAGCTTGTTTTCTGATGTCATAATTCTAATTAAAAGTATTATATTTTAATTCTGACCCTTTCAACTTTAGATTATGACCCCTTGTGTCAAAACTCAATGGTTGAGGTAGATAATATTTGGTCGTCTGAAGGATTTTTTTTTTAAATGATATGTAAATAATATTTTTTGCTGATAATAAAGATGTATAAATTTCATGTTTTGAATGTCAAAATTTTAGTTAAAAATGTCATCGAAGAAAATCAGGATGAATTTGCATATAAATATTTACTTCATATGAAATGGATGCATTTTGATATTAGAAATGTAAGCCAAACTACCGTAAAAGAAAATGAACATTACTTTATTAATATATTCCTCTAAAATTATATTCTTAAAAGTTGGGAAGGTTTTTAGAGCATTTGCAATATCAAAAGTTGTGACAAATAATTCATAATGCCCTTCATGTACATAGAAATCTATTTTTAGAATATCTTCTACTATTATTTGACTTTGATGTTATCACAATCGAAAAATTAATTTGAAGAAGATTGTTGCTATGTATAGTTCATCTAATAGTTATTTGATGATAAGAAGATGAAATCAATTTGGGACTATATCTTTATTAAGAACTCTATAATACATATATAATTACTAGTTATCATCTCTTTTTCTCACCGATAGGACGAGGCTGGAATAAGGGTTGGTTGAATATTAGATAATCCTAGCTGATAGGATATCAGTGAGCAAGCCTTCAATTTTCATTTCTTGAAAATACAGGTTGAGAAAAGGCTAAATATTGACTAATTTTGTGCTATGCTCCAACATGATAACATGACCAATTTCCCATGACAAAGGCAATCTAAAAGTCAAGACATATGATTATGGATATTGAGTCTCACTCGTAGCTTGAAATCCATGTTGCCAGGTATTTCTTCTTGTGAGGGCTAAAATAATTAAAATTATTTCATTACCTTCACCAAGATCTTCTAATAATTGAAATGTCTTGTGATGTCAGACATTGACATGCAAAGTCATTCATTATGACCTATAAAAAGAAAGAGAGTGCCCATATAGCAAAAGTTACTTTAATTTATTTTGGGATTAATTTTTTAATCCCAAGATGATACCACATCGTGACAAGTGATACAATGACTAGATATTTATGAAAAAATATTTTTTGAAGGTCAATTGTGATGCCATTACATAATCTTTTATAGTAATCTCCTTGACAGTTCCCATGATAACTTGATATTGAGGGTTGGAAGAAATTGGTGGACTAAATTAGTAGATAAACAATGAGAAGTTTCACGGTGTCATTGATTTTTGTCTTATAATTTTATGGGCTTTAATTATATAAATTGAAATAAGGAATTTTTTTTGGAAAGTAAGATAGATGGGATAAAGTGGGAGAAGTACGGATTCTAGAGGAGTCCTTCTCGTTGACCTATTGCTAGTGGGCCCTTGAACTGGCCCACTTCCCCCAGCCCACGTTTGTCAGCCGTCTTCACGATCTGCCTTTGACTGGTCTGCTGAAAGACGTGGCTGACATGATCTCTCTGATCCACTTCTAACGTGGATGGGCTGGTCATGTCAGGATCTCATTAGTGTGATACATAAATGGACCAGCACAAGAGCCTAGCCCATCGAACAAGAGTCTTCTGCTCTGACAGCCCCTAATGTTTACATCAGTCCAATCTTCACAGTCGGTCCATTTACGTCTCGTCTGCAATCTACCCTATAAATACTGCAGCGCACCCCCGTCCGAAAGGAGTCGCCGGTCTGGACTTCGCAATGGACGGCAACGGAGTCGGAGAGAAGTCATCGACGGCTGGCGACACGGAACCGTCGTCCTCCGATGGCCTAGAATCGGGGGAGCCGGCGTCTCCATCGGACCCCGCCGAGTCCTTCGACTCGTTCGAATGCTGCGTTTGCTTGTAAGATTCGAACGTTTCGACGCTCTCTGTAAATATATACATGGTTATACACGATTATACATATCGCTTGGGTTCCTTCTACCTGTATTTCCTCCCGCTGGGAGACTTATTTTTATTTGACTTTATCGAATGGTAGTTTTGCGTTAGGAGAAGGGAATTTCACTTATTTTCCCTTTCAGGGTATTTCCATCCTCTTTGATTATATTTAAATCGTTTTTCTCGTTTCCAGAGTTTCCTTCGTCGGTCGAGTAGATTGTGCATTCCTTTGTTATTGAGGCCCCGAGCACTCAGTCTTCTTCGCCTTTGATCGTGGTAAAACTATTCCCTAGACGTTGATTTTGTTGATGTATTCAGAGGCTGTGGTCTCAGGTTATTGGTCTCATTTGGAAACATGGATATGAAACATTTTCTTCATACCCTTCAATGTTATTGAGGAGAAAGTCAAATTAAAAACAAACAAGGTAGATGTCTGATTCGCTCAGTGCTCACTACAATGATTCGTTTCTGATCTAGTTTTATGTCAAAGGAAGTAAACTAAACTGAAATTGATCTCATCTAAAAATGAGACGTTGCAAATGATTATTTTTAATTAACTCTAAGAAGCAAGAACTATATCATAGGCACTGGATTTTTTATGAGCATTTTTTACAAGATGGCCCAGAATGCAAAACTGCTTGTTAATATTGTTCCAATACTTGGCTTGGGTGGCCCTTTTTTTAACAATCAGCAATACTCAAATGCCCTGAAGAAACTAATTTTTTTTATCAAAATAAGTTATATGAATTGTGCGTATAAATTTCATCCAGGATTCTTACAGACTGACTCTTTTCTAATTTGTCTGTCTCTGGGGTTTCCTAATTTCCTAATTTCGAGAAATCATCTGTGATCCGTTCATGACCCATGATAGTTCATGAAGGCTCGGGGTGCCGAAAACCAGGCAGATCATAGCTCCACTCATTCTTTTATTGTACGAATCACACGTGTGGCATTCATTGGTTCTTTCTCTTTTTATCCATATCTTTACGGGCTCTTTAATACACTAGTTCGTTGTGATCATCCAAGCATTGCTTGAATTTAGTAAGTCAGATAGATGCTTCTGCAGTTGCTCTCGGGACTCCACTATGTTGACAATGTGCTCATTTTCTTGGGCCATATTCACGAGCAAGATATCATTTTGAGCCTTATACTACTAACTCCAGGACCTATCATTCTATTAACTTTCCAAGATTGAAGTCAAAATAAATGTGACACCATGGTCTAAACAATAGCTGCGTATTAAATTTTAATTAAATAGCTCTGGTAACTGCTTATTCAGAAGAGAAAACAAATGCACACAACTACCTGCTTAATGTCTTTTGGCTTATTAACTTAAGTTACCCCTTTTTTTTTTCTCTTTGCTTTAATAACCGCAGTTCCTCCCTGTGGTACTGGTTCATCACGTTCCTCTCTCTCTCTCGCTCTCTCTTGCTACAATTTAGTAAATGCTTGGTTCTGCAGAAGACAGTGGACCTCATCCCTAATAGCATGGACATTTAGGAGCTAGAAAAAGTGCTACTTGTGAACGAGATTTTTGTACCAAATTCAGTTGTTCACATTGCTTGGCGGTCATGCATCGATTTTCCTTTCTGTTTTATTGAGACATTCTCATTCATAGCAACATAAGTTTTCATCTGAAAAAGAAAAGAATTATTTCTTGATGACGTCGTCCATACTTTTGCTATTTGCTCTGCAGCTTCTTACCAATGTTGTCATCCTTTCGTTTCTTATTTTTTATTGTTTTTTTTTCTTGATTTTAAGTAAATTTCGATGCCTGCTACACTGTCCTTGAGAGATATCTCGGCTTATCTAAGTGCTTGCCTTTTGTTTCAGGGATCTCATCTATAAGCCAGTCGTTATTGGTGAGAACTGTCTGTAGTGCTTCGAATTGTGAATATCTGATAAAGATGTCATTTGAGTGATTCACTTAGGGCCGTTCCTCTCTTCTATGTTGCAGTTTGTGGCCACATTTCCTGCTTTTGGTGTATCCACTATGCCATGGACGGTGTCAAGGAATCCCACTGCCCCATCTGTAGGAAGGCATACAAATATTTTCCTGCTATCTGCCAACTGCTCCATAATCTTCTCCGGAAATCAAAACCAGCAGATTACAAGAGGAGGGAAGAAGAAGTGCTCAGTGAGCTCTCAGAATCCAGAGATTTAAACGAATATACTGCACGAATATTTAATTTTATGCGAAAATGATTTGTTTTATGTGGTTTTATTTTGTCTTGATTACTAATTTGGTCGTTTTAATTGCCGTGAATGGACAAAATGGATCACTTATTTCTCAACGCATTTCACTTTCAGAGATGCTCTGCCTTCTGAATTACGGATAAATCCATTAAATCAAGCCATACGACCAAATTTAGGCTCTTCTTATGATGAAAATTCTGTTCTATTCCTCAAATGTGGAGGATGAGAAAAGGATTTGACTAGAAAGAAATAGATTTTCTGACTAATTGACCATATTGAGGGAGAGTAGAATGTTTTCACGAGATGGCCGTGTAAATTTTGGTTCTTGAACGGGATCTTTGTTGTTGCATCACTCTACTCTGACACCAGCTTGCTTGTACTCATCCCTTACCGGTCACATAATATTCCTTTATTATAGCATATTTAGCGATAAAAAAAAACATATCTCTTTGGATGGAGTTACTCAACTGCGAGCTCCTGGATGAAGGCTCCTGTCGATCGAAGGCCACCTCCTTTTAGAAGGAAAAAACACTCAAGAAACCCAGTTGCCTATTGTAGCTTAACATGTGTGTCGGTTGCTTGATTTCATGGTCAGTGTTTTATTTTTTGCAAAATTTGGATACCAATCCTTTCTAGATCAGCTAACATCAGAAGACACTTTGCAACTGGTTTTATTGTTTCCACTTTTAGTATATTTCAGCACCACCCTTCTTATGCTCTGAACTTACCTCATTGTATCATCCCTCAGGAATAGAAAGGGAGAAAAACTGTTTCTCTCAGTTTATCGAGGATGCTCCCTGCCGTAAGTAGCAATTCTCTCTCTCTCTCTCTCTCTCTCTCTCTCTCTCTCTCTCTCTCTCTCTCTCTCTTTCTATTCCATCTCTTTTCTGTGCCTTGTTCGTCTCTAATTTCCATAAATTTTTGAGGGGCTTCTCTTGTGGAGGAAAGTGCCGCTGACTTTGTACATTTGCCGCCGTTTCCAGGCGCGAACGGAGAGTCCCCACGAGATGACCTCAGCGGAGAAGCCTCCACAAAACTTTCTATTTCTGATGCTCTCTGCGCCGGTTGTGGACAGTTGCTCTTCCGCCCCACAGTCCTCAACTGTGGACACAGTGAGACCTCCTCATTCCCGCCACTGTCGATCCCATCCGGGTCCCCTCTGCTCATCCTTCCCTCCGTGCTCTTCGACTCCCAGCCTACTGTGAGCCGTGTGTTGTGAGCCTGGGGAGAGCGCCTCTCAGATGCCGAGTCTGCCAGGGAGTGCACCCCGGGGAGCCGCCGCAGGTTTGCCTCCATCTGGATGCTTTCTTGGAGAACCAATTCCCCGATGAGTATGCCTCTAGAAGAGCATTTCTCCAAGCCAGACTCCCTTCTAGTAAGCAATCTCTCTCTCTCTCTCTCCAAACTCTAGAATTTGCATGTGCCTTAGCGTGGGAGGTTAGAGAGAGAGAGAGAGAGACTGCGAAAACAATTTTTTGAGGGAGTAATTTGGGAACAATTTGGCCCCAAAGGTATGATTTATGGTGTAAATTTATTGGGCTAGTGCCAGACGGATTCATTTACTAATGATAATCATCGAAAATTATATTTTATGTTAATGTGATCCCAGGTGCCTCACAAGCTGAGCAACCCGTCGGGCCCTCCAAGCAGGAGGACTCACAGCCTGCGTCCACGGAGCAGGTGCTTATGCTTCATTACAATGTCGGATGCGACTCGTGCGGGGTGAGCCCTCCTATCCTCTTGAGATAATCCATCATTCTTCGCCCTCCTGAACTCACTTGGGCTGTGCGGTTGCTCCCTCCCTGCTTGCAGATGTACCCCATACTTGGGAAGCGGTACAAGTGCACGGACTGCCAGGACGAGATAGGCTTCGACCTCTGCGAGGCCTGCTACGAGGCCCGCTCTAACTTCCCTTCCCGCTTCAACCAGCGGCACACCCCCGGCCACGCCTTCGTGCTGGACGACTCCCATATGTTCGTGGTGCGGCGGCCCTGACTGGGGTCCGACGGCGCCGCCCAAGTTCTCCGCGGGTGAGCGGACCGGCTCTCTGAAAGAGCTAGAGGTCTTTGAAGGCGTGCTTACGACGGTACGTGAGTATTTTTCGCAGGCGTCAATGGGCCGGTGCAGTCAAAGCCGGGCCCATTTACATTGTAGGCAAGAGAACTGGTGGCCTGATCATTTTCCCACGTGGCTTCGTGATCCTGACACGGTCTCGTGCTGTCAACAGGCCGCGTCATCAGCCGCTCTGAAAAGGACAACGATTGGCCCGACGGTTCGACACGTGGATGCCGCGCCGACATGATGATTTCTGGGGAAGAACGACGTGGGGCAGTCATTCCGCCAGCTTTTTAGGACGGCTGGTCGGGTCTATCTCGCAGAATCCGATCACCGTTACAGCTAGTTCTCTCGGACCCGGGAAGGATCCGACGGCCATGTGGGCTTCTTCGTTTGAATGGGCCATTCCCCATTGCCATTCGGCTTATCGTGCTGCGGGCAGGTTCTTCTACCGAGTAGAGAGAGAGAGATGGCAAAGGGTGGATCCTTTCAGAAGGGCAGACGCCACGGGTCGCCGTTAGGGAAGGCTGCACCGGATTTGCCCATTCGAGTGGAAAGGTCGCAACATCGGCGCTGAAGGCAAAATCCGGTGTTTCGCCGCGCCTCTTCCCTCCCCCAATAGTCTTCTTCGTGCATCTTCTGCTGCTGCTGCTGCTGCTGCTGCTGCTGTTCTGCGTCTTCTCCATCCACTGCCCCCGCAGTCTGTCTGTCGGTCTCTCTCTCTCCCTCCCTTCTCTCAGCGGGTGGCATCCCGAACATCACGAATATACTGTTAGCCCCGTAATTGCCGAGAGATCCAATATAGTAACATCCATCGTCTTTCTGTGAGGCGGACCGTACGGATATCATGAACATTGTGCCAATTAAGAATGACTGCTGGTGGGGGTGGGGGTGGGGGTGGGGTTGGGGAAGGGGAAGGGGGGGGCGGAATCCGAAGCTCGAGGCTGTCCTCTTCTTCCGTGGTAAAGAACAAAAAAACTTGAACTTTCGAACGCGGCCCGCAGGAAGCCCTCTTCCCGGCCCGAGAGAAGAGGGGGAGCGCCAGACCGCACTCGGCTTGGGCAACTAAGCACCGTGGTATGATTAAAGGCAGATTCGTTCTGCAAGCCTTAGTGGGAAGACGATGAGGCCAGCGGCAGACATCACATCAAACACACAGTGGAATGAGAGAGAGAAAGGGAGGGGTGAGAGTGAATGAGGCCCGGCATCGAGGGAGCCCACGTGTGAGAGTGCTTGATTATTGAAAGGAAAATGGGTACATACCTGGCGATCACGAATGGATGAACATGAGCAGCCAGCACCTTTATATTCCTCTCCTCGTTTCTGTTTATTTACCGCGGATAACGACCCTCCGGCTGCTGCAAGAACCCATGTCTGAAGCCCTCACAGTACCGATCCTCTGAATTCTCTCTCTCTGTCTCTCTCAGAGGGAGGGTGATAATTGCCGGTAGAAAGAGGATATAACTTGGGATTTCATTTATGCTTCGCATTGAGAGAGAATGATGGCTGCAAGCTACTTGACGGGCTCTTGACATCTATCCCCGTTGGCGATCGGTGTTTCACCTGCGTACCTTACCGGGTTTGGAAGTTAGCAACAGGGATGACTGCAGGCTGCTGCCATCTCTCCTCTTCTCTGTCTCCTCCATGGGCATCTTCTCTTCACCTTTCCCGTGGTCGAAAAGGCAACAACACCCACAGTATTTTCTCCATCACTCTCTCTCATTTGTTTTGAAATGGCAGAAAAACCTTGTCACTAGGAGACAGGATGGTCGATCCCATCGTCTTTAATCTCGTCCTGCCGGTCGGTGCGCATTATCAAGGCATCGTACAGCACCGAGAAAAGAAAATTAGGAACAGAGTTGGAGGATGATACCTACTCCGGGGGGCCGTCCGTCAAAGGATGTGATGGGATCCCATAGTTAATTCAGAAATGGTAGGCCACGTGGATCTCAGAAATCACGAAGCCATAGAACATCCATCTATCTGCTCCCCACCTTGCGTGGTCCCCTGGACCCCCAAAGATCTGATGATCGAACGGCTGCTCCAGCGCTCACTTTAAGGCAGACGTACGGCAAGTGGAGTCTAGGGTTTCTTCCGGTGGAGGATGCGGGTGTCTGACCTTTCCAGGGGCGCGCCACCGACGGACGGGTTGGAGAGAGCTTCATACTCCATTGGGATCTGGACTCGCCATCCGCGGTTTGCGACGCGGTGAACAGTGGCTGTGACACCAGCCGCCTGTCTGACGTGGGGAACTAGGAATTGCTTGCTGCGGGGATCGACAGAGATGAACAGCAGCCAATGCAGAGGATTTCTACTAGACCAGAGTCAACGAATCCGTAGGTGGAGTTATGATTGGCAGGGCTTGGCCACGGCAGACGTTGACGCCGGGTCTGATTCACCGCATGGTCCGCAGCCTCAGTGGCTTAACTACGACAGATCTCATCAATGCCTACCGAATTCTGACAATGATTAGAAACTAAAGACGATTACAAGCCGTAAACCCTAAACCATCGAAGATTTCGGCTCTTTACCTCCCGAATCTCCTCTCAGAACCTGGTCGAGAGGGACTGATGGAACGAAATGATCGCCTACGGCACCCGTTTGGCTTCTGCTCTCCGTGCCGCCCGCGCCACCCCGTCTCCATTCTTGGCTTCTTCTCCAACAAGAGCTCCTCCGGCGGGATTCTCTCGGTGGGAACAGCCACAACAGCAGCATTTCTTCCTTCTTCTTTAGTGTTCAGCTTGCAGAGCCCTGTAACGGGCTTTCCTCTGGTTACTGTTTCATCTCCCTGTTTAGGCATCTCGAAGAGAGAGAGAGAGAGAGAGAGAGAGAGAGAGAGGAAATCGTGGTCGTCAATTTTAAACGAGTTTTGGCGGGAAGAGCCAGATCGACCAAAATATATCCCAATAAATTTTCCCGCATAATTGTCATCGCGGACGGCGGGTGCCGAGGTGTCCGTCGGGCGGTGCGCTCACTTTTGCTTGTTCCGACGGCGCGCGATCGAGAAACAACCTCGCTTGCTAAACCCCTTTATTAATTGTGCCGTCGGGCGGGGAAGAGGGGGGGACGGTAACTGCACCGTCGGAACTCTCAACCCACCCTTGTCCCTTCTTTTCCCGCCAAGTTTTGAACCCAGGGGGTAGCGGCCCCAGGGGGTCTCACTGCACATGCGGGGACTGCGGCCAGGGAGGATTTTCCCGCTAAATTTCGAGCGGGAGAGAGTGGGGACCGCCACGACCCAAAAATGGAAACGTCCGGCTGCGCAGACCCTCGAATCGGAGGCTCTAGAGAACCACGTGGGACCGTCTCGGAATGCGCGACTCATACGGAGATCCATTAACGAACCACTAGCCCGAACCAGGGCCGGGGCCCACCGTCCTCTGCCCAACCTGAAGAAATCCCATCCGGAAAAAACCCATGTTCATACCATACACTTCCCCTACCATCTTCCTCCCTCCCTCCTTCCCTTCTTTCTCTACCCATCTCTCTCTCTCTCTCTCTCTCTCTCTCTCTCTCTCTCTCGTGTCTCTGGAGCGAGCACCTGGAAGAAGTCAGTCGCCGAAAGTCCACAGAGTGATGTCCCGTCGGAAGGCGGATCCAAGGGGCCCCGAGGCAGGAAGGTATGGCTAATGTCCTCAGTTGAATTTCCTCCACTGTTTATGGTAGAAGCAGTTCACTGGTTCCTAGTTCTTTGATATCGATGAGGACAAATTCTGAAAAAATCGCCGTTGATCGTAAAGCCGACCGGTTGCGGCGAGGACGGAGGGTCGGCGGGGAGGAGGACGTCGACGATGAAACGGCGGCGCCGCTTCCGTCGACGTTCTCTCACTTCCTTGCCGACGTTCCAATCAATGATAACTGTGGAAGTCCCTGTTCGCTCCACCGCCATGAACAAAATTTAAATGTAGAGAGAGAAAGTGCGCCTGGCGGAGGGGAGGATTGAGGAGAGAGAGTGCAGGCGTGTGTGTTCGTGCGGTCTGCGAGAACCAGCCGACGCGCTTTCCACTTGTCCCCTTCCTGGAGCGGTATCCGATGTGCCGTCCCCTCTCGGCCGCGCCTTCCCTCGCCGCACCGCCGTGATCATCTCCTTCTCGTATCGCGAGAATATGGCGGGCCATCGGCTGGCGTCGGCAGCACGGCAGCGGAACCCCGAGGCCACCATCTGGTCGACGGATTGGCTGCCCCCAGTGGTCCCGATCTTTGAATCGTCGTAGATTACGAACATTCTCAGAATAAGGAAAAAAAAATCTGGGTGAATCATTTCGTGCCATCTGACGAAGGGCTCCGTCACTCCATCATCAGGTCCCTCCCTGCTTCCGTGATTTCAATGAAATAAGGACGAATTTCTTGGTGAGATTTGGTTTGACTCGAAGAGGCTCGTGCTAGTGAGATCTTTACATTCCGGCTTATTTGCTGCTTTTTTTTTCTTCTGAGCCTCGCTCTCTGCACTGTCTCCTTTTATTTATCTATTTTTTAAATATTTTCGTATGATACGGAAGAATATTGTCTAACTTTCTCTCTCATCTCTCCCGTACAGAGGAAGCGGCGGTTGCAGTTCTCATTTTGTCACCAAAATATCACGCGATTCATTGAACTGGTGGTGATCCCCAGCTTCTCACTGCCCATACCAGGCGGTCCTCCAAGACACCTAAACCCCTCTCTCTTCACTTTCCCTCCGACCCACCCCCACCCTCGCCCTTCTTCCTTGCGCTCATCCCTCGCCGGGGCATGCAGATACGCCGGTTCCCCACCCCCTTCTCCGCTTCCTACTCATTCTCGAAGCCTCCGCCTCTCCTCTGTACTTCTCCAGGGGGTGCCCTCCTTCCACCCTGGTCCCTGTGTCGGGTTGCCTGGTTCCCTTACTCCCCACATCTCGCTCTTTCCTCTCCTTTCATCTCTCTCCCCATCTTCCCGTCTTCCTTCCTTCCGACACCCTGGTCTCCGGGACTTTGACTTTCTCTTTACGTTCTTGATTTCGGGTCCCCGGGGGGCGCCTCGCCTTCCCTTTCTCTCGACTTTCGCTCTCGGGTGGGTATCTCCTCTCGCCTCGCCCCCCAGGTTCCCCTCCTGATATCCTCCCTCTCTCCTTTCTCGCTCCGGTTCCTTTATTACCACCTTTCTTCACGTCCCTTTTTCCGCCTTCGCGTCCTCTCTCTGTTCTCGCTCTGATCTTCCTTCTTCGTCTACCGTCCTCCCTCACGTTCACAAACGGGAAGATTGGCGGCCTTGATTTGAACTCCTCGTTCCCCCCCATATTCATCTTACGCATGGGGAAATACATAAAGAAGGGAAAGATCGCGGGCGAGGTCGCCGTCATGGAGGTCTCGCACCAGTCCTCACTCGGCGTCCGCACCAGGGCCAGAACCTTGGCTCTCCAGCGACTTCAAAGGGCCTCTTCTCCAACCCCCTCCCCCTCCACGGCGGCCGAGAACGACGACGGCTCCTACCTCCAACTCCGAAGCAGGAGGCTGGAGAAGGCTCTGGTCGCGGCAACCAGAACCAAGGAGAAGGACAGCTTCAAGGACGGCTCCAAGCCGGGCAACCCAGGGAAAACATCCCCCGACCCAGCAAGCACTAGGCCCAGGTTATCAGCTTGCTCCGCGAATTCTGTGCCCGCGACGAAGGGCTGCACGCAGAATAGTACGAGAGGGTGGGAGGAACTGGAGGCGGAGGCATCGCCGGACAACGACGGCGTCGAGGCGTCATCCGGGGAAAATGTCCTGGAATTCGACCCTCAAGACCGGTGAGTTTCGTTTTTTTCATTTCGCCATGTATTATGAATATAATTAGCCCTAAATTTCGGTGAGGGAATGAGCCTTTACCCCGCTGACATCGTTCCGGTTCCCCGGCCATCTGCTTAAGTTTTAACTGATTTCCGACATCTCTCTTATGTTTCCTCTCCTTGTAAGACCTTATCACACCTTTTGGTTCTTCGAATCTTCCTTTTTTTCTTCTGATTTTGTCTACAAGAATTTTTTCTCCCAGACTCTTAACTGAATCATTTCTCTTTTGGGTTGCGGTTTAAAGCTCTTCTATTCGTGATTTTGCCCCTTTTCTCTTCTGTCTTTTATTTATCCATCGTCTCTCTTTCTCTCTCTCCCCCTCTCTCACAGAACCAATTAAATATATGCATGTAGATTTTTGTATGTTATCTCTGGCGAACGGGTTCCTGGTTCATCTTTTCCTTTGTTTCGATTCTGGACGGTGACTCCCTTAGTGGATTACGGTCGCATTTTCTCCGTTTTGATAAGCCCGAGTATTGGTCTCCACCCTAAGTATCTTGCATACTCTTTTTTTTTTCCGAGTGTCGTCATCGACAGAGCATCCCTGTCTGCATCGCTCTTCGAGATCATCGTTTTCGGATCAAAGTTGGCCTATTTCTTTGGTTTACTCATCCTATTTCTTACCGTTGAGATTGGTCGGGCGGACTAGTCGGGTTTTTCATTGCAAGTGGGTTTGAATATCTCGTCATGGAATGGACCTTCCACTCTGTTTCTCCGGCATAAGCCTTCTTGGATTCACCGAATCCGGGAGCGGTTTACTGCGTGGAAATAGGAAATGGGTCACTTCAACGATGCTTAGATACAAAGCCCTTTCCGAGTTTTCATCAGAGAATGCTCTTTCTAGAAACCCAGGTCGGATTTTGAAGCAAGGACGGGTCTAGAAACTCACTTTTGTAACTTCTGAAATGCCCTGTACTTGGGTTTGACTCTTTCTCCAGCCGAGCTTGCATCAGATATGGTGGACCTTTCTCCCATCATTGGCAGAAATCGTGAAGAGATTTTGGCCAGGCGGCGGAGATCGATCGTATTTGGTCAGTCAAAATCTCTCTGATGGAATAATCTAAATTTTCTACCTTTGCAGGAGCGCCAGGGAGACGACGCCTTGCAGCAGCTTCATCAGGGATTCGGAGGCGGCGGGCACGCCGGGCTCTACCACGAGGCGGAGGACCACACCTGCCGCGAGGCAGCGCGCGACGCGCAGGAGCATTCCCACCTCCGAGATGGAAGAATTCTTCGCAGGCGCCGAGCAATGGCAGCAGAGAATATTCACGGATAAGTACGTCTCTTCTTCGCCTCCTCCGTATTCTTCTCCTGTTCCTCTTACTTCTCTTCGCTGGTTTTCTCATATTCTCCGTGGGATTCTTCCCTTGTCTCGCCGCAGGTACAACTTCGATCCGGTGAATGATTGCCCCCTCCCCGGTCGATACGAGTGGGTGAGGCTGGATTCGTAGAAGCGACACCGCCCCTCATCCATCCCCCCCCGATGCCCTGCTCCCTTCCGGGTTTCCTTTCCTCTTTCGGAAGGTGGTGGAGCACCGGGAGCCGCCCATCGACCCGGCTCTGCCCGTGGGAGACCCCTCGCCTTCCGCCTGATTTCAGAGGGTCGCAGGGCCTGGTGGCGGGGTCAGGAGCAGCAACCCTAATGAACGGCTCCGCTGAAGAACACAACCGGCGGGAGATCTCCCAAAAGCCCAGAAGCATATGGCCTCCAATCCCCCCTGATAGTTCCTAGTAGATGCTTCATGCTATGTACTTTCCCGCGTCTGTCTATGACCAGATGACGATGACAGCCATCACCCACGTTGCTCTCTCTCTCTCTTTCTCTCTCTACCATTTGTTCCATCACCCACGCCATGCGTCTGGTTTGTTTCATTCAATGGGAAATCAGTGAGAGATATGCGGTCGGCGTCATGGCGGACGGCATTCCGAGAAAGGGTTGAGATTAAAAAAAAGGAAAGGGGGGTGGGGGTAAAGTAAGGCCTTTTTCGTAAAAGGCGCTGGCGTCAGAGGCGGGAAAAAAGGGCGGGAATCGGATTCGAAAACGGCTATGCTCTGAGGGTCGTGCCGTGTGGGGCCCAAAGTTGCCACACAGAGCACGCAAGACCTCTGCTGTTTTACGACTCGTTTGATTGCTGTCTAAAAATTAATGCGATCATTAAAAAATACAATCTGCTATTTATCATTTTTTTATAAATTATTTTAGTGTTGAGGTACGGGGAAACGGAAAATCGGGAGATCAGGAGCCCTTGTCCGGGTGAGGAGCGATCATCGGCCTGGTCATCGCGCTGTTGGACGACTCTGCCTCCGCCGTTGTCGCCGCGGCGGCGGCGGCGGCGGCTCCGTTCGCTCTACTCGCAACTGCCAAGAGGAGACCCAGACGGCTGGCGGCTATGCCGACGCCACTGACTGCCAAGAGGAGGTCAACTAGGGCCAACCCCCGCAGGCGGTCCTCCTCCAGCTCGCACACCAGCGCAGCCGCCGGCAGTCGCAACGCCGCCTCCTGGCTGGCGGCGGCGAGGGCGGCAGCCTTTTGGAGGGAGCTCGAAGAGGAGCCACGTGGCTCCTCTTCGAGAGAACCACGTCTGTGGCGAACCGCCAGCGCCAGGCAAGAGGCTGCGCACGTGAGCGTCAGGGAGAAGAGTAGGCCGTAGAAGCGGACCTCGATGGCCCCCCCCAATTCGTCTCCGCCGGCGGCGGCGGCGCCGGTGAGGAAGAGAGCTCGGCAAGGAAGACGTCAGAAGCGAGGACGAAGACAAGCTCGCTTGCGAATGAGATGGAAGCCGGGGCGAGGAACGAGTGGCGGAGGAAAATTGTCAGGAGGAGGATCCACGAGGGAGAGCACGGAGAAGGCGGCGATCGGCAGGACCACGAGAAGGTCACAGAGGTGGAAGTTATTCAGCAGGAGGAGCCGCCGGTGGTGTGATGGAGCCCCGAGGACCGCGGTGAAAATGAGAGGGTGGAATGTAACGGGGAATGGACTGCAGCAGGCATCCTTAATTCAGAAAACAGAGGAATAAATAAGAGAGAGAGAGAGAGAGAGAGAGAGAGAGAGAGAGAACAGATGAGAGGATATAGGAAAGGGATCCAGAGGATCCTCCCGAGAGTGTCGATTAAACTCCTATTGTCCAACTGCTTCCATGTTTTGTCTTAGCTTGAACGGGCCGTCCTCTACGTCGCCTTCTCCGGGCCTAAATGGCCATTATCATTCAACTGGTCTGTGGTCTCCCGCTGACTATCAAGATCCTTTCTATGTGCTAGTTGAGATCTCCTCCCACGTGAGTGAGGGGTCTGAGGTGAATTACTCAACAATAATCTCTCCTATGAGAATTATTGTCCTCAAGGTAAAAGTTGGGGAACTATTGATATATGATACAAACTGATTCTTATGTTGACTTCAAGATGGGTTGCACTTACCATCTGATGGGAACTTCAGTCCTTGCCAATCCATGATAGATAGCTAAAACTTAGGACGATTGCATGCCTCTAATAAAGGCTTCATTTAGTTTTAGAGGCTTTGTGGGCGTTGAGGTGTCTGACTTCTTAAGTTGAAACATGTGGGCAAAAGATCTAGTTAATAAGCCATTGACCTAATACATGTTAGGCCAATTAGTGCTGACTTTAAAGTGGGTTACTCTTAGCATTTGATGAGAACTTTGGGCCTTGGCAGCCTATGACAAAAAACTAAAATTCAAATGGTTGCACAACTCAAGTAGGCTATTTATTCTGTTTTAGAGGCTTGATTGACTTTACAGAATTTGAGGTGTCCACCTTCTTAAGTTGCGAGACAAAATACCAAGTGGACACTAGATGTGGGTACAAGATGCAATTGATAAGTCACTAGGTCAATCACTCTTGGGCCAACTTCTTGTAAGGTCTCATCATAAGGGACTTGTGTTGATATAGGTGGAGATGAGGTAGATGAGGTATCTTTACTTGAATTCAAGGTCTTATCTTTTGTGATCAATGTGTACCTTCATATAAGCCTAAGCCTTGGCCAAGTGCTACTTTAGATGGTCGAGGTTGTATCTTATTCCTAGAGTAGCTAGTTAAATTATTATACTAGAGGAGGGTAGGTGAATCACTCCTATATATGACTTTGATGGCAATGACCTTGTAGAAAAAGTAAAATTGATGTTAAATAATAACTTGACTTACATCACATAATTGCTTCGTTGGCACATGTACTCATTGGCAAAGCAACAAACTTAAGTTTATATAATATCTGATTAACCTCTTTGAATTAACCATCAACTTTTGCGTGGTAGAAGTTGGTCTAATAGAATTCATTCCTTATAGCCTGAAGAATCCCTTCTAAAAAATATTCATAAATATTCAATCTTGATCAAAGACTATGGATTTTGGAAACTTACAAAGGTAGATGATATCTCAGATAAAAATCAAAGCTACATTATTTGTAATAAATGGGTGTTGATAGAAGAAAAAAAAGAGTGTATTTACTGAGTTCATCTACCATGATCATAATCAAGTTAAATATATTTGAATTAGGTAAGTTTATGATGAAATCTATCATGAGATTAACCTAGATTTTCTCTAGAATTATGAGATGAAGTAGTATGGTAGGGGAGAGGGACTTGAACTTACTTTTCTATTTGGTAAAGTAAGCAACTTTATATCTCTTGATGCAGTCTTTTATACCTCTTCATTAATATTTTGGCCAATCTTGAGGTAAGTCTATAGAAATCATGTTGGTGAGTAGTGAAACTTTTGTAAAAGTCATGGGATCAATGATTTGTTTTTGGAGATTAGTAATCAATCAGAGTGGAACATGTGGCTTTTCAATAATAAATTTTGAAAATAATTCTCCAGATGTTGAGGGAGTTGATTAACAACCTGCTAAGAATCCAAAGTAATTAATTTTGGTCAAGATAATTCTTTTATTGGCAGCTATATATTGTCTATAGTTATTGATGTGACATCAATAGATTTGTTTTTTGCTCTTGCCTTGTATTTAATTTCAAAATCCATACTGATCAGTTTTTAGAGCCACTTTTGATATTTGGACAAGACTTGATGTTATTATTAAGTAAACTTTAAACTCATATGATTTGTAAAGAAGATGACCTTTTGTGCCAACAAATAATGATTTCACTTCAAACTAACAAGGATGATGACCATCAACTCTTATTCGTAAATAATATTTAATTTTCAGAATTAAGATAGATTAGTTGAAGTAGACAATTGACTTCTTATATATGACAACAACTATAACTTTATAGTTAGAAGCATCTACTTCTAGTTCAAAATTAGGGAAATGTATAAAACGGGACAATGTTCAAACTGAACTTAGAGTAGTTTTAAGTTACTATAAGGTTAATTCTACTTTTGATCCTAATTGAAGTCATCACACTTCTATTGCTAAATAAGAGTCTATACAATAGGTCCAAATTTAATGATGAAGTGCCAATAGTACCATGTCAAGCTAAAATTTTTCTAAAGCTTAAGAAGGTTGGCCAAAGATGACTAAATCATAACAACTTTCATATTTTCAAGATCAATGGTGATTACTACTTTCAATATCTAATGGTTGAGATAAGTGATTCAAGATTAGTCAAAGAAACATTTATTTGGATCAGTGTGCAACTAATTAGGCTTAAGAGTATCAAATACCTAGAATAAGTGACATTTGTGTTTTTCTCAAGTTTTGTTATAAATTTGTATATCATAAAAAAAGACTAAGACAAATCTATAGATGAATTTAGAAGAAATCATGTCATCTTGCCTTGAAGGTCACTGGTACATTATGATGGTGAACGGGACCCGTCTCCATAAGTTCAGGAGACACCGGCAGTCCGAGTTTAGCTCAATCGACGTGCGAAGACGAAGGAGCCTGGCTTTTGCTACACGGCCTAGCCCTTCGGGACAACGACATTCCACCTCTGCGACGACGATGAGCTTGAACTCACCTTTATCTTTCTTTGTATTTTCACGTTGACTTGTTGGGCCTTGTGTTTATGTGTTAGCGGGCCCAATTCTATGTGTGTGTGTTGTTGTTTGTGTCTCCCTTTCTTTAGGGTTTTATTGGGTCTCTCTTTTGAGGCCCAATTAAAACCCTGAGGGGGGGGGACCTATGTTTCTTTCCTTTTGGGCCTCTTTTGGGGCTTATTTGGGTCTTCATTTGAGACCCACTTAAGCACCGTACGAGGGCCCTCCTCTTTCTCCTTTTAGGGGAGCTTATTGGGTCTCTCTTTTAGAGGCCCAATAAGCCCCTTTTGTAGCCTTTTTGTGGCTTATGGGCTTGAGGGCCTCAAGTGGGCCCACCTCCCCTTAGCCCACTTGTGGGCCCTATATAATGGGAGCAAGTACCCCCCCTCAACGAGAGCGCCGAATTTTCTGAGAGATTATCGTTTGTGAGTTACCTTCTTCGTGACCTAAGATAGGGAGGGAAGGAGGGAGAGGAAGGCCATCGATACCCTTTGAGGACTTTGTTCAT